AATTATCGCCGTAATGCCTTCTTGAAAATGATTTTTGACCAAAACACATAGTTATTTCACAAAATTTGGTTGCTAACGAAATTAAAAAAATGTGCTCGAAGGGCATTTTGCGCGATGAATTGAATTTATTAATGTGCCATGCTTTTATGGAGAAAAATCGATTCGTCTGAAAAAATCATTGGCCTCCGTCTAGAATTTTTCCGGAAAATATCGAAAGCCCCCAGCGAAAAACTAATTTACCAAACTTTCCCTCAAATTTTGCATCTAAATAAAACCAAAGCGGTTAAGGTAAACTCGTCGTTTTTTAAGCTTTCAAATGCTAAAAAAATCATTCCGATGGGATACTCCTACGACGAGATAGAGAAGGTAGTTGGGGCCAACCTGACTGCCCCTTCCCCGCATCGAAACTTCTCCCACCTGGTCCACTCCTCCTGCAGAAAAGTCGTCACTTTGCCGACAACTTCGAAATCATACTTCATAGGATCATTTCTATAGTATGCATTTCACTATACCCACTAAATTGCGACACCTCGCACCCACCGATGATTGGGTCTGAGGCGAGTGGAGAGCGGGAAGAACGGTTTGCCCCCTTTCAGGGTGGTACTCCGCTGAGGACCGCGTCCATTTCCGGAAACGGATAAGGACAACCACTTGCCTCCCTGAGGGGGAAAGAGGCGAGCAAAAGCTAATTTTGGATTGGCTAAAGGGCCAAAGAAAAAAACGTTTAGTTGAATTGCAATAAATGATTTGCGCAAAAATCAAATGCAATGAAGGTTGTCCCAAGAAGATGTCCGATCGAAACCAATATCGGCGTTCTGTTTATCGACCAAATGAAAATTAACCCTTTTTTGCAATAATGCACCCAACGAATTTCGAAGCGCTTTTTCTGAGTGGATCGGGCTTTGGCATTTTCTAGCGCGCTCTAAAGATTGCGAAACTCCTTTTTTCTGCCTGAATTTGGAGAATCGGCTCCCTAAACATTTTTAACTCAAAGCCTGGTTAGAGTGCAGTCCTCGCATAACCGGCACCCAACTTTTGTATCTCGGCTTCCTGTTTATCTACAAGTGTGTAAAGTATACCAGAATGTACGTCTTGCTCTGGCGATTATTTCGATATAATTTACACGCCTGTAGATGAACAGAGAGCTGAGATACGGTAGGTGAGGGGTCGGCTGGGGGGGTAAACTGCACTCAAGCCCAAAGCTTTTTAAGCAGGTTTAATATTTTGACAAAAATTAATGCAATTTTAATAACCATGTTTTAACGCTGAAAGTCATTAACTTTAGATTTTTTCCAACAGTTTGTAGATCGCTTTATGGGATAATAAATAGCTCGAAAAATTCCTCGCCTTGACCGGTCCTTTAAACAATCTACAACACTCGCCATGCCAAGACTACGTCTGGTACTAATTACATAGCCGTCTGCCGTACTCCAGACAAAAATATTTACCTCAAAAAGTATCGCGGAAATTGCTAGAAGTTTCCAAAAATATGGCTACGCTCTGGTACAAATTACGTAATGATATTACCGTATGGCAAAACGACGAAAATATTTGCGAGAAAAACTAGAGAATAGGGCGGAAAGCCTTTCAAAAGGCGCGTCTCCTAACAACGCGACGCGAGAGAGAGAGAGAGAGAGAGAGAGAGAGAGAGTGAGAGAGAGAGAGCTGTGTGGAAATGGGAGTGGCAAATTGCCCGGGGAAGCGTATGGGCCACGAGGTCCCAATTTCCACCTGCCAATGCCAATACCTCGAAAGTTGAAAATGTATATTTCAAGCGTTCGAACGCCTTAAGGCTTGTTCTAATAATACGATGTCGACTCATTTTAGCGGTTAAAAAATGTTTCTGATATCTGAAAAGTGATACCGAAAATTAAGATATCACTTTGTTAGAAAAAAAACTATAAACGAATTCCGCCATTATATCCGTTGAAAAAGTATATTTCATAATTTTTTATCCTTAGTTTTATTTACCTTTATGGTAGTGATTTGCTTCTGAACCTTTTGAATTTCTAATATTGATTTAATTGATACTTAACAATTATAATTTAGGCCTCGAGCCCGACAAGGTTTAAGAAGTATGTTTCAGGATTTTTTATTATCCCTGAAATCTTATTGCCTTTAATAATTAGTACACACGTCAACTCGTAAATACAGCCCATTCTGCGCGCAAAACCGTATTACCGATCTCCAAAAGCTGATACAAAGTTGAGAATTTGTCGCTTAAAAAATTTTTTCGTGAATGTTATATACCCAGAAGTGTATTTAGCGTCTTAATGAAGTGAGAAATTTTGGCCACTTCCCATTCATTTTTCTGTCAATACAACCATAAAAACGCGCAACTTCGGTGGCCCTTTAAAAACTGTGTTGCAAAACCACGTAGAATTTAATTTATTTGAAATTTTGTAGTAGAAAACATAGTCATCAAAAACAGCCCGAAACTCATTAAATCTTTGCCGAATTGCCTAGCTTTGGTTCTTTATAAATAAATGTTTCAAAGTTCTTGCTAGTGTAGACTTTTTTCGATGTTATGATGAGAGTGCGTCCACGTTTTCAGTAAAGCGACATCTTTTTAAATTTATACAGGGTTTTAATTTGTAAACAACAAATAATATTGATGCTCAAGCCTATAAAGTTATAAAGTATGTTTCGCAATTTTTCATACCTTAAATTTTATAGTCATCGTTAGTACTTTTCCTTCGATTCAGAAAATTAGAAATTTCGCTTGTGAACACAATAAAAATGATAAAAATGAAGAATATTTAAACTAAAGTTTGAGCTTTGGAAAAATATAATTCAGGAATTCGTATACCCAGAAGTATACTTAGCTTCTTAATCAAGTGAGGAATTTAGCCAGTTCCCATTATTTTTTCCATCAATAATCCATAAGAATCGCGCAACTTGTTGTGTCGCGCAATTGTGTTGCAAAACCACATAGAATTTAATTTATTTAAAATTTTGTAAGAGACACGTCCATATAGACTGATAGAAGTAGGCAAAAACACGTCGAAACTAATTAAATCTATGCCAATTGCCTAGCTTTAGTTCTTTAAAAAATAACTGTTTCAAAGTTCTTGCTAGCGTAGACTTTTTCGAGGTGATGATTAGAGTGTGTGAGCGTTTTCCAAGTAAAGCGAAATCTTTGTAAATATTTTATAATAGGCATTTTTCATACCTTAAATTTTATCGTAATCGTTATGGGCTGCTATAAATCAGGAATTTTTATTATTTTTATTGTCGAAAAACCTATATTTCATCAATTTTTTATATCAAGATTGATATTTGGCTCCTTAATCACTTGAAGAAATTTGGAGTTCTTGCCAGTTTAAATATATTTGATGTCATTACTAACGGTAAATAGTTTAATATAAAATAACTTTTCAAAAAAATTGAGCGAATATTTAGTCAATAAAATTTGTAATAAAATAGTTAATTGAATTATAACATTTTCTCAATTTACAGTATCGCTGGGTTCGATGGGCTCCGTGGGGTCGTTGGCCTCGCGCGGTGACGTGCTGCCGGCGCCGCGGATCGAAACGCAAAATGGGAGCGTTCAGGGGAGGAGGATACAGCTGAAGGTAAGTAGGAGATCTACTTTAAAGGAACTAAGAAGGCTTTTCCACTCCTTCAGCGCTGATTCCTGGCAAATAGCCATATATGACCGCAACGCGACCGCCTCGCACGCTATTTTGCCCTATTTGACGTAAAAATGCGTCAATTTTAAAATTCCGAAGCTTTTTCTGGTTTCATTAGGCATGTTGCATCCATCTACCTTTTTCAATTTTAAAAATTGGCCAGGGATTGCGGAATGATACGCCTTACAGAGCATTATGACATGTAATTCACGCAGCCTCTAAAAAAGGTCCACTAGTTTAATTGAATCACCGTTGTGGCGCCACCTAAAAGAAACACTTAAATTTTTGAGAAAAATAGGTTTCAAGAAGTCACCGTATTGGCAAAGTTCCTGCCAAGAGCATCCTCCGTTTCTTAGCAAAATTGTGAAATCAACGAAACTTAAATTAGTTAAAAATACATCTTATGGCAAGAAGAATTTTAATAAGGCGTGTAAAGATTTTTTATGAAAATAGATGTTTTTGGAAATACCGACCAAACAAGCTTTGCGATTGATTTAATTTGTGTGCATTTTCAAATTCAAAATTCAATTTAAAACAGAGGCATTTCTCAGTTAATTTTATCGTAAAAACTTCGCATGAAGGAAATGCGTGAATTTTAAAATTCTGAAGCTATTTCTGGCTTCCTCAAGCAACTTTAACCATTTAGCTTTCTCGATTTTCAAAATTGAGCCAGGAATCACTGAGATCGAGCAATTCAGCGCCTGCCAGGGCATTACGACATGTAATACGCGGTCCCAAAAAGTCGATTTGCCCCAGAAAGATGTAATTTTTCTCATACATTTAACTTTTTTTGAAACGAAATCAGTTACCTGATGCTTTTGGGCATAACCTTTCATTTTTGGCCAGTAGGTTCGATCCCCGTACACACCAATTTTGGCTTCCTAGTCCCTTTAAACACCTTATCTGCGGGGGTAACTGTATACGGAACAGAACGGGACTGAACCGACACTGTCGCTCTAAAATTAGTCTAATTTAATCACTGTAGTAGTGCCAATTTAAGGAAACATTTTTGGTTGGAAAATATGTTTCACGAAATCATGATGTTCACACGATTGCGGCCAAGCTAGTTGAAGCCTGCCTATGATTTGTTAAAATCAACGTAACTTAAATTACCCAAAAAAGAATGCATATTATTAGGAAGCAGACATCTGAGAACGAGTGTAAACATCGTTAAAAAATATATGTATCTTAAATTATCATGATGCATTCCATAGTGATTTCGCCAATGATCGTCCGATCGTAGAATCAATAAATTTTTAAATTGATAAAGGTGGCATTGCTGTTAATTTTATAGTAAAATCAAACATTAAGGGAACTCCTGAACTATTCACTAAAGCGCAAAATTTCAGAGCATTATAATCATCTAAAATGTATTTATTATTTCAGAACGGCATCCAGTGCGACATGTTCCAGGGGATTCCCTATGCCCAGCCACCCGTCGGGGAATTACGGTTTCGGGTAAGGAATTACAAAAATAATTTTTATATTAATATTTAAAAGCTAAGATAGATAAACCCCAAAAATCGTATTGTACTGTATTAAAAAAGACACTTTGCGCATACTTGTTACCCAATTCGACAGTTAGCCTCACAATTCTTCAACACATATTTTTTTAATCCCAAAAAGCTGTATTTTCCGTCTGCTTTAAGGGCTAGCAGGGATTCTTTGAGATATTGAGAATAATCGAAAAACCTAATCGTTAAATTTTTAAAACATTTTGGAGCATTTTCAAACCGCAGACCCGAAGAAGAATTAAAATCTCCAATTCTTCGATGGGTATTATTTTTTTGAAACATGATGTTTGAAAAAAATTCTATATTCCATATTCTATGTAAGTTTCCGGGGTTATTCGGTTGAGAACTCAAACATAAAAAATGAAAAAGAACACATATCTTGAAATTCAAAACCCAAAAAATGTTTTCAAATAGAAATTAATTTAGAGTCCATTTTCAATTTAATAAAATTTGGATATGGGGCAAGCCAGCAGCTATTCGTTGGGTATTTTTGTCTGAGAAAGAAAATATGAAAACCAAAAATAAAAATAAAAAATATATTCAAATCTAAACCTTAAAAATGTTTTGAAATATAAATTAATTTAGGCTCCATTTTCACTGTAATAAAATTTGGATAAGGAGGCAAGCTTACAGCGATTCTTTGAGTAATTTTGGACGCCTAACAGTGAACAGAAATTAATATAGATGTGGTAAATCAAGGAATCGAGGACAAGACTGCTTTTAGAAATATTTTTTAGTTTATCTCTTCGCATTAAAACATTTTTCCAGAAACCCCAGCCCGCCAAGCGATGGGAAGGAGTGCTGAAATGCACCCGATACCGCAACCGCTCCCTGCAAAGCGATATGTTTTGGGAAAAGCTGACGCAAAGTGTGAGTGATTTGAATTAATCATCCGTGCTGCTAAGTTCGAGAGAAAAGTTCGAGTTTTAAGGCACTTGGAAGGCTAGAATGACAATCCCGTATTTATTATCGGCATGGCATTTTCACCTTTAAAAATAGGCTGTAAAAACCGTAATTAGGAAATTATTGAAATAGTTACTACGTTATATCTAACTAGAAATCGATCGAGGTCAGATAATTTTTAGGCATTATTTTTAGGTAAGTTTAATTTTGATTTTTTATTATTATTTCTAAGTCTTATTACTTTAAAAACCGAAAAAATTACCGAGAGACAAAACGCGCTCATGATTGAGGCGAAAGAAATTTTTAGAAGTCTATCATTCTCCAAAACATATTATTTTAAAAAATGCATGCCGGGCGGGCGCGAAAAACCTATAGGGTGCCCCAATAAAAAAACACCCGCCTCTAACTTGACGCATTATCGGATCGGAATGATAGTTACACCATCCGAAAGCCCTTGAAACGGACAGTTCGCCACTATATTCAAACAGAGGTTTTTATTTGAAGGCGCTATTTTATCAAGCATTTAAAAACATAAAGGAATGCCTCTGCATCTAATTAACGGCTCATTCGGGTCATTTTGTATGGAGAAATTGAGGCAAATTAGCGCGTACGCAACCCCGATAAACCGCAAATCCTTCAAAATGACATAAAAAACATGGTTTTAAAGATTGTTGCAAACTGACCGTTTCAAGGGCTTTCGAATGGTGTAAGTATGCTTCCGATCCGATAGTTCTGCGACAAGTTAGAGGCGGGCGTTTTGGAAACAGAGCATTGCCGTACACGAATTCATAAAATACAAATTTCCCAGAGGTGCATTGTTTTTGCAACATTTTCTTCCAAAACACAAACCGTATTTCCGGTTTTATAGAGGTTCTTAATCCATTACGCACTGGAAAGATAAACCTACGCGTTGCGTAGCGCGGGCGCGCTGGGAAATCCAGAGGACAAGCCGTAGCAAAATTTATAGGAATTGGAAAGCTATCCAAATCTATCTGCACGCCTTGTCTATACCTTTAAAAAAAGGCAAAGGCCAAGAAAAATACAGGGCACAAATTAGCGAACGAAATATCGCCCGATATTTGTTCTTTTTTAAAACATTTAAATTCAGGTTGGATGTTTTGGGTTTTTCCTTTTTGAATAGCGATCGATCCATTGGCCTTGAAAATGGCGAAAATCGTTAAAAATTCAAAATATTAAAAAGATTGAGGCGCCCGCTATTCTATGGCAGCGAAAAATCTATCAACATACCTTGTCTATCCTTTTAAAAAGGCAATGGCTCAGTAAGATAATTAACCAACGAAACGTTTCCCGATATTTGTTATTTTTTGAAACATTTTAAATTCGACCGAGATGGCTCTGGTTTTTACCTTGAAAATCTCAAAAATAGCTAAAAATTTGGAATATTGAAATAATTGATACCACCGCTGTTCTATTTGCACCGAAAAATCTATCTGCATGCCTTGCCTATCCCCTTGGAAAATGCGGAAGCTAACAGCGTACGATTCGCACATTAACGAATGGAACATTTCCCGATATTTGTTCTTTTTTAGAACATTTTAATTAAAACGAATATTGAATTTGTGAAATTTTCGTTCGTATTTGTTCGTAATTGTTTTCCCAAGAATTATTTCTTTGATTTTTTCAAAACAGAATTATTTTAAAGAGAAATGAGATTTTAAAGGCAAAATTCGCTTTTCGAAATTAGCAAAGAAATGTCATGAAAGCAAAGACATAATTAGTTATCTGAGTGCCAGAAAATACCAAATGATTTTTGAAACATTTTATTCCTCCACTTTCCAGGCTTCCTGCTCCGAGGATTGTCTCTATTTGAACGTGTTCGCGCCGGCCGTCGATGGGGAAAAGGTATTTCAATTTATTAACGATGAAAATATATTAAATCTTCAAAAATAGCAGCAATTAACAATTAAAGCGGACGAGCGATTTAGTTAGGATATTTAGGAACCGTCAAATGTTTACAACTTTCTTTAAATTTAAATTTTGAAAATTTTTGACAATCTCGAAGCGTTATGGAATTATGACCTTACATAAGTTCCGTCTATATAACTGTAAGGAAACATTTGTTTTTAGCCGTAACCCTAGATTTTTAAAATGCTATTTAAAAATAATTTTAGTTTTTGCAAGTAATACAGAATTGCCTTGAATTTATTAAAGTATAGACCTTTTATTGAATTAATTAAATTATAAGGATCAATTTATCTATTTGTCGAAAAAACTTAAATAAATTCAGACGTACCCAGTGTTGTTCTACATCCACGGCGGCGGCTTCGTGATGGACAGCCCGGCGCGGCTGGTGCCGAAAAAGCTGTGCAAGTATGTGTTTCATAACTTTATCAATACCTTGAGCATTTGCGGATTTTAATTGCTTTTTGATTTGGCCTCGAGGCATATCATATCAATCCTAATTTTACTTAATAATATTTCATTAATTTTAATTCTAAATCTAAATTTCTGAGTCACAATTATTTTTTTTGTGAAAATCCTTAAGCTCCAAAAATGTACTTTTCCACATATTTCTCTAACGCGGAAAGACTAAAACAATTCAATTACTCTATGTTTTATTGGGTACTATACAGTCTAATTTAATTTAATTGTAAGTAATTGAACTAATTTCATAATAATTAATTCATAAATCACACATACTTTTCAGGCTTTGGAAAAAATGTTACGTGAATCTTAATAATGCACGCTAAGAATTAATAGTGAGTGGTTGGCATTGCCGATTGTAATAACGATTATCTGCATTTTCGTTTTCTGTTGTCGGAATGTCACAGTGGATCCAAAAAACCCTGATTAAAATTGCCGGAGGACACCAATTATAAGAAAAAACTATGATTCAATTTTTTCATTATGTCCGAAGAGCAAAATTGTCAACTAGTTTGAAATTGCTGGTGCCTGCCATATTTCTGGTATTAATATTATTCAAATAAACAGCTAAAAAATGGGAGTTATCGTCTAACCAAAAATAATGTTTCGGCCTTTCACGTCAATTCCCGAAAAGTGCAGAACCCAATGCCCCGTGGAAAGCTCCTGCACTATTTATCAAAAATGACTACATTAAATTTGGCTTAATTGTTAAATTATTAAGCTTATTGAATTTATTAGACAAATCAATTAAAATATCGAACAATTTTCAGACAATTGGCCTCCAAAGGAATCGTGGTCGTTACCGTAACCTACCGCCTTGGATACCTCGGCTTTTTCTCGACCGGAGATGAGGCGTGCCAGGTAATAAAATATATAGAATTATACGTAATAAATTTAAATGTGTATTAATGGCTTTTTCATTACTTGCAACTATAAAATGATTTTCCAAAGATCAGATTTTTCGAAAATATAAATGTTTCACAATATTACATGAAAAAAATATTTTTTGGAGGTTTAATACAGCCTTTGTGAACCGATTTCTGCAATAACCGCAAATTCCTTTAAAAATGGTTTTCGTACCCATTCTTATTTTCTTTTTATCTGGCGCAAAATAACTACTGCGAAACGTAAACCATATTTACCAAACAAATCCACATTTTGTTGAAATATAAATGTATCAAAATTATGGCATAAGAAATTTGGATTTTTTGTTACAATTAGCTTTCATTTATGCGGTCCACTTACTTTGAATTACTTTAAAAAATACAAAAGCTTAACAATGAAAGTGATAGTTTCCATCGCCATTTTTGCATATTTATAAAAATTAGATATAAAATATAATTTTAAAAAGTAAAGCATTCAAAATCATTAAAACAATTTTTGACGCTTTAAATACACCCAAATTCGAATTTATGTGAAAATGTTTCAGGGAAACATGGGCCTATACGATCAGGCGATGGCGCTGCGCTGGGTCAAAAACAATGTTTCGGCGTTCGGCGGTGAGTGGGTTTTCGAATCATAATTAATGCTCCCGATACAGCTTCATAGCCCTTTGCTTAAGCTGTTTAAAATTTCGTTATTTTATCGATTTTCAACTAATTTTTGTTTGTTAATTTAGATGTGTTAAGTAATTTAGGCGATCGAAAGTTGTATCCTTCGAGAATTACCGTATCTGATTTTGTCTGTATCTATTAATTTAGGTATAAATAACAGTTATACCGTAATCCCGCATTTTAAAAATTACTAGCCATTTAATAACTGGCCCGGAAATCCGTAAAATTTTATTAATAGCATTTATTTATTATTCGCTGTAACTAATTTTTGCTGTGGAAAAAATGTTTCGAAATATGGCACAGTTGTGGATTTCAAAGCCACGATAATGACTGGGCTGTCGTAATTCGCTATCTTTTTGTTTAGTGTTCAAAGAATGTCCTTTTTTAAATGTTAAATATTGTCGATTTAAGTAATTTAATTAATGTAAAGCTAATAAATTAAACTTCATTTGAATGAATTCTTGGAAAACTGAATTCAGTTGATTTTAATTAGTTCTTAAAATGATTAATTTCCAATTCTTCAGGCAACCCGAACGATATTACGGTGGCCGGGCAGAGCGCCGGAGCCGTGAGCACCGATTTGTTGAGCCTCAGCCCAGTTACGCGAGGTAATTTCAATATGAATTTTATCTATATCAATTAACATATGTATAAATTTAATTATCGATTTTAAGGGGGTTAAAACCTACAAAGTTGATAAGCTTACATTTTCTAAAAAAAAATTGCGCCCGACACATCTCCCTACATAACTAGCTCGATTTTCCTGGCTGTCTACTGAAATATGGCTCAAACATATTTTTCAAAATTTTTAAATGTTTAGTAAAATTTTTTTTGGTAGCCATTTATAAAATTTTGGATATATATTTAAACATTTAATTCATATATATTTTATAAAGCATTTTAAGGATTAGAGCTGCAAAATCGAATAATATTAATGATTACAAAAAATGGAATTGACTTTGATAGAAAACCGCTGCAGAGGCGTCTCAGGTAGATGTATTAGCCGCATGACCCAGTTTTTCATTGCGGTTTCTGACGAAACCTATTTTTTCGAAAGCAAAAGCAGGATTTCACAATTTCTTTGCTTAATTTAATTATTAAATGCATAATTTTATTTTCATTTAGCTCAGCATAAAATAGAGTTTTGCCGAAAAATAAAGGATAAAAATTATTAGGATAAAAAGGGTAAATTTCGCCATCGCCGCGATACGCAACCGTATTCCATTACGCAACGTAAAGACGAGCCGCTTGTAAGAAAATTCGAAATAGGCGTTCGCTTGGTTTTATCCTGACTAGCAAAATATATTTTTATTTGTAACGAATGGCGCGTGAAAGATATTTTTTGCAGGCGATTTGGAAAGCTAGAAGTATTAAGATATTATTTTTGTTTTTTTTTGCCACATTAGAAACAAAACATACATTTTTAAAAGAAACTCTTTTTACCAGCCAAATCTTTTTATTTCTAACCCACGGAGAGTGAAAGATATTTTTTTGCGGACTACTCCAAACCAGAGAAATTCAGGAGCTATTTTTTAATTTTTAACAATTTAGAAACGAAACACACTGTTTTCAGACCTGTTCCAGAAGAAAATCGTGATGGGCGGCAATTCGTTCTGCCACTGGGGCACCACAACACAGGCTGAACTCGCCGATTATTGCCGCAAAAAGGTCGGTGCCTTCTAGAAATTCGGGCAGGCTAGCAGAGATCAACTGCGGACGCAACGGCGAGAAGCGCTTGAAAATAATGTAAAAAATACCATAATACATCAACAGAAGACATTTTTCAGCAAAAATTTACAAAAAATGCCGAAAGCCAAAGGTTTAAATGTGAATACCCAACATTTTAAAAAAGTTATCAACGCATATGTGGCAACTGATTATAATGCCAGGGCTCTAGATGGTAATAGTGAAAATTGAAAAACCAGTTTTTTTTTTACAAAACTGTTTCTTGGTTTTTCGCATTCTCGAGGAGGAAACAGCATTTGCTTATCAAGATCGTGCCTAGTGGCGTCATACTAAATATTTAAATAACGTTTCCTAGCAAAATTTAACTATATTGGAAGCGCCAAAAACATTAAAACTACGAAAACATTTTAAATTGAGTTTTGGTCGAAACTCCGCCATTTCTGGTCGAAAAATTCACATTTTTTTCTATTGGTTTTTACTGAAGCTTTGCAAAGGTTTTTACGTTCAGGAACAGTAAAAAAACACTACGAAGAGTTGTATCCTTAAAAAAAATGTTGGAGGCCAATTTTTGTTGTCGGAGTTTCAGACCTGGGCCCAATTGATCAATCCAAATTTTTCAAGGCAATAACCCTAGGTAAAACATGTTTTTTTCGGAGATAATTAGAACGCCTAGCCAAGTGAGAACAGAGTCTTAATAATGTTGATTTTCTACATTAATCTTTGATAAAAATTTATCATAAACATTGGAAATTTATCTTTGTCATAAATAGCGTATTAAAGCTATAAGGAATTGACATAAAACAGACGCCCGTCGCCAACTAAAGTAGTCAGCCTTTTTCGGTAAATGTGTCAGGGTGCAACATAAAATTTCTCAAAAAAAAAAGATTTTATAAATTAAAAAACTTCTATGATTTTAGGCCGAAAAACTGGGATGGCGCCCCCAACAGGATTACAATTCGACGGCCGAAGAAAGCGAGGATATGATGCGATTTTTACGGACCGTGCCGGCGCATAAGTAAGTCGCCAAAATTATCCAAAGTGGACGACCGAAAAATTATGTTTCAAACAAAATGAATTATGCAGGAAGGGTCGGAGCGAGAATCCACGCTCGATTACTGCGAAGGATAATAAACGAATTAAAGGAAAAACGGTGTTTCGTAGTAATATAAGAATGCGCAACTTATGCGAAAAATTAACGCGTTTCGGTATCTCGTCAAATTTTTAAATTATTTCAAAATTCTTTTTTTAATTTTTCGAAAGTTTTGCTTTTTTGCAAATTTCAAAATTACATTAGGCGGAAAAATTAGCATGTTTCAGCATCACGCCAACTCTTGCAATTATCATTTTCTCTAATTTACCTGGGTTATTGACTCGATGCTAATAATTAAAGTTCATCAATTAAATTCATGAATTTAATGTAAAGCCAAAATTTAAAATACATTAAAGTAATCGAATTCTAATTAAAATGGTTTCAGATTTGCGACGACAATGTATGGGAATAAAATAATCTTTTCCGAGGGACGGCTACCGCTGGCCCCGGTGATGGACGAGGCATTTTTGCCGAGACCGGTATGAATATTCGACTACTAAAATTGTGTTTTAATGTAGAATCAAAAACGAAAAAACAAACTTTAGTTTCCATTAATTAATTCACGAAAAATTTAATTCTGTTTTAGCTAGCCGATCTTCGAAGGGAGGCCCCAAAAATGGAGAGCATCGTCGGAGGTGGACACGAGGAATCCCTGCTTTTTAGTGAGTTTTTCGGTAATTCAATTAGAACTTTATCAAAATTAAAAACCAAAAAATTATAAGTTAGTATATTTAATATGTAATTATAATTTGTAATATATAATTGACATGAACCTTAATTATGGAATGGTCCTTCTGGTCGTGGAATTACTAAAAATGCAATCGGAGTTTTGGATACTTTTGTCGAAACATCGTTTTTCTTTGGGGAAAAAACAAATTAAATTAATTATACCAGATATGGATCCAATTTTCCTAAATATATTTTTAACTTTATGTTCAATTCAGAGATTAAAAAGATGCACATTTTGTAATGGATAATCACGATTTCGAAAACTGACAAAAAATTCAAGCTTATGAACTTACCCAATATAAATACTATGCAAATTATGGTCGACTTCAAGCTAGAAATTTTTGGAACATTCATTTTTTCTGCCGATCTGGGATTTTCTAAATTATAATTTTTGCTTATTTTTAGTTCAGATATTAAACATATATTCATTATCGACTAAATAATCTCCATTTTAAAAACCAAAAAATTGGAATTAAAAAATCGATGATCTAGCTACTACCCAAATTGTCACGCGAATACCAAGACATTTTCTCGATATTTATTTTTCCTGCCGACCCGCTATTTTTCGAAGCTTATATGTTTTATTTTTTATTTTTAATCAGGGGATTCAAAATAGATACGTTATCTAGTGTAAAATCTAGATTTTTAAAACTAAAAACAAAAATTATAACCACCAAACACTCAATCCATTACCCAGATTAACGCCTATTTTTAACAAAGGAATTCTTGGAACATTTTTCCTAGAAAATCCAGAACCGATCTAAATAGTGTTTTGTAATTTACAATTAAGGTATTTTATACTGTATACATTCAATAGACTAAAAATTGTATTAAATTTATTATCGATTTTCAGTCGCGATTGGCTTCCTGAAATGCAACGAGAAGGACTGGGAGCACGCGCTGCAGATGATCGCCAAAAAGTCTGCGAATTTTGGGCAAAAGGTGAGCCAGTTTAAGCTCTAATTAAACTTGTAATTAAAGAAAAATGCCATGTCATTAAAGTGAGCCTGGTCTGCATACCAGGCCCCGAAAAATAAGGTACTAGACTGTTAGCGGGGGGGGGGAGAGCGGCGGAACCCATTTTTCTCGAATATTTTTTTTTTCTATTTTTCCTCCGTTTAGAATGTTTTTAGATACAAAAATAAATCGAAAAATAAATAAAAACAAATAAAGAATAATAAAACAATATAAAAATTCCTCATATTTTATTAACAGAAACAGGCAAAAAGTTCAAAAATGTTCAAATTTCTTCATTTTTTTTGCTTGCCGGTTTAACTCGTCTGTAGGCGTTACTTATTAGGAAAGGCATCTGTCACAACTTTCCAGTGCGTAGTCAGTTACGATGAGTCCCCCGCGGTTGCGTGGCGTACGCATTGCGTGTCGCGGCGTGGCTAAACTTATATGCAAGCAATAGCCTTAAATCACAATATATAACTAGACCGGCAGCTTTAAAAAAAGGCAAAGTTCATACACCCGGCTATTATGGAATAACGAACCAAAAATTGCGAAAAACTGCCTAATTGTTGAAACATTTTTTTAATAGATTCTTACGTTTTTAGGATCCCGATTTGGCCTCAAAATCGCAACCTATTAGGTAGCCATAATATTTATTACATCCTACCTTATATAATTTTGGTGTGTATCTTTGTGTGTGTGTGTGGATGTCAGTTTCGAGGCCGGATTTGAGGGCCTTCCCGTGTCCAAAATGCCCTAATTCTCCGTCACTGGGGGGGAATCGACTCTTCTGTTTCCGATGGCGTACTCAGAATTTCGATAAAATACAAGTTTACAAAGTTAAAGCCGATTTTATTCATTTTTGGGGGTCCCTGAGGGCTAATTTGCATAATGTGAAAAAATACAAATTTCCTCATTCTTGCGAGTTGCATGCGCGCGTGTGGTGGGGGGGGGGGTCCGAAGGACCCGAGCTACCGGAAAGTCAAATTTCTCATGCAAACGCACCATTCCAGCGCCCAAGGCCCGCGAAGCGGGTTTTGGGCGCTGGTCAATTAAATAAAACCAGGGTTGAAAAGCCGCTTCGCGACTTTTCAACCCTGGCCCCGTCCAACCCCATCAGATTCTTCACTCTGCATACGTCTTTCGATTTCCGATGCGACAAACCAAAAAGTCCACTCTCTCGGGTTACATATAGGCCCCCGCAACTTCCGGCATATGCTAATTATTTCCTAACAAAGAAGGCTGCGCGATTTTTCAACAAAAACTTAAATTTAATGTCGAAAACAGCTGAATTTGTAAAAACTGATATTGGTGCAGTCATCTCCAGATCATTACGCATCTAATGACGTATCAAACAAACCTTAAAAACCTTCCCTTTCCGAGATATCCTCCGGACAGAATGACGGAAGTTGCATGCAAAGTGGCACGGACACACACACAGACACTATTTTTTTATATATAGTAGGATAATCAATTTTTGCCGGGTTTTTGCTGGCCCCGAGAAGCTCCACGGCGATCCGGATTTCCAAAAAAACGCCCAGAAAGCTTGTTTTGTAGATATTTTTATAAAAAGGCGTGCGCGTTGGCGCGGCAAAATTCGTAGGGATTCGACAGCCCAAATATCGGAGGTGTCTTGAAATTGAATATTTCAAAATACTGCACTTACCATAAATTAAGTAAAGAAAAATTTCCCAAGAACTCCTGAATTTTTGAAACATTTTATCGTGGACTGTCTATTTTTAAGGGTTCCGAGTTGGGCTTAAAAATTCAACGTACCATCTGTTTTAACTGCTGCAATTTACTAAATTAGTCAAAGAAGTTAATCCAAATTTTTCAGGAGGTTACCGAACTGGCCCACAAGCTCTACGGCGACCCGGCCAAGCTGCGCGGCCAAAAATCCGAAATGGCCAAGATGTACGCCACGGTAGGGTATTTTTGCAAATTAAAATTAGAATCTCAATGCTGAACGCCATCTTGTCATTACTCCGGTTTCAGAATTTTTAATTTGCACTTTTTCTGAAACATTTTTCCATATCTTTTCGGCTATAAAGGGATTTTATCGCAACATTTTCATTAAATTGAAAATCACTTAAATATTACGATGCAAATCACTGTTTTTGCTAAAGTTTCAGAGGGAATTTATCGAATTTTTTGTTGAAATTGGGATCGGTTTTTCTGTTCGCAATTCGGATCATCAGACTCCGAAGAAATTAGGGTTTCCAAAAGCCCGATTTCCCTTATTTTCGGTGAAACACGATATTTTTACGGTTTCCAGAAAATCTTGAATCCGTGAGCACGAGCATCATTTACAATCCGATTTTTTTGAATTTTTTCAAAGCCTATACACAAATTCGCGGTCCGAATTTGTCGGTTGTAACCATTAGCCTTTCCAAAGGCTCGCTTTCCATTATTTGTGGTGAAACACGATAATTTACGGGTTCCGGAAAACTGCCGGGAGCACGAGCATCTTTTATAGCCTCCCACCATTCTTACATTTTTTTAATTCGGCGCAAATTTCTCAGTTCGAAATTCGGCATTGGACACAGAACAATTTTTGATGAAACACGATATTTTTACAGACTTCCGCAAAACCTCAAATCTTCTGGGAGCACGAGCATCTTTTACTATTCCCCTCATTTTATGCTCCGCATTTTTTTTTAATTCGATGAAATTCGCAACCGATTAGCATCTCCCAAAGCTGATTTTACATTATTTTTGGCGAAACACGATATTTTTACGGTTTCCGGAAAACCTGAAAAATTCCGGGAGCGCAAGCATCTTTTGCCCCCCGCCCCCCACTTTATACTTCATTTTTAATTCAATGATGATTCGCAACAACCATTAGCATTTCCTAAAGCTTAATTTCCAGTATTTTTGGGGAAACACGATTTTTGTCGATTTCCGGAAACCTGAAAACTCCCGGGAGCACGAGCATTTTTTACAACCCTCAACAATTTCATTTTTAAACTCTTTTTGTAATTCTATGCACATTTCTCTGTTCGAAATCGAGATCAGCAGACGTCAATCAATTAGCTGTTCCAGCAGCCAGTTTTCCATTATTTTTGGTGAAACATTTTTTTTACGATTTCCGGAAACCTGGAAACTTCCGGGAGCACGAGCATCCTTTACCGCTCCGCCCGCACTTTTATTTTTTTTTAATTCTAAACAAATTTCGCGGTTCGAGATTCGACCGATTCCACCATAATTTTCCGATAATTAACTTTTCCAAAAGTTATTTTGATTATTTTGGTGAAACACGATATTTTTTATGGTTTCCGGAAACCTAAAAACTTTCGGGAGCACGAGCAACTTTTACATCTTTTCTTCTATAGCGTTTCCGGTGCTTCCAGGTTAACGGGGGGGCAGTTGGCATCTTTTTTGTTTAGACTACATCGGCCTTGTGATAAATTTTAGTATATTTTAATACCGTGTTTAGCAGTTTTCGATAACCAAAAATTATAAAAACATCGATCCTAGGGTCGCGAAATCTAGGGTATAGCGCGTTTTTAACTATTTTCATACACGTTAGACAGAAAAAAGCAAAAATTTTAAACATGTGTTATGACGTTTTTCTTAACTTCTCCTCCCCCGCTAGCAGTTCAGGACCACTTAAACGGCGCACAATTCTATGAAAATGGTCAGCTTTAATTAGTTTTTTACGGTTTCCGGAAAACCTGAAAACTTCCGGGAGCACGAGCATCTTTTGCAGCCCCCCCATTTTAGTCTTCATTTTTAATCCCGTGAACTTGCCGCAATGATTAGCGTCTCCTAAAGCCTACCTTCCACTAAGTTCTGGTGAAACACAATATTCTTTACGGTTTCCGGAAATCTGAAAACTTCCTGGAGCACGAGCATCTTTTACGGACCCCGCAATAAAAGTTGTCAGAAGTGATCTCAGCCAAACTAGAACAACCTTTCTGAGGAACTTGTGGAAATTGGAAAGAAAAATACGGAAAGTTCTGGAATCCCGGAAATCGCGCGCGGGGATATGAGCTCGTAAAGTGGAATGGATAGGGCGGAGTGAGAGAGAGGGAGAGCGAGAGAGGGAGTGAGAGAGAGAGAGAGAGAGAGAGAGAGAGAGGGAGAGGGAGAGGGAGGGAGAGAGAGAGAGAGCTAGTAAGGCCAAATCCCGAACTAAAACTTGACCTCGAGAACTTTTATGCCTCCGAAATGGACTTGTCTACAGTCTGGGGGAGGAAAATAAAAAACTAAAAATTTTTGGCTAAAATTTAAAAACTGTTTTTTTTAATTTTAACCAGGGTTGAAAAGCCGCTACGCGACTTTTCAACCCTGGCCCCGTCCAACCCCATCAGATCCTTCACTCTGCATACGTCTTTCGATTTCCGATGAGAAAAATGAAAAATTCAACTCTCTCGGGTTATATATAGGCTGCCGCAACTTCCGGCGTATGCTAATTATTTCCTAACAAAGAAGGCTGCCCGATTTTTCAACAAAAACTTAAATTTAATGTCGAAAACAGCTGAATTTGTAAAAACTGATATTGGTGCAGTCATCTCCAGACCATTACGCATCTAATGACGTATTAAAAATACCTTAAAAACCTTCCCCTTCCGAGATATCCTCCGGACAGAATGACGGAAGTTGCATGCAAAGTGGCACGGACACACACACAGACACTATTTTTTTATATATAGTAGGATAGCGCCTAAATTAAATCTCGGTTTTTCATTTGTAAAGTTTTTTTTCTTACGAGGTGCTTGGAAATTTATGGCGTTTAAAGTAAATCTCCTCCCAAGAAAATATTCTATAAATTGGTCCGAGACGAGCTTTACCCATTTTTGAAACAGTTATTTTTCTCAGGCGAAAAAGCATCGATCGATTTTCGCTCGAAACAATCAGGACTTAGTTTTTGAAAAAAATACTGTGGCTGAATTTAATGTTAAAATTGGACGGTAGATTTCGATAAAAATGTATTAAAATGCTGAAAATCAATGTTTTAAAAATTACATGAAGCATTAATGTTTTTTTGTATATATTGCCTCGTCGTAAAATTGTCTGAAAAATATTTTAATGGATTAAAAAATGGATAGTTGAATGATTGTAAAATGTTTTTATTAAAAATTCCGGCTGGTGGTAAAGTACAGTTCTACCAAAGAACCAGAATTAACTCAATCAAACTCAGCCAATCCCTACACATTGTTGGAACACCTATTTTTAAAGCGAAAAATATCGTTGGTTTTGGAGCGAAACAAGTTTTTAGGTTAAAGTTTAAAAAGTGATGTTTCTTAATTTAAGGTTAAAACTGCGCGGTAGATCTCTACATAAAAATTTTAATATAGAAAATCAATGTTTTAAAAATTGCGTAAAGTATTAAAAATGTTGCTCCTGGATTAAAAGGGAAGATAAAGAAAATCAAGTCACAAAACAATATTAAAATTACATTCAACTTTAGCCTAAATTTCAGATGATCAGCGACGTGGTGGGGAATTACGCGTGCCATCGATATTTGAGGGACAGTCAAACACACGACAAGGCTACATTTGCCTATAGCTTTGACTACACGTCGAAACTGATGTACGGATGGCTGGCACCGATGGCACCGGGAGGAGGTAGGGCATTATATTTTGCTATCGTGATGTTAAAAATTCATAATAACGAAGTTTCATAAGTTCGAAATTTATAAGCTCGAAAAGTTCGTGGTGCCGAAATTTCATACTCTCGAAATTCCCTAAAAACGACGTTTCAACTCCCGAAATCTAAAGAATCTTAATTTCAAACCAAATTTAAAGGACCAGAATCAAAGAATTAAATTAATTTAAAGAAATTATGATTCAAACTGAATCCCTGAACTATTATCACAATTAAAAAATTTTCTTTACCAAAACATTTTCGAAACATTTTTCCGTAGATCTGCGATTTTCCGAAACTTACGTTTTTTAATTTTTATTTAATGAAGATATTAAGAATACAAAAATTATATAGTGAGTAATATACGTTTCAAAAACTAAATAAAAATAACTAAAAATGCATTAAAGCATCCCTTATCTACTTACTATCCAAATTAAAGCCCGTTTCGCAAGTTTTGGATATTTTTTGTCTAAAAAGCTCATTTTTTTCCAATTTTTCAGGCGGGACCCACGCCTCCGATATCATCTACCTGCTCGACGTGAATTACTTCTCGTCCCCGTTGCCAAAAGACAAAGACGATCGGGCAATGTGCAAAATGACCGCCGACTATTTCGCCAATTTCATCAAGACTGGGTGCTTAAATCAATAAGATTCCGCAAGGAGACTTTGCTAGCTTGCCCCGAAAAAATGCCAAGGAAAGCGTATTAAGAGTTAAGTTAGAAATCGATCAGACAAAGCTCCAAAAAATATGTTTCACAAAAAAGCTATGCAAATCCAGAAGTTTTACATCAATTCCTTGACATTTGACGAACAAAACTTACTACTGATTTACTCTTGAAAACAAACTGTAATATTTCGTCGATTTCAATGTAATTTAAAAATTACTAAAATACCTAAATCGATAAAAACCGTAATCCGTGCTATTTTGAGCTGAGAAGGATTTTACAAAACCAATTTAATGTTTTAAAATGATGCATTTTAAGCAGAGCAGTATTTAAAATGATGTTTCACAAAAAAATCTATTCAAACCTAGAAGTTTTACATGAATTATTTGTTTTTCAATACAAATCCAATATTTTGTCGTTTTGTATATAGCATCGACATTATTAAAAAAGGAAATCGATGAAATAAATAATCTTTGCTAGGTTGCCACGAGAAAATTTAAAAGAGAAAATTAACTCAAAAATTAAATTTAAAAAGCTCAACAATTGCTGCAAAAAAAAATTCAAAAAATGATGCTTCACAAAAAAACCTATGCAAATGCAGAAATTTTGCACCAATTTGCACATATCCGGGAATCCAAACTTAATACCGACTGATCCACTTATATTCGTGATTTGAATACAAAAACCAATATTCTGTCGATTTTGATGTAATTTAAATTATTGAAATCCGGAAATCGACAAAATCAATATGCTTTGCTAGTTTGCCCGGAGAAAAATAAAAAAAAACTCAAGAAAAATCATGTTTCACAAAAAAACCTAGTCAAGCAGATAAGTTTATATCAATTCCTTTAGAGTACGGATTTCATGTAATTTAAGAATCAGTAAAATAAAGAAATCCACAAAATAAACAAAACTTTTTCAGAAACCCAAACACTGAGAAAACGGCGCAACTCTGGGAGCCGGTGCCGAAAAAGGACGAACTCCGCATGTTCTCCTTTGATTTGCAGCCGAAAATGCTGCCCAAGGTTGGGTTTAATTTTGGCTAATTAATTAAGTAAATTACATAAATTATTTTACAGTAGACGTGCTGGAATCACACGATTAAATAATATTAAAATTTTAACACTTCAAAAAATGTTTCATCTATTTTTAAAAAATCGCAAAATTGGAATCTCGTAATTTACGGTTATGTTTAGCACTGAAACTTTGTAATTAAATAACATAAATTAAACAAAATTATTAACTTTGGACTTTTTCATAACGGAAATGACGTCAAATAGCTTTGGAGGCACTAGAATCAACCGATTCGAAATTAGCAAAATTTTAAAGCTGCAAAAACATGTTTCATCTATTTTTAAAAAATCGAAAATTCTCGATCCAGTAATCACATGCAGATTGCGATTTCATCTAACATGTGTAATTAAATTCTATTAATTGTATTAAATTCCACCTTTCCAGCTATACGATGGGCGCATCGACAAGCTGGAGGCGATGGCCGTCGAGATGAAGGCGCAGCGCATCATCGAGCAGGTTAGTCAGAAAATCCCCAAAAATCCGCGCTAGCATGCCCTATTTTAGGGTTTTCTAGATTCCTTAGAGCTTTCTGCTAGCTTGCCCTGCTTTTAAAACGTCTAAATTAAGCAAATACGAAAGGTTCTTTGCTAGCTTGCCCCGACTCCAGCTCGCCTAGTTAAATTAAATCCCAAAGAATCGCTGCTAGCACGCCATTATCCATTATTTTCCCAAAGAATGGCTGCTAGGCGGGCTTTCCATGATTTCCTCCAAAAATGCCAGCTAGCCCGCTTTTGCCTATTATCTTCTCAAATAATCCCTGCTAGCCCGCCTCCTTTCGCTATTTCCCCAAAGAAACACTGCTAGCCTACCCCCATAAATTGCTAATTTTCAGACCACTGACTCAATTCTCTCGTCAGCTCGTTCTCCCCTCAACCGTAGCCGCTCCATCGAAATTCTCGACGACAAACCGGTGCTCATTCCCGCCAAAAAGCGAGCCCAATCATCCCATCGATACCTACGAAATAATTCCGTGGTTCCGGTAACTGAAGAAATTCAGGTCACCGCGTGAATTTTTAATTTTTTAAAACCTCTTTAAGTTGGAAACTTTATCAGCGATTATTAACCAGCAAAAGTTTACTTGCAAAATTAAGTAGTTTCATTCAAATTTTCACACCTGTAAACCAGTGAAAATTCCGAAAATTAAATCTAGTAAACGCTACCCATTCCATTAATTTGTCAATTTTATTAACCGGCAAAATTTGAAACATCTTTTTTGTTCTTTAGTTAATTTTTCTAAAATCGTAAGCCATCCAAATTTCTCAAAACTGAAATAATTTGGAACACATTCTATTAATTCTTTAATTTTATTAACGAACAAAATTTGAATATTTCGTTTTATTGATTTGTCTAAATTCCATAAAAAACAGCAAAAATTCGGAAAATTTCGATCGTGTTATTCTTTTTATTAATTTTTACAAATTCGCGAGATAATCCTGAAAATTTGAATATTTTCCTCCATTCTATTCATCACTGAAATTTTTTAACTAATTTCGTAAAACCCCTTTTTGTATTTTTTTTGTGTTCTCTTTTAAATTTTTTAAAGGGATCGGCAAATTTTGTCTTATTTTTTATGGAGATTCGATGGAAAATATGATATAAATTTTCCAAAATCCTAAAACTTGCCGCTCCCCTTAAAAGTCCCACCACCGTACCCCCATTTGTCATGTCATTTCTATACACCGGGTTCCCCCAAAAACACCCTAAGTCATCTAGAAACGCATTTCTTTGTCGATTACCCCCGTTTTTTGCATGTTTTTATTTTTTATTACCCATTTCGCCTATTTTGCATTCGATCACCATACTCTGCACGCCGAGAGTAGCCACCCCCAAGAATCTCCCATCATTTTCTAGCAAAGAGCATTTGCTAGATACCCCCACACTGATGTCACTCTTTGTACATTCCCTTCTTTGCGGCGAAAGTTTGTAAATAAATTTTCGGATAGAAATGTGGCATGCTAAAAACGCAAAAATAGCGATATTTCAGGCTGTGGGCTCGACAATGTGTTGCAAAAACGCAAAATTAGTAAATAGTAAATTAGTAGGACGTGTTTTAATAGCGATAGTAAAATCCAACTATATTTCAACTAGAAAAAACTATCTAAAAACGTTAAAACACTAGATTCTGGCAAAAGTCGGCCACTCTTGGGTGAAGAATCGATCCTCGATTTTTTCGCTTAAATTTTGCAAAGTTCAACCGTTCAGGAATAGTAAAAAAGTTTATCCTACTATATATAAAAAAAATAGTGTCTGTGTGTGTGTGTGTGCCACTTTGCATGCAACTTCCGTCACCGTGTTCCAGTAGTATCTCAAGAGGGGAAGTACTTAGGGGTATGTTCGATACGTCATTATGTGCGTAATGGGCTGGAGATGACTGCACACACATTAGATTTTACAAAATATGATGTTTTCGACATTAAAATTAAGTTTTTCATGGAAAATGGGACAGCCTACTTTGTTAGGATCAAATTAGCATGCACCGGAAGTCGCGGTAGCCTATATAAAGGGACGGCAAGAGCATTTTTCATTTTTCGTCATCCGAATCGGGGAAAATTATGCAAAGCCAAGTTATCTTTGGGGAAGACGGGGCCAGGGTTGAAAAGCCGCGAGGCGGTTTTTCAACCCTGGTAAACACTTGATTATTTAGATTTTAAAACTTAGGGCCTAAGAAAAAAATTATATTTCATTAGAAAAACTACCCAAAAACTTTCAAAAAGTCAAAATTTTGGTCGAAGAACCTAGTTTTATATTTTTTGATAGAAATTTGTAAAGTTTACACGTTTTAAAATAGTAAAAGCCGATTTAGAAGCGCTTTCACTATTTATATTTGAAAATTTGTTTCTAAGAAAAAAGTTGGCGCCCATCCCCCCTCCCCCCCCCCCGATAACGCGAAAGAGCCTAGAAATGAATTAAATAAAAATGAGATCAATAGAAAAAATCCTTTTTGCGGGAGGCGCTGATTTTTTGCTAAACATGCTCAGGAAAATACATGTGCGCGATTACGATTTTCCAGACCCTTTCCAACAACCGGCAACGATAGGACAGTTTATTTCCAAACAAACATCTATAGATAGTTATTGGGATACCCGCAATCGACAACCAATCAATGAGTAATACATTCCAAACGCCAGAAATATGAACGAACGAAAAGCACGAGAATAAAGGAAATAGAGCCCATCATCTACGGGCGGCAATTAGGAGATGATCGTCTCGACGAAACGGCGGTAGTCGTACGCTTGCGACATCGTTTGGCCTAAAATCAAACTTGGAACTGGACTGTTAGCGGGGGGGGGAGGGATTTCTTACATGCTATACAAAATAAAATCCATTTTCATAGCTTTTTACACAGCTTTCGGATACAAAAACAATATAACGAATTATACAAATGTTTCAAAAATGTTTAATTTTTGTAGTCTAAAAAATTACCCAAGCCGAAATTCTCGATTTTTCAAAAATTTTTAAAATATTTTCTGTAATTTTCTAGACTAAAAGGTATAGGCGGAAAACAGAAAAAATATACCTTTTAAAAAACAGAAAATTTTTTTAATGCTAAAAATCCCCCCCGCGCTAACAGTCCAGTACCAGAATCTTTAAGGGCCATAGAAGGCGGGGTAAGCCCCCAAAAAACCAGCGTACCAGTTTTGGGATCGACATATTTGGGCATCAGCTTCAGACAGTAGTCGGCTTCTTCTGGGGATAGCACCGACAGTATCTCATCGCGGGTCACGTAGGCTCGGCCGTCTCGTGTCAGCGCGCTAAATTGCATAATATTACCTCGAAAACCGGAAAAAAAATACCGGAAAGCAGCCAGCACGTCATCGCCCTTGTGCACATTCGGCGTCTCCTGGGCGATCGTCCAGTTGAGGAAATTTTGGAACGAGACCCGGCCCTCACTGAAAACGGATCAGAGGTTGTTTCGTATCGAGGAGACCTAATCTCCACCGAATAATTCACTTAATTTTAACTAGAGAAACCAACGAAAAACTGTTAAGATGATGAAGAAAAATGCAATAAATAACAGTAATATTGCTCAAAAACTGCCCCTTTTGCTCCAAAATCGAATTTTTTATTTTTCTAATAAAAATTTGTAATAACGTTCAGGAAAGTAAAAAATCGCTTAGAAACACTTTCACTAATTAAATTTGAAGATTTCGATCCTAAAAAAGAAAGTTCTAGTCGAAAATGTATGTTTTGCATTTTTAATTTAAAATGAAGTTTGGTATTTACTAATATTAAAACAATTAAGGATAATAACAGGCATCTAGCTTATTTTTGCTATAAAAAATAATTCGTCTTACTTGTAGGGATCGAGCTGCTGGACGAGTTGGCGTTGCCCTTGCGTCAATCTGTTGCCGTCCACCTCGCCCACGTCCATTCCGAGGACACTCAAGCATTTCAGGGCGTCGTCTCCCGACACGTAGCCGGTCATATCCTAGGAAAAAATATAATGTAAAAAACGAAAAAGTACCTTGTCAAACATCAAGAAGACGTTCGCATATTCCTTGAGCGTCTCCTCGCTGATGCTGCCTTCTTTCTTGGCCCTGAAAAGCCGGTCTAATTCTAAAAGCTGTAAGCTTACCGAATCTGCTCATCGACACTCTGCCGTAACCGGGAAACGAGCTGCTCGAGGTTCTCCCACGCGTGCGCCAGCCCCATCCGCGAGTGATTGGTGTAACTAGAAAAAGTTAAATTATTTTTTGTAAAAGCGTCTACGGTTCTTTCGCCTTATCGAGGGGGGGGGGGATATTTTACTTAGGAATCAATTTTTTTTAATATAAATAGCGGATGTTTCTCAAATATTTTTTATTTATTTTTCCTGAACGTCAAAACTTTACAAATTTTATTAAAAAAATACAAAACTATCGATTTATCGATCAAATTTCGATGATTTGGCAAATTTTTTAACGTCAAAATATAGTTTTGTTACTAGAAACTAACTAGAAAAAGCTAGGTTATTCTTTTTGCAAAAAGGGTCTACGGTTCTTTCACCTTATCGGGGGGGAGGAATCACTAACAATACTGGAACTAGTGAAGAAGACCAGATATAATTTTCATCGAAGAAAACGGCTCACGGATTGGTGATCAGCATCTTCCTCTCCAGCGCGGCACCCATCGAATCGACGCGGGCCAGCACGGGACGCGACTCGACGATATCGATGACGATCTGTCGCAGCTTGTCCATCTGCTCCTCCAGCGTCCCCTCCAGCTAAAAACATAAATTAATTATGGCAACAAAACTGAATTCTAAAGCACAGAAAATGGAAAGCAAGAAACCTTAAAAGCCTTCTCCCTAATGCCGGCCATCCAGTCAGCGACTTCATTGGCCGCCTTGGCGAACTCCATGCGCTGCTTGTCGTTGGTGACCTGGCGCTCGTGCTCGGCGTCGAGCTCGCTGGTGCGTGTCTGAAATGAGGATATAGAGGGGATAAAATCGATACAAAATAGATAAAAAGAAAAAAGAAAGAAACTGACCGCAATAAAGCTGAGCACTTGATTCCAGCACAGCTCAATCGACTGCACGTCGAACCAGGTGAACGGGTTGACGGCCGACATTGTTTCTAAATCAAACATGGGTGCTTTGGCATTATCGGGGGGAGGGGCTTTTTCTTTAGGATCGAGTTTCACCAAACTAAAGAAAGCAAGCGTTTCGACACGTTTTTTACTATACTTCGCCCGCCACCGTGGTGGGCCCCCCTAAAAGGTGGGCAGGGGTGGTGGTGGAGGGTGGGCAGAGGGTGGGCGCCGGGGGTGGGCAGAGGGTGGGGGGTCGGGGTGGGGAGACGACCCCCCACCCCCCCGCTAAGGGAAGCCATCAAATCTACAGTCGAGAAAATAGATCACATAGGTAATGAAGCTGTTTATAGTGGGTTAGTCAGTAAATTTTTATTGCCAAAAAGGTACATAAAATTCTTAACAAATTTGACCCTCTTTGGCCATTTTTCATACATTTTTAATCAAAAAGCCAATATATTCCGTAAAATTTTATAATTCTGATGAATTTTTGTACCGCTTTCCGCTATAGAATCCCGGTGGTTCCATTTTCTCCAATTACCCCAGGGGAGGAGTTCTCTTAGAGGAATTTTTTGCTTTTGGAAAAAATTTTTGGGGTTTTATTAAAGGAAATTCGCTCTCTACAAACTGTGCAAAATGATGTAAAAATGGTCGTCATAGGACCATACGGTTCTATACTGTCAATAAACTTGGTTAAAGACTAGCTTTTTCGCTAGTCTTACAGTGGGGTGGGCGTCCAGGGTGGGTGGGGGGTGGGGGTGGCGGTGGGGTGGGGAGGCGACCACCCCACCCCCACCCCCACCCCCCACCCACCCCCGGCGCCCACCCGGCGCGCCCACCTTTCCCCACCTTTGGGGTGGGCCCACCAGGGTGGCGGGCGAAGTATATTTTTTACTAATCCTAAACGTAAAAATGATGCAATTTTTGCCACAATCATTTAAAACATAATTTGCAAGCAAAAATGGCCAATTTTCGACTCAATTTTTGAAAATTTGCAAACTTTTAAGATAGTTTTCCCTTGATAAACTAGAAATTTGATTAAAACGCTTTAATAGAAAAACTAAAACAAATAAAAAGAAATCAATAAATTCAAAGTTTCCAAAATCAACAAAAAAACCCACTCCTCGCGTCGGCATCAAGTTGGACGAGGGCTTGGTACTCCTTCTCGTAGACTTCCAACGACTCGATCAGGTCGCCATGCTTCACCTTGAGCACGTTCAGCGCGTCCATCGAGTTGCAGAAGGGCAACGGCTCGGTCAGGTCCTCTTCCACGCTCTCGAACCACGAGTTGAACGCCGAGGCTCGGCGCGCAAATTCCAGCCACAGGTCTTCGAGGTGGCTGAAAAAAAAGGTTAAAAAAAAGGTGAAAAATTCTATACCTAAATATTCCCTCCATCTCGTCCATATGCATCGATACCATGTCGGCCTCGTGCTTCAGCGCCTTCCACTTTTTCATGATCATCTCCCAGTGCCGGCGGGGCCCCTCGCTGTTATCGCCTTGAGGCAGCTAAAAGGAGAAAATGTTTAGAAAAAGGATGTTTCAAACCATTTTCTCGAATTTTTGAATCTGGTCCTTCTCGAACGACTTGAGCTTGGCGACGAAGAGCGAATGGCGAAGACCAAGGCGCTTCGCCGACTCGAGGCTGTCCACCTGCTCGTCGGGGTGCACGAGTTTCGATTGTTCGGCTGAAACATACAGATATTTGAGTGTTTTTGCATTATCGGGGGGGGGGTCACATTTTCGTGATTTTTTCAATAAAAATTGGGAGTCTTTTGCAGATTGTTTCTTAATTAACTATCCAAAACGAAAAAAAAAAACCTTAAAAAAATTAATAAAAATTCACCAAAATAGCTGTTTATTGCTATTTAAAAAAATGTTGCGACAATTTTCAGATACTGTTTTGAATGAAACATAGTTAAATTTTACTAAAAAAATGAAAATACGGTAATAGGAATATCCGGCTGACAGGAAAAATTCGGACCCCCCGATAGCGCGAAAGCACCGAGATTTTGAAGAGCATTGGATAAAACGTACCAATCCATCCCTCGATCACATCACAGCGCCATTGGAAATGCACCAGATGCTCGGCCTCTTCCAGCTCGGCGCGACGTCTCAGGCAGAGATCGTTGACTTTATCATAACTAAAGACAAGGGTATTTAAAAAAACACAGATTAATACCATTGCTGAAGCCGGCTAATCTTTTCGCGCAGTTGTGGCAGGCAGACGCCGTCGGAGGATGTGTCGACGGCTTCGATCAGCTGCTTGTAGTGCTCGCTGTGGGCTTCAATCTCGGCCTGAAAAAAAAAGAATTTTTTTGAATGTAGTAATAATCTAAAATATACATTTAACTAAAAAAATTTAGTATCACCCAACAGCTACTAATATTAGCAAACCTCAAATTCGATATGCTTCTTGAGGGCGCTCTCGACAGCCGCCGACGAGCGGGCTTCAACGTTGTGGGCGAGCAGCTCGGCACACTCCACCAGCCAATAGACACCTTCATCGATTTGCGTGGCAAGTTTCTAAAAAAATAATTTTCACACCACTGCGAAATCTCGTACGTAGTAATTCTCATAGTCGACGAGGGCCAACTCGCGTTGCTGCAGGGCCACCTCGAATGTCTGCATCGCCGCATCCAGGTCCTCCATCTTGGCGTCGAGCCGGACGGCCGTTCGGATCTCCGGTTTGACGCCCTCGCACTGTTCCCAGATGTGCTTCAGCTGCTGTTGGTGGCTGACCATCTCGTCCATCAGGCGTCGATGCTTACGGACCAGATTCTAGAATTTTGTAAGATAAAAGGTGCAAGAACGCGGTCTATTTTGATTTTCTGATTGTCATTTTTCCTAGAAACAAGAAAAGGAGCAGCAAACTTGGTAAATTTAAAAATTCGTAGTCAGTGATAATTTTAAATGTACTGCTTTTTCATTTTTAAATAATTTATTTACACTTAAACATTGATTTTTATTCTTAAATATATTTAGATCCATTTTACATTTAAGAATAGCGCGTAAAAATATCAAAAAGCGCCAAATGCCGTCTGTTTTCACGTAAATTTTGAGCTGCACTTGAGGCTATTTTTTGTCTTAGTTTTATATGATAATAGGTTTTCACCTAAATTTCGCTAAATTTCGCCACAAACGCTACTAAAATACATCGTATATTTCTACGAATTTCTAGCCTCTATAGGCAAATTACTTTCAGGCAAAAATCAATTTAAGAAATTAAAGTAATTCCAAAAATTCCAAGAATCCCCCACCTGGAAATCCCGCGAATCACGTCCATAGTCGGCGCTCTGGGCCAAGATGCGCGTCTCGGAGACCCAGCTGACCAAGTCGTCGATTTTCTTCGCGATCAGGTGCGCGTCCAGGGCCTAATAACCATAGTCAAACATATTTGAGAGTAGCCATACCTTCTCCAGCAGCTCGGCCCTATTCTCCGCCTGCTTGCGCACTTTGTCAAAATTCTCAACGATGGCGGAAGCGCGGGCTCGGCTCGCGTCGGCGACGACTTGATCGAGGTCGATTGACTCGTCTGGGCACTAAAAGAGGAAATGAGTCAATTTTTCGGCTTAATTCAAGTTAGCTTAATAAATAAATATAAAAAAATGGCGGTTCCTAAGTAAATCTACACAGACCTAACTTTGTATTTAACGATTCCGGAGCACAAAAACAGCATAAATTTTAATAAAAATCAACATTTTAGGTAGAAAAGTAGTTTTTTTTTCAGATAAAATTACCCAAATTTTGATTATCCAATTTTTTATAGATTTTTGTAAAAAAAGTTTATCATTATTCAAACTGCAGCTTTGTAAGTTTTTTACTACCAACCCAGAGGTACAAATCGCTAAAAAACAATAGAAAAACAGACCTCTTTCGGCATTTCCTCGAGCAACTCGGAGAGGTCAATGACCTTGTCGGCGTACACGTTCAGCTCGGCGTTCAGCAGCTCGTTCTCCCGTTGCAGCCGCTCCAGCTCGCCAATGTCCTAAATCCCGAATATTTACCAACGGCCGTAAAAACCTACATTTCCGAAATCCCGGGATGCGGCCGCATTCTCGACCTTGCCCAGCCACGCTTCCACCTCAGAAGCGAGCTTCTCAAAGGCTTGCCGGCGATTTTCTTTCTAAATTAAGGTTTAGAATTAGAAATGAATTTTTAAAGCGCAATTTTTAATAATTTGGATAATTTTAAAAATGCAAAATAAGGAAATAAATAATAAAATTCGATAACTGCTAAATACCTCCATCTTTTTCGACAAATCTCCATATTGATGCTCGAGGCGTCGCCACTGCTTCTCGACATTATGCACCCTTTCGGTCACCTAAAAAACCAAGAAATTAGGATTTAAAAGAGCGCCTACAAAATCGGTTTGATCCATGCTGCGGCGAGAGCTATTTAGGGCATCCTGGCCGGCCGCGATCACTTTGGCTAAAAACAACTTTTTAAGGCTTAAAAATCGGCATACTAATGCGATCTTGCATCATTTTCAGCTCCTCGCCGAGGGCGTCGTGGCGTTGCATTCGTTGGGTTTTCTCCTCGGTCGACAGGTATTCGTACTCTTCCATGATCTAAAAAAACACTAAGCAGTTTTTCTAGAAACGGGGATCAAAATGTCTTCTTCTTTCTTCTTCTTACCAAAAAGAATTTCAAATTCCTAGTGTGATTTTAGAATTTTCCAAACTTGCGTGACTAGCCATGCAGTTAATATAATAAAAAAATAATATGAAAAGATATTTCCATATTTAAGCGCTATTGAGCGGTGAGAAGAGAAGAATTTGGCGCCCAATCCAGTTTAGTTCAAAAGAACCAGAAAATTAGTTTTTTAAAACACGCACCATGACCTTCTCCCTCATCCAGGATTCAGCGGCGTCAGCTTGGCGCGTAAAGTCCTGCACGGTGCGCTCGTCGCCGATTCGATTGCGCGCATCGATCAGGTCGGCCTTCAGCTGCTCCCAACGGCTGCTGATCGCCTCGAACCGCTTCTCGGCTTCTTCCTGTAAATTTGAAAGTAAAAAACTGCCGAAAAAGTCAAACCTTATCCGGCAACTCGTGGGCGATGATGAGCTGGGCGCGCTCCTCGAGGCGAGCGTAGTCGGGGGTCTTCTTCTCGATGGCCTGCTGAAGTTCATCCTGACGAGTGAGTAGCACGGCAAAGTTTTCGCCCGAAACATCCAGACGAACCGCCGACTCGTTCGTCGTCAGCCAGGCGTCGAACTGAAATAAGTAGATTATCCCCAAGTTTCTTTCACCGAATTTCCAGGCCATCGAAGAAATTCTCAGCAATTTTTCGGTGACAAAAAGGAGCTGGTTCGAGCGGGGTAGGGGGGTAGCAGAGGGAAACGCGCTTCATCTTCTCGGTATAACCTACGTAGTAAACAAACAGATCATTTCCGTAGTTTTTTAATGGTTTTGTTTACCAAAAAAGTGATACCAAAAACTTTTTTTTTTGTTAAATTCAACAATTGCGAAATTTTGTTACCAAAAACCAACACATTTTTAATTCCAAAACCACATTTTTGATGAGATTTTTCAATGAAAAAAAGCGCAAAATGCCATTTAAAAAATTCAAATGTTATCGTAGAGCCCCTAAGAATCCGAGGAAAAAGCAATTTTCAGCTGCTAAATCCCGCCCCCCCCCGTTAACGAACCAGCACCGTTGAAAATTCGGTGAAATTAAATTCCACTATATTTAAATTTGGAGGTGCACTAAAGACGCGCTGCGAAGACCCCCAACTACGATAGTTACCTGCTTACAGTCCCGCAAGAACTTTTTGCAATTCAACGCTTCCTCTAGGAGATCCTGTCGTTGTTGCCAGCGCTCGTGCATTTGTTTGAAGGCATCCACCGTCTAAATGAGAGAAATTACTCCACCTTATAATCACAACCTGGTGCACAATGTCCTTCATTTCGGGCGTGCCGGCAATAGACGAATTTTGGAGTGATTTGGCAAAGATGGCCTCGTGCGTCTTGATCTCGTTCCACGATTCGGCGTGCTGATCGATCAGCGCTTGAATGCCCTCGACGTCATCGGCCAGCCCGGTGGAGCTGATGATCGGCGTCTCGGCGTCGATCCACTTCAGCACGTCCTGGTTGGCGGCGCGGAAGTGCTGGAGCGGCAGGATGCGTGCGAGCTCGGTTTTGCGCTGTTCCATCTGAAAATGAAAAATTTTTCAAGAATCGCTGTCAGTTGGTCTAAAAGCTGGCGCAAAAAAATACCTTGGTCACCAGCGTGTTCCAGCGATCACAAATTGCCCGCTGCTTCTCGTAGGTGGTCTGCGAGATTTCGGGGAACTCTCGTCGCAGTGATTCGCCCTAAAACAAGGATTTTAGCCGAAATATCTCGAGCACCAATTTTAATATTAGAGTCAATTTATTATAAGAATCTGTCGTTCTTTGGCATTATCGGGGGGGGGGGGCTTTTTCTCAACTTTTATTAGTTTCCAATTTTTCCAAATATAGAGAGGAAGTGGTCCTAAATGTTTTTTATGCCCCATAACGTTTCCGACGAAAAATGGCTGATCTTTTTAACAAAATTTCTACTGAAAACGCTATGAAAAAATTTACAATTAATTTAACCGACATTGCTCGGCTGCCAGGGAAATTCAATCCCCCCCCCCCCCCCCCCCTGGATAATGGGAAAGAACCGAATCGGCCTGCAAAAAAATTACGACGAAAAACATATGTAAAGAGCCACGGGTGCCAAGCAGCCGTTTCCATTACCTTCCGAACAATTTGATCGACGAGCTGCTCCAGCTGATTCATGTCGCCCTGGGCAGTCTCGAAGTCGCGGGCAATCTTGTTGATGCGATTGTCGTTGGCACCTTCCGGCTCGTCAGATAGCAGGAATTCCTAAAATCCATCTAAAAAAGAGAAACTAAAAATCCCACCTTATCGCCAATGCGTCCCTCAAATTCGGCGGCTTCGTGGACCCAGGCGGCGAAGGCGAGTCGAGCGGCTTGGCCTTGCTTGCGGCCCGCCACAGCGTCGACCAGTTGTTTCCACTGCTCGGACAGCTGATCGAGGTTCTTGGAAAACGTCGATCGGGACACTTCTTCTGCCGAGAATTCGTGGGCGCGGGTGTAGAGCGCGCGGAGTTCAGCCTGAATTATTTAATTTGAAAAGCAATTTGATATACCTCTTTGATTGGCCATTGCTCGTTCAGGTCGATCATCGGGTCGTCGTCGGGGTCGGTGGCTTCGGAGCGGGAGCGGAGTTGATTGTACTAAATGGGGGAGTTCAATCTGTGTCCGAAATTTTGAAAACATACAAAAATCGATAATAAAAAAAATAATCTTTGCACTTGAAATAAAAAACCACCTTCTCCGTCACCCAATTCGTCAGCTCGATGACGTCGCGATTCAGATGGTAGCCCTTGCGCACGGATTCGATTTGCCTAAAATTGTCTAGTCGAAAATCTCTGCCGAAAAATACCTGCGCTTCGTCTCCGCTTTCTGCAATATCTTCTGGTACTCCTTCTCAATGTGCTCCTGGAGGGGCAGAATCGCCTTGTCGTCGTGGATCTCGATTTTGCGCACAAATTTGCCGGGCACGAAGCCGATCAGGCCGTGGAGCTGAAAAAGGGTAGATTTATTGATAAATTTTTGTTTATCCACATCCATTTAAGGCATAATTATACGCCAGGTTCTTCTGACAAAAACGTAGCAAAAAAATGGCATGTAAAAAGTCTGTAAAAGTATGTAGAATTACATGAATTTTCCACCAATCGCCATTCGAGTCGTCGAGCAGTTGCGCGTCGTCGCCCTTCTGAATTGACAACTCGCGCTCGTTGCGCGCCAGAAACTTTTCGACGCACATCACCCGCGGCGTGGCTAAAAAGTGTGAATTTTCTACACAAAAAAATTAGCTGAACCTGTCGGGCACGTCTCGGCCAGGTTCTCAGCGGCCGTGCGCAGCTCGAAGATGGTATTCTAAAGCAAAATTTTTTAGCCGAAGAAAAAAATGAATATTACATTATAGGCAAGGAGATCAGAGCAAAAGGCCTCGTGTTGGCGGAAGGCCCGCTCGGCGCCCTCATCATCGTTGTAGTCGTGGCGGTCAAAGAGTAGCCCGGTCATTTCCTTAATCCAATTCTGCGCCTGGTCGACGTCGTCCCAGTATTCGTGTTTCTGAACGAGAGATTTGCGTAATTGGCTTCTGTAACTATTATATCACCATACGTTTTTCTATTCTAAAACTAAAATCATAATAACAATTCTAAAACATTTTGGCAAATCATGGATTTTTGGTCAAAAATATATGGAAAATTCGCAAAACTTTCTGGCAGCCAAAAATACTAAAAGCATCATAAAAATTCATAATATCTTATCCACTGGCAACGCAAAAATAAGTTTTCCACCCGCTAAAATCTCCCACCCCCCGGCTAACAGACCAGTACCGGAATTATTTGAATTCAAGAAAATCAGTACCAAATTACTAAAGAAAACTACAAACCGCAATCAGATTGCCCAAGTGATGGAGACGAATTTCCGTGTTGGTGGCCAGCTCGTCGAAAAGATCGGCTAGCGTCGACGTGGCAGTGTTTAGCTGCAAAATTAAATAAACAGAAATAATTAAACAGATTTACTTGTGGGAATGAGGTGGCTTTCTTCTGCATCTCCTCCACCTGGTCGACAAGCGTCTCCACGACAGCCGCGTGGTCGTTGATTTCGGCGGTGAGCATCTGAAGAGGATTTACTCAAAAAAGCGAGCTCCTCTTACCTTGACTTGTTTGTAGGCATTCCGCAGCTTCATCACCTCGTCCGAGTCCATCGTGATCGATATTTTGAGCTTCTCCCGGGTCCAAATCAACTCTTCTTGGACCTTGGCCAATAGGTCGAGATCTAAATGAATTTTTATGAGAAAACAAAAACGATAATATAACGGATTTGGACTGTTAGCTGGGATAAAAAAAAAGCCAGAAAACAGAAACTACACATTGAAAACAAATAATTGTTTTTACAGCACTTTTATATAATTTTTAGCAAATTTTATTAATACAAAGTATTAAAATGTTTTTACAAAAGCGACAGTTTTGGACTTTTTATAGCTATCTGGCAAAACTTTTTCAAAAATTTTTAAGTTTCTTTGCCAAAAAAAAAGGGTAAGAAACTAACTAATCATTGGGCCCAAAGAGACGATAGCCAAAGTGAAAGTTCGACCCCCCCCGTTAACAGTCCAGAACCAAACTTACCCTTTTTACAAGCGTCGAGCTTCGATTGAACGGCTTCAAGGCGGCCGGCCATCTCGTCAAAGTTGCCCTTGCATTTTGCGAGGCGAGCCATCGACTTTTCATCGCCAGTCTCGAGAAGCTGATTCTCCAGCTCTTCGATCGTTTTCTAGAGAACACGAATGTAGCAAAAGAAAAAGATCCCACCCTCTGGTCTTCGAACGATTTCTGCAGTCCGGCCAGTGATTTCAGCTTGGCCTTGATAGTCGGAATATCCAAATCTCGGCCAGACGTCCCGTCGAAGAAGCCGGAAATTGTCGATTCGTGCCGATCGAGCCATCTAAAATAAACGTTTTTACGACTTTCGGCGGTAATTTTATAAGCAAGAATGGCCGCAAATCCCTACCCAGCCAGCTCCTCCACTTTTCGATCCAGCAAAATTATCGCCGCAGCCTTCTCGAAGAATTCGGTCCGAGCGCTGGCCTCGCTGTTTAGCTCGTTCCACCGGTCGGCAACCTCCTCGAAGTCGCGGATCGCCGTCTCGGCCCCGTTTTTCGACAGCTGCTCGGCCTTGGGGCGCATCGCGTTCAGCTGCTCCTTGTGCGCCTAAAAATCATGAATTCCCATAAATTTATCTCAACCTTGAGCTCGTTGAGGAAATTGTCGTGGCCACGCTCTTCAAGGCGTATGTTCTTCTTGTGGAGCGACACCTTGACCTCGCTGCGTTTACGGGCGTTCTCGTCGATCCAATGGCGAATTGGGCGTAAATCTCTGAAAAAGACTTCGGTTCTTTTGCATTTTTGGGGACCAATTTTTTGTAAAGTTAGCATATTTTAAAAAAACAATAAATAAAAAACGTTCTCCCAACCCTCTCACCCCCCGCTAATGCGCAAGAACCGACTTTCTATACAAAATTAAAAAAACCACAAATTCAAAAATCGGTTTGATGCCAAAAAGACAATCGAAGTGCAAAACCCACGTCTCAAATTCGGCCAGCTCGGTGGCATCCTGGATCTCCTTTTTTAACGAGGCGCAAAGCTGCTCGAGCGCCTCCAGCGTCGATTCGACTTGCTCAAGTTCCTTGGCCATGACGTCGCCAGCATCTTCGCCCACTAAAAAAAGTATTTTTTTTTTATCCCAAAAAGACATAAGTATTCAATAGAATTCCCTCAGGCAAACCAACCTCCTTGAAGATCTTTCGAGCGTGCTATCAGCATATTGTAAACATCGCGAAGCGGGGAGACCTTGCGATGGAGATCGTCAAACTGTTTCTTGGCGGTCTCGGCAGCCGCCGGCTCCACGGGGGTCAACCGCTTGATCATGTCCTAAAATACGGCATTTCTCCAACTGTCCAAAAATTCTCTGCAATAATTTTTAGCAAAAAACACACCGTCATTCGCGAAAGGGAGGCCCGTAGCTGTTCGGTCTCCCATTGCCATTCGCGCAGCTGCAACGATTGGCCCAGGAATTCTTTGCGCTTCTCCGCGGCCCCGGAAAGTTTGTCACGAAGCTTCGATAGGTCCTGCACTTTTTCATCGACATCTGTAAAACAAAGAATATGTCATTTAGGCGGAATTAAAATTACCTTTCGATGTCTTTAGCTCTTCGGCCTGTCTGATAGTGTTGGCGATGACATCGATTTGGGCGGCGATTTCTCCCTGAAAAGTATGTAATGGACTGTTGGCGGGGGGACCATGTTTTGCCAATTAATCCCGTACGGGTTTTTTTTAAGGCTTTTTAATCCTCTAATTTTACCTCCAGATCCTGTAGCTGCTCCTGGGCCTCCTTGACGTTGTCCACATCAGCCGGCATCTCGGTGTCGTTGAGAGCTGCCAAAATATCGTCCGCCTTGGCCACAATGTCACTAAAAAACTTTTAGATCAATGGAAGCGTAAATACGTGTAATCGCCAAAGAACGTGATGCGCTTCTTTTCGGCGGCCAGGGCCTCGCGTTTCTTCACCAGAGCCTCCTAAAACGGGCAATGCTCAAAAACAAGCTTAGAAACTTGCCTCAAGTTTTTGGACTTCCTTGAATAGCTTCTCGACCTCCTTCTGCTTGCCGACAGAAACGGCTTCGGGTTTGAGAGGGGCGAGCCGTGTACGCATCGCCGAGATCTCGTTCATCAGCAAGTCCAGAGCGCAAATTTGCTGCTGAAATTGGCGTTTTATTCAATGCCGATAGCGAGCCAATTTTCCTGGAGGTGGTATTTTCTAAAAGCCAAATTTTCAAAAATCGGGCTGTCGAAATAAAATTACGGAAAATTACAGGGCTATTCTTTAGCTCTGGTAGCTTTGCATATCACCGCAATCTTTAAAATTCTGGTCCAAAACATGATTTTTGAACAAACCCCATTTGAAAAAAATTTTCCAATTTTTCTAAAAAGATACTTTTGGTATTTCCTCTAATATTAATACTGATATACTCTTTTTCATAACCAGAGTCCTGCTCAAAACTCGAAAATTACCTCAAGTCCATCGCTCGACGCCGCCGGGCCCACAGCTTTCAGCTTCTTGTAGTAGTCGGTAATGTTCAGCCGCATCTCTGTCATCGTTTCGATGACACGGGCCGTCTAAATCCATAAAATAAAGAGCAACCGGGGGTGAAGTACCTTTTCCTTTCCAAAGAGCGCGTCGTTGCATTCGTTGGCTCGGGCAAGCACCTCGTGCCATTTTTCGGTCACCAGATCCCGCTTGGCCATCACGTCCACCTCATCCATGACGCCCTTTTCGAGCAGACTTGATGCCTCGAGCGCGATCTCGTTGACGTTGTTGACTTTCGATTGAATATCCTAAATCTCGGTTAGAAAAGTGTAAATAGGAATACCTTAAAAAGAGACTCGAAGCGCGGCTGCAATCCGGCCACGTCGCCCTCCTTCGGGGCCTCAAAGTCGTTCTTCAACAGCGCATCCTTCTCCTCGAGCCAACTAAAAAAATAACGGTTTGAAAAACACGAGCATACGCGAGAAGGCGATCGCATCGTTGCGTGAATTCGAGGCTCGTCAGCGCCTTTTCGAGCAGCACCGTACGCTCGCTGGCTAGTCCTTGGAGCTTTGCCCACATCGCCATCAGCTCATCGAGGCGCTTCTAAAGGGGGCGAAATTCGATGAGTTTGGAAAGCCAGTATTGTACTGTTAGCGGGGGAGGCTCAATCGCCTAGCAGAGTCACGTGATTTCGGACTTTTCTACGCTGGTTTTATTTTTGACCAAAAATTAAAAATTCCTAAAATGTCGGGAATTTGAATGGCTTTTTAGCAATCTAGCAAATTATTAAAAACGCCATACGGATAGGAATATTCTACAGCTTTTACAGTCGCCAAAAATTTCTTTCACGGCCGCCCGAAAGTTGACAAACAGACCTCAATGAACTCCTTGCCAAAGTGCCCGTAGCGAATCATGGCGACGGCGTTTTCGCGAAGCATCGTCAACCGCTTGCCGGTGACTTCCATCTCGGCTACGCACGTCTTATGGCGGCGGAGCTTCACCTAAGCAAAAGTTAGAGCTAAAATTTTCCAAGTACCTGAGTGTTTGTCAGTGACGTGCTGTCCGAGTTCTCCATTCTGGCGATCGCGTCCAGCAGCCATTCCTCCAGTTCATCGGCGTTACTGAAAAAATAAATTAATTCACGAGAATTTCCCATACACTTTGAAGAGCTGCAATTCCTTCGCTTCGCCGAGTTTCTCCTTTTTCTGCGCGGCCAGCTCCTTGAATTGGTCGTAGTTGGACAGGATCTCATCTCGGCGCGCCTGAAAAAAAAGAAGTAGTTTCGTTAGTCTAGATCCGTTGAACCATTTTTGGAAAGAAAAAACTGGCCAAACGTGCAGAATTTGATAAAGGCCCAATAATTACCTGGATGCCCTCTGGGGTCTCGTCAGTTCGCGGTAGCACGTCTTCTATCAGCGACACCGTATCCTCCGTGCTCATCGTGACCGATTTGCGTCAAGAGTAGAATTCTGAAAGATCAGGAAAATGGTTTTGTTGAGATGACGATGAGGAAAAGATGAGGAAAATGTTTTCTCCAGTAATTTCGGACGGCTATCTAAAGATAACTGGCCCGTTTCCCAGCATTTTACCGCATTCTTCGCTATAGATAGAAAACAAATTTGGCACAGTAATGATTTTCCTGGTTAAAAATGTATGGAAACAAGGCAAAAAGTTCACTCTTATTAAAATTTTGTCATTTCCCAGTCATCAAAAACCGCTAAAACCCAAAAAAAAAACGCAGAAGCGGAACGGTAAAAATTAGTGCCTATCATTACCCCGAAAAGTCTTTCTCTCGAAAATGCCACCGTCTTAAATTTCATCCAGAAATTTCGTGCAAAAACAGCTACGAAAATTTTGAGCGAATAAAATCTTTAGAGATGCTGATTTGCGAGATGATGACAGATTCCCGGTAAAAATTAGCTCCCCCCGCTAATCGATAAGCACCGGAAAAATAGGGTACGTAAAAAAGCACACCTTTAGATACACTAGAGCGACCATTCTCCGTAAAGAAAAAAAAACCATCGGAAGCAAGCCAAACAAAAAACACAAAATATGCAACACCGGTAGCGTACAATTTATTTGATTAGTATCAAGCAGCTTCATCGCAAGAAAGGCGCACATCATCCACACAACAAATCGTGACACGGTACAACAGAAATAGGGCAACGACACAAACTAGGGGTTAGAAAAAGGAGATCGACACACAACGACAACAAAATTTACGGGGAATAGGTCGAGCTGCTTGGCGAGGCGCGGGACGGGGAGTCCGAATCGAAGGTGACCACCTAAACGGCGAAGTTTAATAAACGGCCAAAAATTTCGAAATCACCTTTGAAGGGGGCGATGAAGACGATGGTTCCGTCTCGTCGCTGGTCGGTGCGTCGGCCGGGCGCGCCCTCAGCACGCCACCCCAATTCTTGGCGGGGACACCTGAAAAAGCGAGATATTGAAGCTGGTCATAAAGAGTAAATCAAAAATTCGCTGGACGATATAAAAACGTTTCCGGTAGTTTAAATCGATTTTTTTGAAGCTCATAGTTCGGTTTCTGTAGTTTGAAAGCGTGGAATTCAAAATTACAAAGTCGCGCAAAACTAGCCTTTTTTAGACCGCCCAATGCGGACAATAAATTTTTTGAATGAATTACGCTACAAAAACGAGGTTTTTCTGTACGAAAATCACGTAGAAAGAGGCCAAAAAAAAGAAAGCGCTTTCTCGTTGTAAATTAAATTTTTTTTTAAAACCCTCACTTGGCGTCATCGCGCGCCTCTTCGACGCTGGCGAGTGCGGATTGAGGAAATTTTGCAGCTTTTGAATCCAGCGGGCCAACGGTGCGATGACGGACTGGTCGCTGTACGGGGAGACCGCCTAGGAAAAGTTATAGCAAATGAAAGTTTGGTTACCTTGTGGGTCCGCTTGGCCGTGGAGAGAATTTGCCAGACTTCCGTCTTTCTGTATCGGCGCAATACGGGGACCGAGACGTAGTGCGTCACGTAGGCGGAGATGGTGCCGGAGAGCGCTGGAAGAAGATAATTGCTAGAAAAATGGCAAAAATTTACTAGTGTCCGGGTAGTTTCGAAGATGGTGGAGCAGGCCGATGATGATCGAGATCTCGGGCGCGTTTATCTAAATTTGGCATGAAAATTTTACAATCTGACAATAAAACCCAAAGAAACAAACTACAAACCAAATATTCCGGCTTCCCGTCGAGCACCGCATGCTTGGCCTGAGCGAGCGCAAACTCAATCATGGCGTTGAAGCCGACGCGGAAGGGCAGGTCCACGGTCTCGGCCACGTCGACGGCAGCCACCACCGAGGCAGAAATGTACATCCTAAAAATGTATTAATTTAAATTCATTAACCATACTTCAAGGAGAGCGTGTCGTGGTCGGCCAAGAATTGCTTCACCATCTCGAGCAGCTCTGGCTCGGCGTTCGTCGCGTGGGCGGCGAGTAGAATTTTTGCCAAGAAACTCGTCCAGCTGGAAAAGAATGTATATTTTTTTTAATCAGTGTAATTTGGCTGACGATCATTACACATTATTAAATTGATTTTACAAAAAGTCATTTGAACCAAAGTTCATTTACTAAAAATCTAAAAAACCAATGAGAAGAATAAATTTTTCGATTTGCCCTCATAATATCGAAATTCATAGGACTAAAAATTGCACAATTCCGAAATTAGAAATGCTCTTTCTGCGAAATAGATGGCAAAATTTAGCAAATTGCACATCGTTTGTTTTTCGTCGAAAACGATTCTCGCTAAAATAACTAAAATTAAAGCTCGGCTAAAATAAGCTTTCGGTACGGCCATCAATAACCGGAAATCTAATATTTACCGTTGCCCCAAAACGATGAGTAGACGAAGAGCTTGATGAATGGCTGCACGGCGAACGACGGGATCCTAAAAAAGATGATGGTCATAAAATCGGCTGACTTACCTTGCATAGGATCCATTTCTCGTAGAAGCTGGCCAGCGCCTTGACGTGCACCTCGGCCTCCTAGAATAAAATTAATTCGTCTACAGAAAGACGCAAACCTGGCTGGTATCTTCCGGGGTGCCGAACATCGCACAGGCGGCCTTCTTCAAGCGACGGCTGAGCACGAGTTCGGTGATGCCGGTCAGGCAAGCGACGAGCGTCTCCGGCTCGTCCGACATCTCGTCGGGGAGCGCGACAAGTATTGGGGACCAGGTGAGCAGAGACTAAATGGTTAGTTATAGGAGAAAACTTTTTTCAAAAGCCTAAGAAATGTTTGAAACAAAAAAAAATATCGATATTTTGGTCATTTTGGGTAGAAATAAAAATTTTTCGATCGGAATTGAAGTTTTGTTTTGAAACTTAGTTTTTAGGCGCAAGTTCAGTTAAGAAACAATCTACAGACGTATAAGCTATTATTGAAAAAATCGAAGCTTGCGCCGAAAAAAAAACATTTTTGCAAAAAAAGAAAAAATATTATTCGAAAAAAACAAATTTCCAACAACCACCAATTCACCAAAAATTCGAACCTTGTCACAAATGCAGGCCGCCATCGCCACGATGCGACAACCGATTGGCCGCGTCCTCCGCGACTCGGACGTCGCTTTTTCGCCCAGCTGTCGGATGAGATTCTCGACGACGGCCGTGTGTGGCTGCTTGAATCGGATGCGGATGAGGGCCTCGCAGAGTAGGGCGCATCTAAAAGTTTAGGTCATCAAATAGCCTGAAACGTACCGTAAGATGAGCTCCTCATCACCGCCGAATCCCTTGCGCGGGATGAGGGCAAGCACGGAGTAGGCAAACTCGTTGGCCATATTCTGAAAAAGGGTAGAATGGTGAAATCAGACATAGAATATTGGTACTCGACTATTAGCGGTGGTGGAAACCTGGTTTTGCTATGCTCTGGGGTTCCGATAATGAAATACACAACATTTAGATAGCTTTTTCCCCTCGCTTTTATTTGAAGTATAGAAATTTATAAAAATCAAAAATTAAGGCAGAAAAATAGCATAAAAAATTTCGATAAACCAATTTGTCTCTAGGAAATCACACTTGTACATTTTGCAAATCTTCAAAAACACGAAATCGACGACTTTTTGGTAATAAAGGGCTACTAATTTTGACAAAATTAAACTTAGAAACGCCAAAACTTTTGCTACATCTTTTCCACCCCCGCTATTGGTCCAGTACCAGAAAATTTACCAGGGCTTCCTCCTTGGAGCGTGTGCTGCGGACGACGATGTCAAACGCGGCCTGGAAGATGGCGCCGGACGTTTTGAAGAAGCCATTCTGGACGGCGATCGACGTGACGACCTCGCGCCACAGCTCCAGCCCTTGCCCGTCGCTGCGGTCGACCATGCGCAACATTGTGCACAGCTCGCTGAAGATGAATTCCTAGATTGAACGTTTAAATTTGTCAGCAATTCCTTACGATCAGCGCCTGATCTTCCTCGACGTCCATGTGATACATTTCGTTGACAAACCTAGAAAACGAAGCATAAAAATGAAAAAATATCTTGCTCACTTTTGGGTAGCCGTCGCGAGCGTCGTCAGCGTGGGCAGGAAGCGCTCGAGGACGTCTTCCGTCGACTTTTTTGGCTGCTAAAATCGAAAGTGAATGGCAAGCAAGAGACGTGCGCAAACCGTCTGGATCAGGAATTCGATGAGTCGGCGATGGAGGAAGAGTCGCTTGGCCAGAACTTGGGGCTCCTGTACACCACTGAAAATGGAAAAATAGAAATTCTTTCTTGAGAGTTTTGTCAATGAATTCTAAGCTACGATTCGAGCAAGTGTAGCTGTTTTCAGTACAAAAATACTATAGGAAATACCGGAAATTTTCAAAAATTACGAATTTTGGCCGGAAATGCCGGAAAATTTTGGCCTTGCAACAGAATTCTTGCGATTTGCCAAACTAACCAACGCGGACAAGCCTGTATTAAAAATACATACCTTTCTTACTAGGCTGTAAAAGATAAGTAAAAAAATACGTTTGAGTGCCACGCCAAAATTTTGAACCCCGGTGTCGATCCAACATCACATTGCTCACCTTTGCAGTGCTTCGAAGAAGAACTCCTTCTGGATTCGCATCTCATCAAAGATGACGCCATCTTGGATCGTCGCCGTGTCTTCGGCCCGAAGCGCGGCCACCCACTCGCCGGACGATTCCGATTCCACGCTTTCCTTCCGGCAGACCACGGCGATGGCGTCAAACTGAAGCAGAGGGATTTCTTCGAAACAACCATGAAAATACCGCTTTATGGGCGATGGCTTTGTGCTCGATGGGGCAGACGAATTCGAAGAGCATCGACAGCCGCAACGGCTCGCCCTCAGCCAGCTCGGCAAGCCATTTTGAGAAGAGGCCGGGAATTCGGACGGGATTGGCATCTGTAAAAGTTAATAATGTAAAATCAGTGTAATAATTGAAACCATATTCCAACTAGAAAGAAACTCAAAACCTTGCAAAATGTCTAAAAATTCGAACTTTTGATAAAAAAAACGGCAATTTCTTGTCGAAAAATCTACATTTTTTTGTAACTACTAAAATCAAAAGTCTCTACGCTTAGGAATAGTAATAAACAGTTTAGTAAAACTTCCGCTATTAAAGGGATACCCAACATTTGCGAGGCTCAAAAAGCAAAAACCATGACGCGGGCGGGGGTCGAACCCGGGACCCTCGTTTTGAAGACCTGGGTGCTATCCATTAGGCCATAGTGGCAAGCCATTGGTTGAGATGGGGACGCCACAAGAGGGAAAAGCGTCCGAATTCTGTGCGGCACTGGGCGTCCGTTACCGCACAAAATTCACGCGTCATTTGTACTCTCCGGAATACATAACTATATATTTGCCGCTAAAACATTGGGTATCCCTTTAATCTTTTAACCAAATTGGATCCTAAGAAACAAATTTTGTCCCGGCCCCGATAATGCGAAAGAGCCCGGCATCGTAACGCACCTGGCGCGAAAACCACTTCCAAAAGCCGGGTCACTTGTTCTTGCCGCAGATCGTGGAAGGCGACACCGAGCTCGAGTCTTCTGACCAGACAATTAATGATCTAAAACGAAAATAGATATTTTCAGCCGAATCCCAACAGCGCGATTTGTCTCGCCATCCAGCGCATCAACGGCCATATCGACGGCTTCCGGACTGTCAAACTTCATATTCTCGGCGATCAGCTGGCGAATTTCGTCGTTCTTGTCGGAGAGCGTGCGGCAGATGACTAAACACAAAATTTCTATAAAACCTCCAACATCTCGACTGACTGTCTCGAGGATAGACCGTCTTCCCGTAATCTGGAGCATCGATCTGTACATGCGGCATCGATAGGATTGCGCGCAACGCGGACAGGCGAACGCTTTGCACCTAGAAAAAGTTAGCAGCTCCAGAAAATTGCGATACCTTGTCCCGGGTCAGCAGCGCCAGCCACGGGCCCCAGATCCTGGCTCGATCCTGGTTGCTGAAGGTTCCGCTTTGGGTGGAGAGCTGAAAATAGGATTGGAGGGAATGACGCAGAGTAATACGATTTTTACACACATTAGAAAAATGACCGGAAGTAGGTGCAAATTGGAAGTAGAAACCACTCTTTGATTTTTGAATTCCGCTATAAAACGGCGCGTGACGGGAGCGTGGCATTTAGGTGTCTGAGAGTTTTGTGATGTGACCTAGCTGATTCAATATGGGTTGAAATTCTGAGCAAATTGTATCTTTCAAAAATTGTTGAACAATACAGGACTCGAGAAAAAGCCTCCTAAATGACATTTTGTTACGGGAGGGAGCGGGAGCCAAAAATAGGCTCTTTCAAAGCGGATGTTCCCGTAGACCATAATCGTTCATCAATTTTTCAAAGCGAGATTTGCTTCGAATTTCAAGCCCTTTCGAATCAGCCATGTCAAACCGCAAAACTTCAAAAGCGCCTAAAATCCGCTCCTTTTAAGACAAAAAAATTAAAATGAAGAAGTTACAAAGCCGCTATTTTATGGGTTTTGAATAGAGATGTTACGAATCAAGTAATATAATGATCAAGTAAATTTGCTTGAACAACTTTATTTGCATCCGAAATCTTCAAGTAAATATAAAATTATTTTACGCCGTTTGCTTAAATAAGCATCAAGTAAAATAAAATTACTTGATTTACTTGATCTTGATTGATTTGGGAGAATTACTTGATTTTCAGCGAAATTACTTGATTTTGTGCGGAGCTTTCTGCGACGGAACAGAGATGGGTTTTCTATGCGCTTCAGGGCTTCTTAAAAGGGATTCAAAAATTTACCGGCACAGGCTTCGGGCGAAGTGACTGCAGGTCGATGAAGTCATCCTCATCTTCGTCCATGGCGTCGAAGGAGTCTTTTTCGCTGGCTTGTGTCACGTCCATCGGCTCATCGGCCTCCTCCTCGCCCTCGGCCCGGTCGCGCTCCAGCTCGAGACACTCGCGCATCAGCGAGCACACACGCTCGCGCACGTGGGGCCGCATGTCGAGCACCGACTAGAACAAGATTTTATACGAAAATTTTTCAAAAAACCTCGGCGACGACGGTCTCGACGACCCGCTTGCACACCGACGTTCCGAAGGACGCCTCGAAGGCGTCGGCAAAAGCCGTGGCGCGCAGAATGATTTGCCAGGTGCCTAAAAAGGGGAATTGGTCATCGTCGCACGTTATCGCTTCCTTAGTAAGTTTAAATAATAATAAATAGTAGCCAAAGCCATGCATTAACACATCGCAATGAGTAATTTACAGTATCAGAACCTCTTTCCGAAAACCGATCATCGTTTCAAGGGGGGAAAACAATTTTCTTTTGCCTAGTAACGTAAGTCTGAGCTTTTATCATGTTTTGGCTAGTTGACGACAGCCATAAAGCGATCAAAAAAGTTTTAGATGATAAAAGAAGCAATTTCGAATTTTTTTTACGTTTTCGGATAGTAAATCAGGATTTTGAAATTGCGTGCTTTTGAAACTACGCCATGCTCATTCGGTAGAGCTGGATATTCTGAACAAATCCCATCTTTTAATAACTGCTGAACGATAATGGTCTCGAGCTGAAAGCATCCTTTCGTTCAGCGCAGGCCAAAAATACGCAAAATCCACCTTTACAGGGCAAATTTTCTCGAAGACCGGTATCTTTCCGCGCTTTTGAAATACGGGCTTTAGTCCGGATTCCAAACACTACCGAATGGCACGTCACAAAGACTACAGCGGCTCTTCCATGCGCTTAAACTCAATGAAAAATATACCGGCGGGCATCTCACGACGCGTCAGCGCCAATCCAATGCAATGCGCCAATTGGCTGGATATCTCGTGCTCGAAGATCTCTTCTCGGGTGCCCAGTTGCTCGTTTTCGTACTAAAAAAGACTCATAGCAATAAAGTTTACGCGCTTACAGCCTTCAAGAGCTCGGCGATGTCCTTGCCGGTCGTCTTGACGAGCGACGGCATTTGCAGCAGGATCTCGTAGAGGTTGGCAATCTTCTTCTGATCCACATTGCCACTAGGCGAGAATGATAAGGAAAAGGAGGAGGTGCTCACCTCATCGAGTCGCTCGTCATATCCTCGCTGCTCTCAATCGAGGAGAACTCGGCCTCCTGCGGTGCTTCCGCTAAAAAAAAAGACAAGATTGCAAAAAAAAATAGTTTTCTCACTTCCGGCATTTTCAAATCCGTCGTCTTCATCAAAGCTGTCCTCAAGGTCGACGTTGCGCTTGCGCGGATTGCTGCTCCTGCTGTCCTCCTCAGAGTCCGAGTCGATCATTGGCACCGGTTTTCTCATCTTCTAAATGTGAAAATTTGTTGTGAAAACCGCTGAGGACACGAACAGCGAGAAGATTAGGGAGCGAAGCAAGAAAGTAATTATAAAGCCATTTTATAGCATTTTACACTGTCTTTAATATAAGAACACTTTAAATAAAAATACAAAAGCTTCGAAAAAGTTGGTTTTTTTGTCAAAAACGTATCAAAAAACAAAATTGGTGAGAGAATTTGGATTTTCACACTCTTCCAAAAGATTTCATAGTGCTTTATTGGTCGGAAACGACTAAAAACATTATTAAAACACATTTTTATCCTTACTAGGCAGGTACAAACTCAATTACCCAAAAAAAAAACGATGTTTTAGAAGCTAGGAAGAATCTGAAACGTTGAAAACAAAAAGAAACAAAAAGTCCGAAATCCCAAACGTCCGTTCCGCGCGACGTCAAATGACGCGGGTCCCGCAGCGGGACAGGCAAAGCTCACTTCCTCGGTTAGTAAAGCGCCCGCGGGCGCGCCCGAAATTGCGCCCGCGGGCGCGCTCACGGGCGCGCCCTCGGGCGCAATGGCCAAAAGCGCCCGCGGGCGCGCCCGAAACTCGAAAGCGCCCGCGGGCGCGCCCCAATCGCGTTGTAACGGCGTAGGACGGGTTCTTTAATGCTTTTATTATTTAAAAAGGGCAGTACATAGCTTTTGACGATGCTGTACGCTATACTTAATGTAGATCTTCATGTTCCCTGAGAAATTGGTTGTATTGCGCACCTGAAATATGTTTTTTTTTGCTTTCTTGGCTTTAACTTCGTTTGGAACTTACAGATACGTTCGAATGCGGGATAGACGGCCCCTAAAAGTGTAGCTAATTACCAAATTTCCTTTATAAACTTCGTAATTCGCACTTACTTTCTTCCCGCTTCCTGAAAACTTACTTTGATTTGCTTCTTGCCGACTTACTTTGCAACTCCGCCCCAGAGATACCAGAAACGTCGCGCTTCCCATTTGCAATGATGACCATGATCGTCTGAAAGGCTGGCTTATATAAATCGAGAATCTATAAAACTAAATCTAAAGTATTTTTATAGGTTTTTGAAGGGACTGGTTGCGTAGCAAAACTTTACCTTCTTTACCTGCGCCATGGCGCTTCAAAGTATCGTATTCTACATTCGACGACCATAACCAAGCGAACCTAGTAACGTATTTGTTAATTTATATATGTTTTGAACATAAATAAGTGCATAATCCAGGAACTTAGCCGTTTTTTCGCATAATTGAAAGGTGTTCACCATTCAAATGCGCCCGCGGGCGCGCCCCTAGTTGCGCCCATGGGCGCTTTTTGCGCCCGGGGCGGTTTTGCGCCCTTTTGCAAAAATTGCGCCCGGGGCGCAAAAGGGTCCAGTTCGGGCGCGCTCGCGGGCGCTTTGGGTTTTCGGGCGCGCGCCCGCGGGCGCTTTGCTAACCGAGTCCAAAAAAGGCCGAAGTTTTCTTCCTGTTTTCTTTTTACTTTTTTTTCCATGCGTATTTTTTTGGGTTTTTGATGATCATAACCATTTGAGCCTCCGCTTGCCGATTCAGGCTCAGAAAACTTGGTTTTGGGAGCCGACCGGCAAGTACACCTAAGCTCTCATACGTCGTTTTCGCACGTTTGCTAAAAAGTGTCACTTGTTCACTCCCTGCCATCTTCCCGGAAACGCCCCTATACGCAGAGTAAAATCTAGTCTAAAACTGGATACTTCAACGCCTCGCATCTTGGGCCTCTTTTCTCTAGCATCTCTTTTCTATTTGGTCACATTGACATTAGCGCGCATCGGTTCAATAACTCTGGAAATCCACTTTTTTACGTTAGAAGCTTTTAGGCTGATTTTGATGCTTTTGAAGCTGATGAAAGTGAAAAGGCATATAGCCATAAGAGATTTGCCTTTTCTGCACGATAAACGACCCTGCTCTTCCAAAGGCTGCCGTTTCCTTTTCCTATTTCTTTTTTTACAAAAGTTGAGGCCTCATCAATTTTGCATTTTCAGATGTCCGACGAGCTTGACGGCTTCAAGGCGCGCGTCCGCCCGAAAGTGACCGGCCGCGGACAAGACTACCCGCTCGTCGACCCGTGAGTTTTGCCCGGTTTTATCGCCGTTTTATCAAATTACGTAGTTCTTTCGCATTATCAGGGATTTTCGTCTTGGTCCAAAAATGGAGATTTTTTGTGTATTTGTAAAGTTTTTACGTTTAGTAATATAAAAAAAAATGCGAAAGCACTAAATTTCCATTTTCAGGCCATCGCTGGAGGCCAGCGAGATCGTGAAGGAGGGCTACACCACGGCCGCGAAGGAATATCAAGCGCTGCAACGGAGCAAGGGATTGGTCAGTGTTTTTAGACAGCCTTTTTCAACGATTTTTAGGCCGCTTGGTCACGCACGGCGCCCACGGATCGCCTACGAGAGATCAGGGAGCGCGAGCGTGAGGCCGTGCGCGCGGTTTGTAGTGATATTTTATACTCTAAGATTGTTTTAGAAAATCCCGGAGTTCAAGTTCCCCGAGAAGAACATGAAGCAGCCGGCCGCCCCGCCGCCACTCGAGGCATCCCTTTGCGTCATCCACCCGACGAATATACCGGTGAGCCATTTCGGAAAAATTTTAACAATGCGTTGAAATTTTTGGCGGAATTGATACATGGGGTTCTTTCACATTATCGGTGGGGGAAGGGGGAGCGAAAATTTTTTTAGGAACGGATTTTGAACTATAATTAGCGGAGGTGTTTCTAATATGATTTTGCTATCCGTAGATGAAAAAACTTTGCAATATTTTTGAGACAATCCAAAAAAAATATCAATTTTTCGACTAAAAATGGCCGTTTTTCACCAAAATTTACTTTTTGAAGGTTTTTAGAACGATTTTCTAGTTCAGTTATTGCTTTAGTTTACTAAAAATGTTTTTTAGTACACCCACTCGTCAAAGACGCGTCCGCGCTCCACGGCCCACCTGGAGGATTCGGAAGACCAACAGAAGCTGCTCGACAAATTCTCTCAGCACCAGGTACGCGTTTTCCGGTGCTTTCGCAAGATCGAGGGCGGTAGTTCGCAGTTTTTATCGGCATACTCCGAGTGACGTAATCACAAACATTTTCATAGAGCTGAACATATTTATGAAAGGAGAAACTTTTTGGGGATAGAAAATTTTGTTAAATTACACAAATTTTAGTAAATTAAGTGTTCAAAATGAGGAAAGGGTTATTTGGGCTCAAAAGTCGGGATTTTTGTGAATTTTTGAATTTTTGTTGAATGAAAATTTGTGTAGTTTGCTGATTTAGTAATAGTCAAAGCTGTGTAGAAGCAGCCCCGATTTGTGTTAGACATCGCCGAAAAGTTTGTCCAGCACCCGATTTTGCGAAAGGAATACTAATACTTTTTCCGGAATGCACTGAAAACACGTTTTTTTTCAGATAACCTTCCAAGGAACCTTCGTCGGATGGAACCGCGTCCTCAACGATTGGCTGCTGCTGCGGATGCACAAGGAAATTGAGGACAAGTATCGTTATTATTTTTTTATTCTTTGCTATTTTCTCGCATTACCGGGGGAGTGAACCAAATTTTTTTAGATGTTAGATTGGCTAGTAACTTAATAAGAAGGATTTTAGAATTTTTTTAGTAATTTCAACTAGAAAGATTGTCTAAAAACTTTCAAAAAGTCGCCGTTTTGCTCAAAAAATGGCCATTTTTGGTGGAAAAATCTAGCTTTGTAGTTTTTAAGCTTAGGAATCGCGAATAAAAAATTAAAAACGGATCTGTTTATCTATATTTAAAAATTGGATCCTTAGAAAACATTCCCCCCCCCCCCCGATAATGCGAAAGAGCCTTTATTTTCAACATAATTGCTTGCAGGTTCAACGACGACCCGGAGAAGCTCTATGAGGCCATCTACTACCACTTCCCGAACAAGCTGGATCTCGGCGAATTGAAGAATCAGTAAGGTTCTTGGCTCCGCTTTAATAGAGTGTTTAGCATCATCTACCTCAAGAACAAGGAGAATCCGATCCCCGCCCTCCCGAGCGTTGGTGAGAAGCCGTCGCTAATGAAGCTTTGCGGCGTTTGTATGATGTACGGATGTCACCACGGTACGTTTGCAGATTCTGGACTGTTAGCGGTGGGGGGAAAATCGTCCCAGTAATTCTATACTCTAAATTATCGAAATATATCGAATGTCTAAATTTTCAAAATTGTTTTAATATGATTTTTAAGTTTTGGATTTTTGTAGATAGGATTGGCCATATAGGTTCCCCCGCAAAAAAAACCCAAGTTTTTGAACCGTTTATTGGAAGAAAGATTTCTTTTAGACAAAGCGCTACGCGAACCGGGCGGCGTCGCGGCTCGCGAGCGGCCGAAGCTGAAGTTCACGCAAGAAGCTCTGGCCAGGGTTTGCGGCCCGCGATGCCACAAGAAGGTCAGCGCCCCGCGCGACCAAGCCGGCTCCAGCCGCGATGTGGCGCCGACGTTCGACTACGATGAGCTCCGGTAAATTTTTGCAATTTTCTTGTCTTTGAGTTATATTTATTTTTGATGAATTTTATCGTTCAGGCGCCTATCCGACGAGCTGGGCGGACCCGTCGCTTGCTGCTTCATCACGAAGCTGCACAATTCGACGCGCAAGGAGAAGCCGGACTGTTGCCAGGTTAGCTAGTTTGAAAACTAGGTTCTTTCGCATTATCGGGGGGAGGGAGGAACTTTTTCTTAGGAACCCTTTTTAAATCTAAACAGCGGAAATGTTTCTGAATTTTTTTCAGTATTCCTAAACCACAAAAAACTTTACAAAATCTTATTTTAAAAATGCAAATTATCTCGATTTCTTTTAACCAAACTTTCGATTTTTTGAAAAATTTTTCAAAGTTTTCAGATGGTTTTGTTTTACTAAATTCATTATAAAAACACTTCCTATTGATTTGCTAGGCATTTCTAGATTAATAATAAAAAATTTGTGCTCCCACCCCGATAATGCGAAAGAACCGAAATTTATTGCCTCCTAGGTGTACGACGCCCTCATGGATCTGATGGAGGTTGAAGAGCCTGAAAAGCCGGTGCCGCAGCCCAAGGTCACGCCGCAATACCATCAGTGGGTATTACGATTTTTTCGCTTGATTAGGGGCGGGTTGGGGCCTTTTTGATAATGTAAAATAAATTTTTAACTGCATTTTTCATCAATCAGCCATATCTCAATTGAAAAAAGCGCGGCAGGATTTAAATTCCTTTCGAAAACCGGTCGGTTTTGGTCTTCACGAAAATGCGATAGTTTTTGGTATTTTAATAGACTTCTGAAACCGAAACCTTTAGATTTAGCGGGTGGTAATTGCGTTGTAGAGATAAATGCATACGACTAACGTTGTTAAATGTCCATTTCAGGCGTTACAACATCTGGCACAACGCCTTCAAGCTGCTCGGCATGAAGGCGCTCCAGCATCAAGCCATCGCCAATGTCTGCAATCATCCGGGCCAGCCATGTGCGGTACGTGTTTTTTTTTTACTATGAGAATGCCGGCAATTAGAATCTCGAAAATCAAATGTCGCAAGTTCACTTTGTCGAAATTAGTTTTGTCTAGTTCAAGCTAATTTTTCGGCCTAGTAACGTAATGGATATTGTTTTAGTAATGTTTTTGGTGAAATTTAACTATATTTCAAGTAAAAAATGTAACAAATTGAGAAAATTTAAATTGAAAAGTGAAACTTCGACATGTTGAATTTCGATGTTCTAATTTCCGACATGAAAATGGTACTGGTCTGTTAGCAGGTGGTTAGGAACTTTTTAGATCTAAAAACTTTAAAATTCTATAAAAATTGGCGATATTTTTTATGAAACCGTACAGGATTACACTGAAAAATCATTCCCCCCTGCTAACAGTCCAGTACCTGAAAATGCTCCGCGGTTTTCATGGCAATTAGCGTAACTCTATGGTGTTCTTTTAGAAGGGCTCGTGCAAGTGCCTGGAGGCCGGCTACTGCACCAAGTACTGCAACTGCGGCGGACCGGGCTGCCGCTACAAGTTCCCCGGCTGCCAGTGCACCGGCGCGTGCGAGGGAGCCGCTTGTGCCTGCTTCGTCTCCGAATTCGAGTGCGACCCATATCTGTGCAAGAATTGCTGCGTCGCCGAGCCCATCCCCAAGAAGAAGTGCCGAAACGTGCAGCTGCAGCGCCGCTATTGCGCGCGCGTCGAGGTGCGTTGCGTTTTTCTAAATCTGATTTCAATTTCGGTTCTTTCGCATTATCGGGGGGGGGGGGGATTGAATGTTTTCTTAGGTTCGAAATTTTTAAAATATGAGTAGCGTTCGTGTTTCTAAACGGTTTTTGTTGTTCCCAAACTCAAAAAACTCACAAATTTTTAGTTGGCAACTATCCAAAATAGCGTTTTTCGACCAAAATTTCGATTTTTTTAATTCCGTAGATAGTTTTGCCACTTAAATTATAGTTAAATAATTTACTAAAAAACTAATAAAACACTGCTAGTTAGTTCCTAGACATTATCGACCTACTCAAAAACGTCCGGCCCCTCGGTAATGAGGGAGATCTGATAGCGATTTTTTGCAATTTTTAGGCATTTTATTAGTTTTCTATATTGATTTTCGCTTGGAATACATGTGGGATGAAATGTTACTAAAATACATTGAAATCCTTTACGAGGTATAAGGAGCCCTCGTTTTCTCCTTCTCAATTCACACTTTTCAGGTGCGCCTCTCGAAGATTCCGAACGCGGGCTGTGGTCTCTTCGTGCTCGACGCCGTCAAGCAGGGCCAACTCATCTGCGAGTACGCTGGAGAGGTGAGGCTTTTCTAAGTGACTTCTTTTTCCGTTTTTTACCTTTTCCAAATTTTTTTCGGCCAATCCTAAATTTTTTAAATAGCGGATGCGTTTAGAAATTATTTTTAACTATTCCTAAGCATAAAAACTATGTAAATTTTTGATTGAATTCGAAAAATGGAGTTAGTCGACCCAAGTTTAAGAAATTTCCGACTTTTTCAAATATTTTTCTAACTTTTTTTGAATTTTTGATTTATTACTTTAAGTATAGTTAAAACAATGTAAAACTTTCTTTTGATTACTAGGCCAACGGATACCGCCAGAAAAAATTTGGCTTCCTCGCGCGAATCGTAAAGAACCGTTTTACCACCTGGATTTAGATAACTGACGCGCTCGAGGCGGAGATCCGCGGCAGCTTCTACGACACCGTCCGCCGCTCCTACCTATATTGTAAGCCTACCTTTTTAGCGCCCTTTATACTTTATGCTTTTAGCGCTCGGCAATGGCAAGGATATCGACCCGTTCTACATTGGCACCCCGGTGCGCTACCCGAACCACAGCAAGACGAACCCGAATTGCGCCTGGAAGGTCAGAGATTTTGGATTTTTTTGGTTCTTTTGCCGTATCGGGGGGCAACTTTTTTTGCTGGTTTTTTCCTATTTCTAAACGTGAAAACGTTGCAATTTTTTTTATTAAAAAGAGAAAAATATTGAGTTTTCGATCAAAAATAGCGGATTTTGGCTGAAATTTCGAATTCAGTTTGCGCTTACAAATTTTTTTGTTCAAATCTATCAAAAATGGCCGATTTTTCGACTGGAACTGTTTTCTGAGTAGTTTTTAATTGTTTGTTCACTAAAATTACTGTGTATTTTCTTAAAAGTAGGGAAACTGTTTGTGCATGGTGTTTTACTACGCCCAGATTTTTGCTGTCGTCAAAACTCTACAAATTTTATTAAAAAATATCAAAAATATCGATCGATTTTTTTACTCAAAATCTCAAAAGTTTTAAAAGTTTGTATATAGTTTTTCCTAGTTGAAATCTAGTAATATTTTTCTAAAAACGGTTAAAGCCCTTCCTATTTACTTACTAGACATTTCTGGACGTAAAGGTTCGTCCCCCCGATAATGCGAAGAACCGTGTTTTTTAACCAATTACTTTCAGAAAATGATGGTCGGCATCGATCTGAGGGCGGGCTTCTACGCGGTGCGCGACATCGCGGCCGGCGAGGAGCTGTTCGTCGACTACGGCTACAACGAGCTGGCCAGCAAGCGCTTCGACGACCCCCCGCCGCAGACCAAGAAAAAGGGAGCCCCATCCAAGTAGTTATTTCGTACCACAATTTGTTATTTGTTGCTTTGAATGTCCACATTGTTACGTTGTTATTCTTGCTTGCTAGGATTTGTTACTTTACTTTTACTTTGCGAGATATAAAGAAATTTCATTTGGTGCTGGTATCGGTCTTGGTCACTTTGTCACAGCGCTCGAAAGGCGATACTTGAAACGCGGAATTTTGCTATTTTCAGAAAGCCGCTATTTTTTCGATTGATTCTCAAGCTAGCGTCGCAGGCTAAAGAAAGCAGTTAGCCGCACAAGTTTGCGCTGAATTCCTAAAAAAGATTTAGAAGGTAAAACGGCTTTTCCGCATCCGGCGATTTCGGGGTTCTAGTGAGGGTACGACGTTTTTTTTTCCAAAAGTTTGGTAGATCGATCGGCACAAAAATTATGGCAACGCAAAAACGATTGGCTTAGAGAAGTTCGGAGCGCGTGTAAATTTATTTTTGCATTCGTGAAAGGCGTGTTTTTGGGCCAAAAATGGGCTTTACAGAAAGCTCGTAAAACGCATTTTAGATGCCCAATTTTTTTTCGACTGTCTGTGGAGACTGTGCGCGTCTATTCTGATTCTAACTTCACGAGAAGCTGATTCTCCAATTTTTTTATGGGCCTCCCAGAGGGCGTGTAAATTTTTTGGGTTTTTCCGGGGCTTTTCCAAAATCTGTGTTTTTTTACACGCGGGTAAATATATTTACGCGCGTGCTTTTTATTCCTTAACAAATTCAAATTTTTACGCGTTTAAATTAGAGCTGGGTACTAGCCCAGCAATGCCTTGGAAGGTCACCTTGGTGTGGGGAACGTCCTTTGGCTCCCTTTGCCACCCCCCATCGGCCCGTTGTCCCTTGCCCGCCCTCTCTCTCCCCTTCCCCCTCCCCCAATCAATATTCACTCCCTTCACTCCCCGCCAATCTGCCTGTTTGAATTCCAATCTTTATTCTTTTCGTTTAACGGATTTGGTTTTTCCCTTCTTGTTTCTCGTTTAATAGGGGGGCGGGCTAATTTTTATTTTCCGCCTATACCGTACCTACCTGTTAATGATTAATAATGTATTATTTTAGTGCTTTTCGTAGTTTTTGACCGCTAGGGCGTTATTAAAAGGTCCAAAACATCTTCTGATTAGTGAAAATTGCACCTATTCTGGTAATTTTCATGCATTTTTGACCAAAAGTAAAAAATTTGTAATTTGTTCATCAGTTTTCTCTTTCCACCGGCTAAAATGTTGTAGAAATGGGTTATCTTTCGCCATAAAGTCGTACCTAGTTTCTGGGAAAAGTGGCTTTCCCTTGCTAAAGGTCCCCCCCCCCTCGCTAGCAGCCTAGTACGGAATTTTGCTCGAACTCTTCAGATCTCCAAATTTTATGCAGGCAATCTAAAATCTTCCAGAAATCGCACCATGGGCTCGCCTGAAGATTGGATGCCCATTGACGCGAAGTTACCTGGAGGACAACACCTTTGTTTCGACGACGACGAGGAGGAATCGTGGCGGGGTATATTCTTTATTAGCCTTCAATCTACGATTTTTCAGCCCAGTTCGACTCCACCGAGGTGAAGCCGGGATTGCTGGGTAAGCCTTATTTTTACGCGTTTTTTTGTATAAAAAGCGCATAAAAATTATACAAAATTTCGAAAAGTTTTGTTTTCGGGCAAAACGTCTGAAAAATGATCAAAACAGTCTAAATTTTCAAACTTTTTGATGTTTTTGTAACTTCCTGGCAATCAAAAAAACACTAAAAACATTATAAGGCTATGCTATTTATTGCTACAGGTGGAAAAATCAATATAACATTTTTTTTTGCAGAAGAATACGAGGATATCGAAGCGTCTTTGCTTGGGATCGATGCGGCGCTCTCGTCACACCCCGATCCTCTCCTAGGCGGTATGTCTCAAGTTTGAAAGCTTTGTCTTTTGGTCGAAAATGTCTGAAAATGCCCGAAAAGAGAAAATTGTCAAAATATTCAAATTTAAAGCGTCGTTTTCAAAAAAAAAATCCGTTTTTCCAGCTAAACGCCGGAGGCGAGATCCCTACCATCGACACGGGGAGAGCCAGGATGAGGGATCGCCAAGCGGAAGCGGAAAGATGGAGCCGGCGAGGCGCAGAAAACCTGCCGCCGAGAAAGAAGCGGGTATGGAATATTTTTTAAAATTTTAAACGAGAATTAGCGCTTTCGTATATAGTATTTTCAGTGATATTTAGCTATATTTAGTGGAAAAACATCAAAAATAAAATATTTAGTTGACATTTTCGTCAAGAGCGGCCATTTTTGGTCAAAAAATCTATATTTTTTTGTAGTTTTAATGAAATTTGTAACATTTTTGCGTTTAGGAATGGCCAGTACCTGTTTAGAAATACTGCTCTAAACAAATATCGACCCCCCGATAATGCGAAAGAACCCACGAATTACAGAGGTGATCGACTGTCCGTTGCATGGAGGCCATGTGCTTGGCTATTCGAAGCCGATCCGCATGAAAGATAATGGTAGGGTATTTTATATTTATTATAATTTTCGCCTTTCCAGGAAAGAGCAACTTGCGCGTGTACTTTGCCGAAGAGCCCGACGCGTTTGTCTGCCGAAATTGCAATTTCAAGAAGCGGAAGACGAAAAGCCACGGAACGAATAATCTATTATGGCTACACGTCGAGACGAGTCACTGCGCTATTCTGGCCGCTGTTTTGAACGTGAAAACGGCCGCCGGCGTGGACATCTACCAGCCGATAACGAAGGACGAGCGCGATCGGGTATGGACTAGAGATGTTACGCACACCGACGCGACGTCGGGATAACATGCAAATTAGGATGCAAAGCGCAAAAAATCGTTTTAACGAGCTTATTTTGTACTTTGCATCCTAATTTGCATCTTATCCCGACGTCGCGTCGGTATGCGTAACATCTCTAGTATGGACCTATCCCATTTTGTAAAAAAAAATATAAAATTAGAGATTTTCCCACCAAATTTCAAAATTCAAGGTTTTGGGGGCGATGAACTTTTTTTCTAACGATCCAATTTTTCTAATATAAATAAAGTAAGCGTTTCTAAACTCTTTTGTACTGTTCCTAGGTGCGAAAACTTTACGAATTTTGTTTAGAAATACAAAAATCATAGATTTTTCACCCAAAATGACCAATTTTGGACCCAAATTTCCACTAGAAAATTTTACGAGTTTTTGTTAATTGTTTTTCACCTAAAAATATAGCTAAATTTCGCTAAAAACACTATGAAAACAAATAATAGCACATTTCTAGGTATTTCTCGACATGTAGAAAAAAGTTAGTTCCCACCCCCGATAATGCCAAAGAACCTCCACCTGAAATCCAATTAAATTTTGCGGAACAGTTGACTAAACGGCTTGTTTTTAGGAAGCGGAAATAGGAAGAAACCGGTTAGAGTGCTGTTTACCCCCCAGGCGGCACCCAGCTTTTGTATCTCGGCTCCCTGTTCAGCGACAGGTGTGTAAGGTATACCAAAATGTTCGTCTTGCTCTGGCGAGTATTTTGGTATACTTCACAAACCTTTAGATGAACAGGGAGCCGAGATAGGTGGGGGTCGGCTGGGGGGGGGGGTAAAATGCACTTAAGCCAAAAAACCTGCCCCGATAGTGCAAAAGAACCAAAAATTCATTCAGTTAATCTGCGAGCTGTTCGTGACGCGGATCATTGGCTGCAACGCCCTCCAGAGCGACACTTTTCGGAGGTTAATCGATGGTCTCAATCCATCATTACCCCCAGTGTCTGGGAATACAATCGAACGGCAAATACAATTGTCTGCGGATCAGGCCAAAGTAGATGTAAGGTGTTAGATTATTTATTAAAACTTTGATTTAGTTGAAATCGATGCTCAGCCGTGTTTCCGAGGTCTCGATAGCGTTCGATGGATGGGAGAGGGCGAACAGCCAGAAGATGCTCTATGCCTTCCTCGTCCGATATGTCTGCCCGGATAGTAAAGAAGTTCGTTTGGACCTGCTCGGAGTGTTGGATCATACCACCAAGTGAGTTATCGCAAAATCAGGTTCTTTCGCATTATCGGGGGGCTTTTCTTAGGACCCAATTTTCAAAGATCAATAATGGCAGTGTTTCTAAACGGTTTTTATTTTTCCTAAACGTGGCAACTTTACAAAATGTTATTAAAAAATGTTTTAAAAACTAGTTTTCTACCAAAAATCGCCGATTTTGATCAAAATATCGACTTTTCAAGACTTTTTAGATGGTTTATTAGTTGAAAGATGGTTTTTTTACTAAAATTATTTTTGATTTGGTAATTTTACTAAAAACTTCAAAATGAGAAATATTTTAGATTATTTTCACTAAAAGCTCTATTATTCGTCTATTACGTTACTCCACATTTCTCGACATACAAAAAAAAGTTGCCCCCCCGCTAATGCCAAAGAACCCAAAATTTCCATCTTTTTTCAGAGGTTCCGATAAAGACCTGGCTGCACAACTGAAGAATATAATTTCGGCCTACGAACTCGACGGGAAAGTCGTCTCGGTGTGTAGCGGAAAGGTGGAGAATTGTGTGGTGGCAGTCAGGGATAAGCTGCAGATGACTCAGTAAGGCTTATACCATGAAGTTTTTGGTACTGGACTATTAGCGGGGGGAGACATTCTCCGATAGCTATATATAACCATTTTATAGAATTTTACAATGGTTTTAAATAGAAAAAGCTCATTAAAAACCTACAAAATTTGGAAAAGTTTTGCTTTTGTGTCAAAAATGTATGAAAAATTACCAAAATGGTCTATTTCGAATTTTCAAAAAATTTTAAAATATTTTTGTGACTTTTTATCAATTAAAAACTACTAAATAATTTATACAAATGCGCTATTTACTATTAACAACCTTTTACAAAATTTTAGAGTCCCCTGCGGAGCCCATGTCATCCAAAAATTAATGCAAAAAACACTGGAGGCACCGGAACTAGCAGCACCGCTGGGCAAGATACGAGCATTTTGCGGGATGCTTGACGCGAGTCGAGAGCTTCGCGATCAATATCAAGAGTCAGTTTTATTTTTTTAAGTGAATTAACTATCCTTAAAATGGAAAAACATTGAAAAACTTGGAAACATGTCATTTTTGTGGAAAATCGTCTATTTTGGTCAGAAAATCGCGGTTTTTTAAAGTTTTTAATTATGGGAGTCGTAAAAATAATTTAACAACACTTCAACTATTTATATAGAAAAATCGGTAATTTGTCTTTAGTATGAGGTCGATATGTATGGGGAAGACAGCGAACAAAACGCTGCCGAAACCGGACGATCCGGAGAGATGGGACAGTACGGGGATTATGGTTGTACGCTACTTGGCACAGGTTTTGTCTTTTCCAAATCGCAATTAAATATATTTTAGACGGCGGTGATCGAGCGCTTTTTGAAGCGCCAAGGGTCCGATGACCGGCTCTCGAAGGAGGAGCTCGAGCTGATGCTCGATTTGGAAAAGCTGCTATCACATTGGCACTATGCCACGAAATTGGTGGGTTAGAAACTTCTGAAGTGGCCCATGACCCAATTTCCTTACGGCGCATTAACAAAACCATTTTTATAGCATTTTAGACAGTTTTTAGATAAAAAAGCCCACGAAAAATTATTTAAAAAGTTTGTTTTTTTTGTCAAAAACGTATGAAAAATGAACAAGCAAGGTTCAAAGTTTTCGATCTTACAAAGTTTAAAATTGTTTTTAGCAATCAACAACTGCTAAATACAGTGTATCAAAACCATAGAAGAGAAAAACCAAAAATTAGTCCCCCCGCTAACAGACCAGTACCTAAAATACGTGCTTTTATCATACTTTAATAGGTAAATCACGGTTTATCACGATAGTAGGCATCCCCCGATAATACACAAGTACCGTTTTTGCAGCTTTCGGCGACGGACAGCCCGGCGCGATTCGTCCTCAAATGCTTCCGCTCGGCCTACGACGAGACGATCAAGTCGGCTTCATTTTTTTGTACTTATTTCTTTTGTTTAGAATTTGGAAATCAAGCAGTCCACTCCAGACGGCCATTCCTGATTATCCGCAAGACCTGGAAGCCTATTGGACGGAATTGGCCCAAAATGCGTCGCTTCTCCTCGCGTCATTCCTCGATCCAATGCAAGCGGCCAATATGGAACCCGCGCTGTTTGATCGCGCAAAGGAATATGCAAATCGCAGCTATGGTGGGTGTCAATTTTTTTGGTACTGTACTCTTAGCGGGGGAAACTTATATAAATTTATCCAAAAAATAAAAATCCGTCAAAAAATGTTAGAAATGACCAAAAAAGTAAATTTTCATTTTTCTTTCAAATATTCTGTCTATTTTAGTGCTCAGAAAAATTTTAACAACGGTCTAAAATACATAAAATAAAAGGTTATTGTTTATTTAAACAATTTGTTATTTTAGGTGCGTTGGTCCCGCCGCCGGAGCGCTTCGTCGAAGAATTCCACGACGACCTGCTGCTAAACGACGTTTCTCATCAAGACGAGGTATCTATAAATTGCGCCAAACAAACTAGAAAAAACTTTAACCTTTTGAAGTAACGAAACTTTTTATTTTTTAGGATTAGAGGATTTAGAGGAGGAGAATTAACTCTAGGCGATAATTAGAAATTAAGGAGGTTTTGCTGATCTTCAAAATCAAATGCTCTTCAGCTCAAGTTTTTTAGCACGAAATCGATCGATACGTCAAAATCGCGAAAATCTGCCAACACCGAAATGTGCCGGGCTTTTGGGCCGGATACGGATCACAACTGCCTGGCCTGCAACGACTCTACCAACGCGCCAACACATTCTTTGGATCGACGACGCTTATCGACAGCCTGTTTAGGTAACGTAAAATTAATTTCTGTAAAATTCAGTTTTCAGAATAAAATTTCATGTAAGAATAAGATTTTTAAAAATAACCGAAAAACGTCAAGAGTTGTTCAAAATGCTATTTTCAGAAATATCATCACCCCGAATTCGAGCCCCCGGCAAACGATTTTGACGGTAATGGCCCTGAATGCTGTGAAGGAGATGACGGCCGACAAGCAGGCTTCCGTCACCCAAAAACAACGGTTTGTCGCGGAGATCATAAATTTTTGATTTTTTATTGCGTTTGTTAGTTTGGTTCTTTTGCATCATCGGGGGACCAATTGGTTAAATATCATAGCGGTATTTCTGAACTTTCTTTTTTTCTATTCCTAAACCTAAAAACTTTCCAAAATTTTACTAAAAATTACAAAAAAAATATCGATTTTTCGACGAAATTGGCCGTTTTTCCCCTACCTGAAAAAGTTTTCAAAGATTTTAGATACTTTTTCTAGTTCAAATATAGTTTTCTTTTACTAAAAACATTATTAAAATACTTCCTATAAAGTTACTAGGCATTTCTAGATTAAGGTGAAAAATCCCCCCCCCCGATAATACTAAAGCACCCGCCTTTCTAGGCTTCCCGTCTTCTACACGGTGAATGATGCCGTCTCCGTGGCCCGGCACCTCCGGAAAGTAGCACCGGCGGCCAAATCGGACACGGTGGTGCCGCCGTTCCTCGAATCCGTGACTGACGACGATGAACCGGATCCACATTCCGACCTTCCGATTTACGAATAGCAGCCATTTGTGATTTTAACAAATACGAGATCTCGAGTTGTTTTGAAAATTTGAATAAAAATAATCTAACGATTTCCACACTAAAAGACAGCACAACCAATAATTCAAGCACCCGACGTTACGATACGCTACTAATTACGGAATATTTTCACTTTTAAACCGTCGCTAAAAAGCAACAGATTTATTGCGCTAACAACATGACAAAATCACAAAACAAAGGCAAACGGAATTAAGTGGAAAAATGTCGAGGTATTCACCGGAGAGCAAAGATCAGAAAATCGGAAAAAAAAGATTAAAAATTGAGCACCTCCTTGACGCCTTCTCGGATTGCCGTGACGAGGATGTCGAATTCTTGAACGCGTTTCGGGTCCGCAGCAGACTAAAAGAACAATGGTACTGGTTCGTTAGCGGGGGGAGCCAAGCTCAGCTTTTTTTCTAAAAAAAGTTGATAGAAACAAAATTTTTTAAAATAATTTTTTGGTCTAAATTGCTACGTGCAGGTATAAAATATAATGCAGTAAGTTAAATATAGTGTAAAATTAGTGTAAGTATCTACTAAAGAATTTCAATGTTTAGGTGAAAAAATACAAAAAATCAAATTTTTTGGGCTTTTTGGAATTTCCGGGTTAAAAAGGTCAGTTTTAGCCCCCTCCCCCCGCTAACGAACCAGAACCCGAAAAACGGTGACGTAAATAAATACCCGATTTGTATGCCGAGTCACAAACGAGCCGAGCTCGGTGGCCGCCAGCTGGAAGACGCCCCCATTCCGATCGCGGGTTACGGTACCGGAGCGCAGAGCCCCAGCGTATTCCGAGAGTAGCATGCTGGAAAAGGGGTATAAATAAAAAATATACTAATAAAAATCAATCAATCATAAAAAGACAAAGGCAATCTAGCAGGGATCATTCTCGAAAAAATACCTGTACTGGACGTAGAACTCATCCTCGCAACTGTCGGCAACGAATGGGCGTGTCGTTTTGACCAGGTTGACGATTTGAGCCTAAAACAGTTAAAATTACATAGAAATTTTAACTTTAAATTTTCTTTGAGAAATGGGTTTTCAGAATGCGATTTCCCGGTTCTTTCGCATTAGCGGGGGGGACAGATTTTTTTGTCGTCCAGAAACGCCTATTAACTGTATCGTATCTATTTTAATAGTGTTTTTAGTAGACTTTTTAACTATATTTCAAAAGGAAAAATTAAAAAAATATTTTTGTCGAAAATCGGCCATTTCTGGTCGAAAACCTATATTTTTTATGACAATTTCTTCAAGTTTTGATGTTAAAAATCGTGAAAACGTCCTAGAAACACTGTCCCTATTTAGAATTTTTTATTTGAAATCTTGTTCAAAGGATTTTCAAGAATTTGTAACTGTTTTACGCTTAGAATATTAAAAAACGGCTTAGAAACTAATTAAAATTAGTTTTTTTATTTAAAAAAATTTATCTTAGAAAAACTGGAATCTCAAAATTGGAAAATTTTTGATTTCTGATTTTCCTGATCAGACCAGGAACGCAATACACTGTCAGACAGCCAAAAAACGCACCAATTCCGTAGCCGTGGCGGTGGCCTGGCGCACAATTTTTCGTCGACTACTCCACATGGCCACTTGGCATTGTATGGCATCGGAGAGCGAGTTGTTACCGTAGCTGCCGAGAAGGAGGTACTGTAATACGGAGAGTGCAAAAAATCACTCCAAAGAAACCTTCGTAAATCCAACATGGCCTGTCGAAAAGTCGTCGAATCTCGTCAGCAGCTCCTCGTAGCTGCAAATAGGGAATTTAGGGGTGCTTGCCGTTCAACGGGGTCTAACTTTTATTTTTCCGCCTATAATGTTTTTAGTAGTTCTTGATGGCAAGATGGTTTTTTGGTCATTTTTCATACTTTTTTACCCAAAACTTCAACAAATTTCTATTTTTTATGAGCTTTTCACAGCAAAAAACTGTCTAAAATGCAAGAAAACGCTATGCTTCGGTATAGGCCTTACGAAATTACTGAGGAAAAATTCTTCCCCCCCCCCGTTAATAGAAAAGCAATTTATTTAAAACTAAGCGTAAAATTCAGTGTTCGGAAAGTGGTCGAAGTTACGTAACTGGGACCTCCGGGACCTCGGGATAGGTGAAAGGACCTCCGGGTTTCGGCCCGAAGGGTTTTTAGGGTTTTTCAACTCAAAACACAACTCATCACTTGACGCAATGTATTAGAAAAATGTTCGTCTTGTTTTTCTCTATCAGAAACTGCAAAAATGGAGGTTGGTCAATTGGCTAGTTTTCGAGATGCTGGGACCTCCGTGTTGAAAAACTGCTATTTTTCCACTATTTCCCACAGAACTTTTTTTACGCCCATTTTTCTGGCTGACAATATATTACGAAAAGATGCAGCATCGAATTCTGCGTCGAATGGTGTATCGCACCTTGCAATGACCCTTTTCTTTCATTTACTTCCGGGACCTCCAAACTGCCGCCACAACCCATCCGCAACTTCTGCCGTCGCGGTTGGTGCTCTCTTCGGTGCCCTGTCTCTCCAAGCCCCAGGCTTCTCTCGTCCCATTCTTTTCGCTATTCTGTAGCCCTAATCCTACCCTTCCTTTCGGCTATACATCACTTCCCTCCATCTCCGGTTTTTTGGGCCGCAAAAACGGAAAAACTTTCAAAAAGTTATGGTTGGCCTCCATTTTTCCCGTGTTTTTTCGACACCTTTTCCCCTCCAAATATTTTCTCTGGACACCTATCGCCACCCCCGACCCATCATTCGATAGCTTACTTCCCGTTCTACATTTTGAGATCCTTTCCGGCCCTGCCACACTTCCGGTTCTTCCGGAAAACCGAATGGCAAAGTTATGGCCGGAAACCGGTTACTAAAAAAAACGCGATTTCGCCCCTCAAAACACCGTTTTTTCGGGGGACCTCCGGAATTTTTCCAAAACCAACATTTTTTGGAACATCCGACTCTCACCCAACCATAACTTTCCTGAACACTGGTAAAATTTGAATCAACGAAGAAAAAAACCTAAATATTAGGACTCACAATGGCATAAAAGCATCAAGGCCGGCCACCGGTTTCTCCAGCCGCAACATCAGTCGTCCCTTCTCAGCCAACGGCAGCAAAAATCCGGTGAAGAGTCGGGCCAGAATCTCGTCGATGACGCTATCCGTGAACACTTCCGGTCCTAAATTAAGCTTTTTGAGCTCTAGCCGTTGAGTACCTTTAAAAAATGTCGCAATTCATAACGTCGAGACTCAAAATGTCGAAAGTCATAATCTCGAAATTTCATAGTGCCGAGTTTCAGAATGTAGAAATTCATAACGTTGAAATTTCCATAATAAAATATGCGGGGAAACCCCCACGTCCCAAGCAAAAAATTCGACACATCGATATTTCGTTCAGAAACTTTCAGAAATCATAATTTCGACGTTTAGAAAATTCGACATGAAATTTCGAGATTACGAATTTCGACATTATTATATCCAATCTAACCGAATACATACCTATCAAAAACGTCTCGCTCAACCGCACGTACAAATCGTTCGGGTCGACCATCGTATGGAAGAGCGTCGGGCGTTCACTGAAGAGAAGCAGCGTCCACAACAGCGCCAGACGAACGATTTCCACGTCTTCCGGGGTTGCTGTTCTTAAAAAATAGCGTAAAAAGCGGAAATGGCCAACTAACCTCTCGCCAGCCTGCATCGCGTCGAGCACGGATCGAATCGGTCGCAACATCCAAGCCCCGTCGACCACCGGGTTGAGCCCGTTGGCGAATTGCAGCACCGATTTGTCTCCGTCGCGTCTAGAAGAGAAAAACGGTACTTACTCATTAGCGGGGGGGGGGTGTGAGTTTTTCTTAATCCTAATCCAATTTTCTCAATAGAAATAGTGGAAGTGTTTTTTTACTATTTTGAAACTTAAAAATGTACAAATCCTGATCAAAACATGTAAAAAGCATCGATTTTTCGACTAAAAATGGCCGAATTTCGTGTTGCGAAAGCCCCACCGATATTGCGAAAGCACCAAAAAATCAAACCCTGCCGCGAAAAACCCACACTTCCTCCAGGTAGAGCTCCTTGATGTTCTCGAGCTCATTTTGGGCCATGTGGAGCAGGGGATCGTCAACTTTTTCGCTTCTGAAACAAAGTTCGTAAAAACCGGAACTATCAGAAAGCAAAACTAGAAATAAAACCAACCCTGGTGCCGGTTTGAGCGTGTCGAAGAGGCGGGTGGCCTGCTGAGCTTGGCGGGGCAACACCTTTTGGGCGCACTTTGACAGCAAGTCCAGCTGGACGGCATCCTGAAGGGAAATACATATGAGAGCTACAAAACCGAACCGCCGCCAAGCGATGATAGTTCTCGTCCTCCCGCCATTCCTCAAGTACTTCTAACTGCTTGATCATGTCGGACAGCTTCGGCGCGATTGGTGGCTAAAGGACAACATTGATAAAAATGATTTAAATTTAAATTGTGGTAAATAGGCCAGATAAGTAGGTAAAAAGTGCAAAATCCAATCCAAAACAAACCTCGCTCTTCGCTTCCGCTTCCGGCACGCAATTTTCTCGCTGCTGCTTGAATAGAGATTCTAAAAATTTAAATAAGAATTTTAAATATCCTCCAACTTTTTGGTTTTGATTCCTCTTTCGCCTCGCGTTGGTTGCTGCTCTTGGCTTTGCTGCGGCTGCGGAGAAATTCGATCAGCTTCGGGTCTAAACCGGTGTAAAAATGAAAAAAAAGACAAATACCCAATTTCTCCTCAATCTCCTTGAGCGAGGCCTTGATCTCCTCCTGGCTCATCGCCGCCAAGCGCGACTGGTTCTCGGCGTCGAAAGGTTCCGAGGTTGATGGTTGCTCTTCTGAGGCCACCTCATCCGGGATGTAGATGGATTCTGAAACCATCAAAGCTGTAAGTTGAAAGGTGGCACCTTGAATTTTGCCATGGATACGGTCGAATTCGCTGGCGAAGAAGCTCTGCCCAGCAATTGGCGGACGCCGTGGTCCGCTTTTGTTGTAGTATGGAGCCAGATTCAGAACCTAGATCGCATCAAAACGTATTCATTTAACTAAACTCACCTCCGGAAAGCCATCATCCTTCGAGTATCCGGCCGCCATTTCTGTGGAAAAGCGGAGGTACGGGTCGGTGCCCGTCAAGATGTCGGCGTGTCGCTCCTGAAAATCGGTTAAACGCCGGTTCTCGCTATCGATACCTCGACGCCGAAGAGCACTTGACGCTGGAAGTGCTCCTCGGCAACCGTGTCCAGATTCAGCGTAAAGCGGCCGCCCTCCGTGAAATTTCGCTCGGCGCCAAGGCGTTGCGCATATGGAGGTGGCGGTGGCTGAAAGAGGGTGCTTTCAAAACTTGCAGAAAAACTTATAGAACGTTCAAAAATTCGTATTTTGGTGAAATCCACCAATTTTGGTTGAAAAATCTATATTTTTTTTGTTAAAAACTCCGAAAGCTTTTACGTCTGGAACTGGTAAAAAAACTGCGTAAAAACCGTTTCTCTGCATATATATAAAAAAGGCCAGGAGATTAATGTTTGTTCCTAAAGCAAAAAAGGTTATTTTCTTCCGCCCCAATTTTGCAAAAAAAAAACTAAAATTAGACCACTAAATTTGGCTTCTGGTAGCTGTCGTATTTAGCTGGAAATCGCATTCTGTATCGGAGGGCAGCTCTTACACACAAAAAACCAGCATAAAAATTTTTATGACTTAAATAAAACGTAGAATCGACCGAAACTACATCTAAAACGCTATCTACAATAATGAATCCAAAAAATCCTATCAGACCCCAATTTTGAAGCTCAAAATCTAACCTGAGAAGCTGCTGGCGGATCAGCAGTTCTACTTGGCTTCTTCTCTGCGCCTCGCTGGACACGATTCACTTGAACGGAGCACTAAATCGAACACTCATAGCAAGATCACTCTCCTTACTTTCTTTTGAGATTGCGCAAATTCGGCTTGCAGGCGCAGCAGGTCCTCCTCGGTTTCGCCGGCCTTCGGGCGGTTCTCAATCATCGTTGAGGGATCGCTGAAATCACGCTACTTTTGGAAACAAAATAAAAATTCGGAAAGAACTATTAGGGAAGGTATTGCAAAAACCAGCGAGAAACGTCTAGAAAATAACCTGATTATGCGCTAAAACACTATAATATATAATACTATACTATAAAATATAGAAAATAAAGTATTTTTAAAGATCTAAATCGATTTATTCAGTTCTGGGTTCTTTAGGATTCCCGGGGGGGGGGGGGGGAAAGTATTCCCGGGGGGGAAACCAATTTTTTTCCTGGTGGTCCCGGTTGGCCTAGTAATCAAATATAAAGTGTTTTCGAATTGTTTTTAGTAAGTTTTAACTATATTTAGAGCGGAATAACTTTCAGAAAAATTTAGAAAAATGTTTGAAAAAGTCGAAAATTTGGTCATTTTGGGTCTATTTTTCGACCTAATTTTTAATTTTTTACATTTTTTTGGTTAAAATGTGTGTAGTTTTTATGCACAGGAATAGTTAAAAACAATTTAGAAACGCATCCGCAATTTATACAAAAATCTAGGCTTTCGCCGAAAAAAATTTGTTTTCCCCCCCCGGGAATACTTTCCCCCCCCCCGGGAATCCTAAAGAACCCAGTTCTGAAATGAGAATTCCTTCAAATTGAAGTCTTTTCCGGGCAGCGGCTGACCGTCTGCGCCCTCTCGCTCTGCCCAATCTCTCGCCCCTCTGCGTAGTTTGTCGCCTAGTAAATATCTCAAAAATTCTTCAACTCCGATAAAAATTTCTCTTTTCACCCATTTTCGACGATTTTTCATTTATTTTATAGATTGACACCTTTATATATCTGTGATTAAGGTATCAGCGTTTTTAGAATCTCTAAAAATCTTGTTCTTGGCCAGAAAGTTTGAAATTTTTTACGCTTTTTCTAATCAAAGTTCATTTTTCGGTCTTTTTAGCGTGTTTATATCTATTTCTGAATGTCACTTTACTTAAATTGCGTTTAATTAGGCTTTTAAAGCACGTCTAAAGGCTGCACTTGCTGTAATAATGTAATGTAATATTTTCGGCCTCTAACTTCTCTTTCTTAGCTTCAGGGCCCTATTTTCACGAAAAGTTGTCTTTAGGCTAAAAATGGCCGCAGATAACGACGACAGTGACATCGAGGTCATTGAACTGGATACCTCGACCGAGGACGTCGAGCTGGAAATAGTGGAAGTCGCCAAGCCACCGGTAAATGCTCTTCCAATTTGCATTCCAAGCTTTTAGGCGCCCAAGAAGAAGCGCTCCGAGTTTCCGCCACAACTGCAGAAGCGCATCCCGATGTTGTACGCGGCTGAGAATGGCAACATCTTTGTAAGCATTTTAAAAATCGCGAGAAAACCGGATTAGTGGGCCCTCGACTCGCTCATCTATCACCACTTCGAGTCGCGCACGTTCCGTCTACAAGAGCCGGCGCTGCACAGGAAATGGCAGATCAGGGCTGCCGAACAAGGGCTAGGTTGGTTGAGTGCTTCCGTGTTGATTGGGGAGCAAAACAAATTGTTTTCAAGGTCGTGGTAGGGTAAAAAAAAAATAAATTTACGCCATTTTCAGTTTAAATTGGCTATATTTCCACTTTTTTAACATATAAAGACACTGTGTAAAATGAAAAAAAGGCTTGAAGAATTTGTACCATGCAAAAAATTAGGAAAAATTGTCAAAATTGGCCAATAACTTCAGTTTCTCTGTTTTTCCAAAAAAAACTTTCTGATTTGACGTTGTTTAGGATGCGCTGAAAACATCATCTTGTATTACTAGGCAGCTAACAACTAAAATAAAATAGTATCTTGCTCCCCCGTTAACCTGGCTAGCGTTTTCGCCCTAATTCGCAATTTTTAGTGCCGACTACAAACGCCGAGTCATCCCATTTCTCGAAACAGCAAGCTCGGCTGGAAGACAAGAAGAAAATTGCGGACGTATGAGCTTCAGTTTTGCCTTGAGCTCCCTTTTTTTTCTAGGCCCGGTTCAACGCGCGTTCCACGGCTCTGCCGAAGAGCTACGTCTACCCGTTGCATCAGGAGAAGGTCCCGCCACCTGAATTCCGGGAAAAGGACGAGGATGCTGTCGTTGACACGATCGAATTCATTTGCGAGCTGGTAAACAGAATTTTGGGTGGTTCAGTTGTTTTAATTTGATCTAGGCTGACGACAGCACGGCCGCCCGTCAAGAAGCACTTCAGCTGAAGCGCGTCTACGCGAATTATCAGCTGAAAAAGGCGGCGCCGGCATGCACTTTGGAAGGTGTGTAGCGTTTTTCACGAAGAATTTTTGGTATAAAGCGGTTATCTAGCTAGATTTTAGCGTTTTATAGTGGTTTGCTTGATTTCAAAAACCGATTGCACGTTTTTAGGAAAGTTCAAAAATTGCTAACTTTTTCCACTAAAAAAAAATCATTTTTCGACAATTTTATTGATTTTATGGGGATTTTTTGCTGCAGAAAACGACGTGACAAGCAATGTATTTAGTCTGTTTAATTATTGGAAGTCCCCCGTTAACATTACAATACCGAAAATTTTCAATATTTTTCAGAGCTTCGGCACGAAATCGTGGAGGGCGCCCGCTGGCGCTTGGGAATGTCGCTGAGCACGCAGATCATCGGCCCATCACTCGCCACACTTTCGGTATTGACAGAATTCTTGCTTTTGAAATTTGTTTAGAACTGGCTGAGCCTGGCCCCGGATCGCGAGCTGTTTTCAAACGTCGGTGAGCCGGTCGCCCTGCTCCGTGACGTCGAGCCCGATCCGGAGAGGTTTGAAGTGCGAGCCGTGATGGAGAATATGCTTGATATGGTTGGTTTTTGGGTCTCGGTCTTTTCGTCATTTCTCGAGGACTCGATCTCCCATAAAAGTAGACGACCATGAAAAATTCTCAGTTCTGTTTAAAATGGATAGCATCGATTTTCGACCGAAATTTCAATGCTTTTAAAGTTTTTTTAGCCTTCAAATAAAGTTAAATTATACTAAAACCTATTTATGATCCTCGTAATTAAGCTGATAAGCCTATCTGGGACTCGCAGTAACCCCATTTTTACTTTTTGCAGCTCTCCGACTTCTCCGCGAATCGTCAGGACCACATGGCGGCGGTGGTGAAGGAGCTGAATCTGAGGTATGGATTCTGATTCTTGTCTGATTCGGGTTCTCAGGATGTACACTGGAACCGAGCATCAACAGCCCTCCACTAGCCAGCAATCCGCTTCTGACGCCATCTGGGTCGGGTATCCGCTTGGTAAATTTTTGATTTAAAATGTTCGAACGGTCCTCCCGGACTTCCACTGCTATTTACGAAAATCGGAGCCCGAAATTTTTCGAAAAGCCGTGTCTAGGATTCCGGCCTATACTGCGCGTCCCAAAAAAGTACCCCTAGCGTGCCAGGGGCTACATACATACTAAAAATACAATCTATAAATGTACAACTTTTTGGATTATCACCGTAATTAGTTGCGTTTCCAGCACATCCTTGCGTCTACAAATTCTCACAAGCCGCCCAGATTGAGCGATGTGTCGACGCAGAGGTGGCGAAGGCGCTTTTCGAAGTGGTTGATTTGGTGAGCAGAATTTTTTAAATTTATTTTTATTTATTTTATTTTATTTGTCAAGGATCTATTTACCTTTCAGGTGGCCATCGTCGAAGCGGACAACGCGCTGAACGCCGTCACCTTTGGCCAGCAGTGCCTGAACGACGCGAACTATTGCCGCTACACCGAGGAGCAACAGCTGGAGCTAGCCCGGGCGGGTATTCCGAAGAAGAGCCGCGCGCAGCTGAAGCGGCTTTTGGCGGTATGCTTTACTTTTTTAGTTTCAGCAAGTGTTTCTAAACTGTTTTTTTTATTATTTCTGAACGTCAAACTGTACAAATTTTGAGCAGAAAAATGCCAAAAATAGCGTTTTTTTTTTCCGATTTTTCTTTACGTAAGATTTTTTTAGTTTTTTTTTAATAGTAATTTCATAATCCGAAAAACCTTTTTTTAGTCGTACGGTGATGACGAGGTGGAAATTTTCGAGTCGTCGCCGCCGGCCCCCAAGCGCAAACGAACCCGATTCAGCGAGCACCGGGACGAGTACGCTCCCGTGCTGACGTCGACGGCAAAGCGGCAAGCAATCCAGGTATCGCTTACCGTTTTAAGATTTAAATTTTATATTTGATAGGTTATGATCGATGACGCCGACACGATGGAGGAGGCTTTGCAACTGGCGAAAACAGCCGGGCTCGATGATGAGGGCGTGGTAATTTTTATAGAGTTCAAAATTTGGTGCTTGCGCATTATCGGGGTAGGGGAGATTTTTAATTATGAATAGTGAAGCGTTTCTAAACGGTTTTCATTATTCCTAACAAAAACTACAACTTTTTATGAAAAAAAAATGGGAAAATATCGATTTTTCGCCGAAAATTGGCCGTTTTTGACCAATAATTCAGACTTTTGGAAAACTTTTGAAAGTTTTTAGATGGTTTTCCGGTTAAAACAGTTTTATTTGAATAAAAACACTATTAAAAGGCTTCCTATTAAGTGACTAGGCATTTTTAGACTAATGCGAAAATATTTATCCCCCCTCCACCCGATAATGCGAAAGAACCAAAATTTGACGTATTTTTCTTTCAGCGTACGGTCACCTACATGATGCACCGGAAGCTGAAGGACCTGCAGAAGGTCTTCAAGGCCAGAATTGCGGTGGGATTGGTATTTTCGAAAAAAAACACTGATTTTACAGGCAAGCCGCGCCGGCGAATACGACCATCCGGATCGGATCAAGCGCGCCAAGCCCTTGCCAAAGACGGTACGTTTTTTCGCTTTTTCACGATGTCATTTTCAGTACGGCGTCCGTGACTATTCGGCCCTGTCGCGCTACAACCGGCCCGGCGCGCAGCGTGCACCACTTCAGAATCAGCCGTCGCCGTGGCAGGTTCCGCCCACTTTTTCACAGCGTATGTTTTTAGGTTTCTGAATTTTTATTGATTTTTTTTCAGCCCCTCCACCAGTGCGGTTCGCGCATCTCGCCCAGCCGTCCTACCATCAACAGCCTCCCCAAATGGCCGCCCCGCACTACCAGCAGCAGCAGATGCCGGCCGTTCCCCCGTACGGCGCCTCCCCGATGGTCCAGCATCATCAAATGTCCTTCTACCAGGGCACCAACCTGCCGCCATTGAATGGACACCAGCAGGTACAAGATTTTCTGATCTCAATTGGCGTCTATTGGAATTCAAAAAACCAAATTATCGAATTTTCCAGTTTGGAAATTTTGTTCATTCGATTTATCAAATTCCGAACGCTAAATTCTAGATTTTCCGATGATACCTTAAAAATATGAAACATTTTGATGACAGAAAAACGCCTCTGATCATCTAGTTTTGTCGTTTTTTTGATACGGTCGTTCTAGATGCCATAATCGATATTTTAATAAATCAAAATTTTCGCAGTCTGGATTCTGATCGGCCGCCGTTTTTAGAAAATTTATGATTTTGACCTTTACAGTTTTAACCATACCTTTTGAATTTTTAGATGCCGATACAAACGCACGTCCCGCCACCGTCGATGACAATTCCGCACCCGGTCCCGCCCCAAGTCGCCATCCCGCAACCCCGAATGCAGACACTCGCCGATGTTCTATCGGTTCGTGCTCTAATTTGCTAAATAGGTATTTTTATGATTTTAGAGGCCCTACGAGACGATCGAGATCGTGTCCTCATCGCCATCCACCTCAACAACTAGGTAATTTTGATTTTCTAATTTGAGGATGAAACGATTTTTTAGCGCCAACCCCGCCTACCAGGACCAGGTTTTTGAGCGTGAGGTGCAACGCCGCGTCGAGGCCGAGCTGCGCAAACGGCTGGGCGGCGAGTCGCGCTCGGTGGATGAGCATGACTTCGAGAAGCGCAAGGATCATCACTGGGGTCTCATCGAGACGAAGGAGAAGGCCGAGCGCAGGGTGGCCGGGCTGGAAGAGCAGATCCAGAAAAAGGTACGTTTTTGGCTACGATTAGCATAGAAACTTTTTAGGGACTAGTACGTTATCGGGGGGGCGCACCAATTTTTTCTAATTTAAACAGAAGAAGTGTTTCTAAGCTGTCTTTTATTATTCCTAAACGTAAAAGCTTTAACATTTTTGTAAAAAATACGAATATATTGATTTGGTGACCAAAATTGTCCGGTTTTGCCCAAAATGTCAACTAAAAAGTTTTTGTGAGTTTTTATATTGTTTTTCGACTTAAAATATAGTTAAATTTTGCTAAAAACACGATTAGAACTTGCATTAATTTTACTGGGCATTTCTCAACTTATAAAAAACTACGCATCTTTCTTGCAAACGCCATTTTCAGAAGGAGTTTCTGCTACAACAAATGGAGGCCGAGTCGAAGGCGAAGCGAGCACGAGAAGAAGAGGAGCGTCAGATGGCCGAGATGAAGACCCGAACGCAGGAGGTGTGGCGCCGCGAGGTCGAGAATGGAGTGCAACAAGCCGTGAGTTTCATTCTAATGTTTTTTTTATTAATTTTCTGTTGCCCTCATTTTCAACCTTTTAGAAACAAGCGGCCGCCGATGCGTATCGGGAGACGTTGCGCGAGCTCGAGCGAAAGAAGCGCAACGTGGAGACCGAGCTGCGCATCCAGCAGCACCGCCTCAAGAACAACGTCCGCACGCCGAAGGTCGAGGCCGTGGTTGTTAGGGTAATTTTTTGTAATGTTTTTTGTTAATTGTAAGTTGGGGGTAATTTCGTTGTGATATAATTTCCAAAATTCGAACTGTCGGCGTTTAATTTTCGCAATATCAATACGGAAAATGGTGTTTGCTCAAGTCGTAATTTCGAAAATTTCGTCGTCAACTTTAGAGTCTGGTTCATTAGCGGTGGGAGGGGGGAATTCCGTTATTCAGCCCAGCCTAATTAGGAATCAACAAACTATTGATGATTTTATTAGTAGTTTCGATTACTAAAAGTCGGAAACGATTTTTCAATAATTTTTTATTTGACTTTACTTCGACTTTTACTATTTTACTTTTTTGTTTTTGTATTTGTTCTGTTGAAAATTGCGAAAACTTGCATAATTTCATGGAGTCGGACTCCTAAAGAAAAGTTTGATCTCTCGCTAAAATCCCGCCGCAAATGAACCAGTGCCAGGACCGGTGAAACGATTATTGTAATTTCGGCAAAACGACGTTTCGATAAACTGAATTTCGGCAAAATAAATATAAACCGCAATTTCCCAATTTAGCAGCCATCACCACCCCCATCAACTTCTACCGCCTTGCCGAGCGCCCGCCGCGCCGGCTTCATCAAGGCCGAGGTGGTCGACCTGACGTCGGAGGATGACGTCGAATTCATCGATTAGACCGACGTCGATAAGTCGAATATCTTCTACAAATTGTTCTATCCCCCCACCCTTGCACTTCCCCCCTTGACGTGTCTCATTTTCCGGGTTTCTTTCTCGCCCCACCCGCCGTTATTAGGACATAAAAACTCGGTGCCCATCTACGTTTTCATTTTCGCTTGTTTTGCATTGCCGCCGAACTTGTTGAGCTTGTCGCCTTTTGTTGGATTGATAAATTTATTACGTTTTATGATTTGTTCAGCGACGGTAGTGAATTTAAAGTACTTTTTATACTATCGTCACCAATATGTTCAAGCGGTCGCGGCCACCTGGTTCTGGCTGACAAAGTCCTGCTCGCAGACGTTGGCCGCCTTCATGTGGGCATTCTGTAAAAGGTATGCGCTTTCCGTTCGATTCCGCTTGCCCTACCTCCAAACACGTGAAAAAGACGCGTTGGTAGTCGGTGGCGTAGCTGCGCAGCTTCTCATCGTGTACGCTTTCCTGAAAGCGGTGCTGATCTTTTAGCGGGGGGAGCAGTAAAACCATATCGGAAGTAACAAATTTTACAAAATTTATATCAGTTTTTGGCGCTAAAGAGTGGCTAAAATTGCTAAATTTTTGACTTTTTGGCCAACGTAGATGAAAAATCACTGAAAAGGGCAAAATTTTCAAAATTTCTCGATTTTAAATGGTTGCTTTTACTATTTTCTAAAAATCAAAAACCATTACTACGCTGTAAAATACGCTATATTTTATTACAGGTATAGACGGCAGGATTTTGGTTGGAAATTAAAAATTAGTTAACCATTTTCTGGTTTGTAGTATTATAGTAGTCTTATAGTATTATAACAATTATATTAAGATTATAGTAGCTATACTAACCTTCAATTCAGCAACCTTTGCCGCATAGTCGTTTCGCGCCTTTCTCGCCGCGGTCCAAATGGCCTTTTCCAGCTCCGGTAGCGTTTTGCACGTTTTGACAGCCTAGGCCAGTTTGATTATTTTAGCAATTTAAGTTCATCCTCACTTCAATCGCCGCCTTTTCATACTCCTTTGCAGTCGTACGAGCAATTTCCGGCACGTCTTCATAGACGCGACGGGCATCGGCGTTCTTCTGCCCAATGCGGTAGCGCACTTCGATCGCCGTCCTCAGCTGCTTGACGACGTCTTCTACCTCGGCTGGAGCTTTGGTTCCTTCCTCTGGAATTGCCGTCTTTTTGGGTTGGCTTTCTGGAGCCCAAAGTCTTTTTTTAAACATTCCAATTTTCGGTTCTTTCGAATATGACGAAATTCGTAACCGACATTTTTCTTCGGATCAAATTTCTCTAATATAAATTGAGTCTGTGTTTTTAAAATGTTTTTTTTTTGCTAGTACTAAACGTAGAAAGTTTACAAATTTTCGTTAAAAACTAAAAGAATTATGGAATTTCGACTACAATCACCGATTAAAAATTTTCTACGTTTTTTTATTGTTTTCCACTTGAAATATAGTTAAATTTTACTAAAAACTATTAAAAGTCTTACTATAATATTACTAAACATTTCTGGACTTTTTGGAAAAAAAAAATCGGTTACCGATAATGCGAAAGAACCGGATTTTGTATTTTTCATTTTTTCAATAATTTTTACACAAACTAATTTTTCTTTAGCGTTAAATGCTATGAAGCGATTTCTACGGAAATGCATCATCACAATCTGCCAATTTTCTATAAAATTACCGTAGTAAATCTCCTCGGCGACGGCCTGACGAAACTTGGCGTCTTCGGCGGCGATCTCCTCGCCCAGGATTCCTGGCTAAACAACGTTCATGCGAGTTTGTTTAACTTTTTGAGTCTTAAAAAACTGTAAAAAGTAAAAAGTAAAAAACATTTTGAAGCGCAAAAAACTGTCGAAAGCACTGGCCTACCGCGTCTTGTTTCTCCACCCGCGCGCCATATTCGCGTGCGTGCTTGTTCTTCAGTTCGTGCACGGCTACAATCTGTTTGGCCGCCCAACGACGCTGCGCCGCCTCCCAGAAACTTATCGGTTCTGGTTCGTTAGCGGGGGGGAGAAAGTTTTTTACTTAGGAACGAATGTTTTAAATATGAATAGCTGAAGTGTTTCTATACTGTTTTTTTTTACTATTCCTAACCGTAAAAATCTTACAAATTTTTATTGAAAAATACAAAAATATCGATTTTTCGCCCAAAACGACCGTTTTTGACACAAAATGTCGAGTTTTTAAAAAATTTATCAAAGTTTTTAGACAGTTTCTAGTGAAAATATAGTTTTATTTTACGAAAAAAATAAGAAAACACTTGTTGTTAATTTACTCTAGACATTTCTAGATCAATACAAAAAATTCTCTCCCCCCCGATAATGCGAAAGAACCGAAAAAGACTGAACAGACCTAAACACACAAACCTCTAATTTTTGCTCAAAAATCCTCAAATTCTCTGCCCGTTTTTCCTCGTTTCCGTAGTGCTTGCTTTGAAGATAGGCCTAAATTTGAAAGGTTACAATAAAACTGCCCCGGAAAATGCTTACTTTCATGGCCAACGCTTTGGCCTGGTCCCACCGCTGCTTGAATGCGCGCATCGTAATCTCTGGCTCCGACTAGAAGGTATTGTTAAGGAAACCGGGTTCTTTAGGATTCGCGGGCGTAACCAATTCTTTTTCCCGGCCTTTCGATTGGCCAGTAATCAAATATAGTATTTTTACGTTGTTTTTAGTAAGTTTTAACAATATTTAAAGTAGAAAAGTTTAGAAAAGGGTAGAAGGCGAGAGAAAAAGAAAGAAAAAGTGCTTGAAAACCGGAAAACATTACCGGGCAAAACCCGGAAGCACCGAAAGCTCCGAAACTGGCAAACCTTTGAATTTTCCCGATATGCGTTTAGGCCGACCTCGCAGGCACGAGTCTCCGCGTTTTCCATGATCGTCTGAAAGTCAAAAGGGTATTGGACTATTAGCGGGGGGGGGGACTAAACTTTTTTCCGTCCATCTAGCTCTTACTAATAACTGGTGTATTTTCTAAATGATTTTCGTAGTTTTTTGCTAGCTAGAAATTTATAAAAAATGTTTTAAATACCTTTGGAAAATCTGAAAATTTGAAATGTTGACTTTTTTTTGTTCATTTTCATACATTTTTTACCAAACAGTCAAAAATGTCGAAAATTTCTGGAAGTTTTTTTAGGAGTTTTTTTTTATCTAAAAGCCGTCTAAGATGCTATAAAAATGTTTTAGTTTTTGTAATAGCACCGTACAGCATCGTGGGAAAAATTGAGCTTCCCCCCCTGCTAGCAGTCCATTACCGTTAAAAGCGTCTAATTTTACCGGAAATAAACGCAAGATAGTTAGTAGTTTAATAGTGGAGGATACTCCACCTTGACGTCGTCCTGGATATGGTCGTTGATGCCCGACATCTTGCAGCTCTCGACCAGGGTCTATGTGACGAACAAATTCTAGGTTTGTTGTTGTTTTGATACCCGGATGATCTCCTTGAAATTGTCGTAGTTGAGTTCGGTGCCCATCACATAGCTTGGCTGCAGATTTGCCTTGATCTGCTCGGTGAGCTCCTCGACGACGGCCATAAAGTTTTTCATGTCTTCCGAGACTGCAAATTGCGATATAAGTGTGGGTTCTTATGCGTTATCGGGGGGCTGTCATATTTTTCTTAGGAACCATTTTTTAAATATAAATCGCTGAAGTGTTGCTAAACTGTTTTCTACTATCCCCAAAGGTAAAAGTTACAAATTTTTGTTAAAACTATTTTATTTTTCGATCAAAATGGCTGTTTTTGACTAAAATTCGGCTTTTTGAAATTTACAAAGTTTTAGATAGTTATTCCGGTTATAATAAAAAAATCTTAAAAAAAACAAGATATGCGCAATGCTGTTTTTAACCACCAAATGGATGTTTTTGGCCACACGGCCAGCCGGTTGGGCCCCGCCCCACCTTTGATATCGGCCCTACCCCACCCCGCCAACGTGGTGAGATGGCCGAGTGGTCTAAGGCGCTGGTTTAAGGCACCAGTCCCTCCGGGGGCGTGGGTTCGAATCCCACTCTCATCAGACTTTTTGCTTTTTGCTTTTTGAATCAAGGGCTTTTTGCTTAGAGCTAATCCAGTTATTTTTCTTTATTCTTGACATACCGACTCTATCTTCAACTGGCTGCGACTTCTCGGCCCCCTCCTGAGTCCTGGGTTGGGTGCCGGGAGAGGGCTTCACCTGATAAACTAGGTCCTTTTGCATTATCGGGGGGACTGGGGGAGAACAACTTTTTTTCTTAGGACCTAATTTACAAATTAAAATACTAGATGTGTTTCTAAACGACTTTTTACTATTGATAAACGTGAAAACTTTTCAAAAACATCGATTTTTTATGAAAGGCGCCGATTTTTTACCAAAATTTTATTTTTTTTTTTAATTTTGTAGATAGTGGCTCTAGTTCAAAATGCGGTAGATTTTTCTAAGAACATTACCAGGGGCGTAGCCAGAAAAAAATTTCGGGGGGCCCCGAAAATTTTTTTCCGAAAAACTCAAAAAATTAACGAGAAAACAGCGCCGCAGGCGAAAAATTTTGGAAAAAAGGCTACATAGCTTTACAAATAGCAGTAAAAACGTGAAAAAATAGCGCCGCAGGCAGCAAATTTTTTGAGAAAATAAAAATCATAAGGGTCCCCCCTTATGAAATTTTCGGGCCCCGGCCGATTTCGGGGGCCCCGGGCCCAGGGGGCCCACCTTACGCTACGTCCCTGAACACTACTAAAAGTTTTACCGGACTTCCAATCGTAATAACATCACCCGTTGAAGCATCCGTCAATTTTTTGTCTGGAGTCGGGAAGACAAAAATCTTAAATTTAATTAATTTCGTAAATGCGCGGGTCAATGGCATACCTGCATGTTTCTGGCGGCCTCTCGGACTTCATCAATCTTTTTTTCGTTAGCGGGGTTCATCTTCATCCGCTTGAAATAATCTGGATCGCTGCCGTAGCGGCCGGGCTGCAGATTTTCGACAGAATTCTTGGAAACCTTTCGATCGCGGAATGTGAAGAAGATCGCCTGAAAAGCGATGGTTCGACATTCAGTACGAATCTACATAGGTAGAGGCGGGGAAAAACTAAATTTACGAGGAAATTAGTGTCTATTTCCTGTCTCTTTATTCCCTTTGCCTGTTTTGCCATTAACTATTTTATCTTACACCTTTTTGAGCTGTAACAAAGCCACCTAAATCAAGAAAAATACCGAAAAATCGCGAAATCTCGTAATTCCGAGCCTACAGCTGGGGAAAACAATTTTTCTAGTAAAATTTTTCACAAAGCCGACATTTTGGTAAAAAACCGGTCATTTTTGGTCGAAAAATCAATACTATTTGTATTTTTTCATAAAAACAACATTTCTTTACGTTTAGGGATAGGAAAAGACGGTTTAGAAACGCTTAGTTAAAAAATTGGTTCCTGAGGCAAATTTTTGCAGCCCCCGCCCCCGATGATGCGAAAGAACCAAGCTTCCCACCGGTCGTTGGCTTTTCTCACACTCCCCGGCATCCCTCTTCACCGCCTCGGAGAACAGCTGCATTTGCGTCAGATGGTCCAGATCGGCCGCGCTGAAGCCGCAGGCATTGATCAGCTGCAAAAAATACGCGAAAATCGGTACAATTCGGATAAGCGCGGGGGGGGGAAACCAACTTTTTTTTGTCGGCCCTGGTGGGGATAGTAATCAAATATAAAGTTTTTCACATTGTTTTTAGCAAAATTTAAGCCTATTGGAATCGGAAAAACTTTTTAAAAAGTTAGAAAAACGCTTGAAAAGTCGAAAATTTGGTCATTTTGGGCCGAAAAAATTGATTTTTGGACCTAAAATTAAATTTTTTAATTAAATTTTGTAAAGTTTTTATGTTTAGGAATAGCTATAACCAATTTAGAAACACTTCCACTATTTATATAAAAAATATAGACTTGGGCGGAAAAAAGTTCGGTTCCCCCCCCCCGCTTATCCGAATTGTACCCGAAAATCAAACCATTATCGAGGAGAGGAGATGAAGGATCGTCGATATGAAAGCGGAGACTTTTGTGTCGCTCTCAAAGTCGAATGTTCCCTGCGAGTCGACGAGCAGTACGTGATACTACAAAAGGTCCTCTTAAAGAGCACGTTCAGGGACGTTTTTTTTGGAAAAAAGCGAAGGCTTTTGCCGCGGCCGGGGGTCGAACCCGGGCCTCCCGCTCGGGAGGCGCGGTTGGATACCATTCAGCCACAGCTACAACCTGGTAAGGGGGCGAGGGGCGCCCCACGCCGCAAAGGAGGGGAGTGGCCTGTCACAGCACGGGCAGGCCGTGCGCGCGGTCCCTACGTCCATAGGGTGTACACGTTGGGACGAGTACACGGCCTCTCCCTGAACGTTTGAAAACAAGCACTAACCGTCCCCGCATCTGTCTCAACCGGAATCAACTCATTCCACATCAGAATGCCCTGGGTGTGTCTGGCTTCGTCCATTTTGAAGGGGATACCATCGCTGTGTCTGAAAAAAGGCTTTTGACGGTTAGGAACGTTCGAACGAGACGCGCCTATGCACGCTCAACTGTCCACGGGCGGTGTAATTTGTACACTCCAGCGAAAAATCCCCAAATTTGGCTAGAAATATCTCGAAAGTTTCATAAAAAAAATCGAAAAACAAAATCTATGAAAATGTTCTACGGACGATTGCGCATCTTTTGAAACCCCGATATCGAAAATCTAAGAGCGAGAATCGAAAAAAGAGCTCAAACTTAGCTCAGACTTGCTTCTCAATGAAGCCAAGCTCAGGCTTAGTCTATGAGTACGCTTAGAAGTTTAAAAAGTGTGTGTACTAGTCTTTTTCCGCTGGGATTATTTAGTCTAGTGACATTCTAAATAGCATAAATTACCCGATGACGGTCTTCGCGTCCCGCAGCGCCCCCGGGTTGGTCAGCTCGAGGCGCAGCAGTTCGAGCAGGCAGCTTTTGCCGCCTCGTAAGAGGCCGGCGATGCTCACGATGACGACCTAAAAGGCAATTTATTTTGTTATTTATTAATTAATTAATATATTTATTAATTTATTTTTATAAATTTATTAAGCAAAAATTGTGATCCCGGTCGCAACACCGGCGTGGAAAAGCCGACCTTTTTGCCCCTAATTTTCTCTTGAATCTCGAGCAGTGCCGTTTCGATGAGGCGTGGGTGAATTCGCTCCCTATCCGCATCCTTGATGAAGTCTATTATTTGAAGAAGTTGGCCGACCATTTCCTAACAAAACATTGACTGGGTTTGGACTAAAAGCACTACACAGGTCAGTGCATCCACCCGAAATCCACTCGGAATCCCGGAGGGGATCGAGGGGAATTCCACTAGCGGACGCGAGTGGATTCCACATGGAAATCGAGTGGATTCCGGGTGGAACGCATGGAAATCGAGTGAAAACCAAGTGGATCCACTCGGTTTCCACTCGATTTCCATTTGTCGCGACGCGTGGGGCCCGCGTTGCGTCGTGTTTCCACTCGATTTCCGCCGCGTCCACCCGATTTCCACCCGATTTCCATGCGTTCCACCCGAATTCCAGGTGGAATCCACACGGAAATTGGGTGGATGCACGGACCTGTGTAAAATGGAGGTCATGACATTAGAATAGACACAATAATATTAATACTAAAATACTTTTCGAATAGAAATAGAGGAAGTGTCTCTAAATTGTTTTTGACTATTCGCAAACGTAAAAACTTTACAAAGTTTGACTAAAAAATAGTTTTTTTTTGAGCAAAACTGGCTGACCTTTTACCAAAATTTCAACTAAAAATCTATCTATTTTGTTATTGTTTTTCCACTTCAAAAATCCTAGTTAGATTTTGCTAAAAACACTTTTAAAACACGTACAAGTACGTTACTAACATTTTTGGACTTTAAGACAAAGTTTGTCCGCCCGATATTGCGAAAGCACCAAAATCCTTAATAATTTTCGGAAAATGTTTCGAAATTCAGAGGTTTGAATTGTTTGTCTGAGAAAAATTTAGGAATGATAACAGAAATCTATAGCGAAGCGCCGCGCCCGCTTATACCCACAGCCGATTTCTTGTGCAACAGAATGGCCCCGATCGATGGCTACAGTTCGGGAGATTGCAAGCCTAAAAATAAGAGCAAAAAAATCACGTGGAATGTAAGCATTTTTTAAAAACTTTCTGCAATACAAAATTAGGTTCTTTGGCGTTATCGGGGGGCCTAGTTCTTCCTTGCAGTCCGAAAATTCAGCTACGTGATAGAGAGTTTAATGTGTTTTTGTGGTTCTTTCGCGTTATCGGGGGGGGCAACTTTTTCTAAAAGAAATGCCTAGCAACTAAATACTAGGTGTTTTAATGGTGTTTTCAGCAAAAAGTTACTATATTCCGAGTAGAAAGACAATAAAAAAACCTAAATCAGAAAAATTTTTGTTAAAATTTTTGTCGAAAAATCTATATTTTTTACCTTTTTTAATAAAATCTGTAAACACTTTACTTAGGTATCAACTATAATAAAAAAGTAGTGGTGTCTGTCCGTGTGAAGCCGAATTCAACTCGAAGGGGAAAGGAGCTAGAGCTTAGCTCTCTTCGGATTCGGATAGAGCGTGGCCAGAAACCCCCAAACTGATAAAAAAAATTATGAAAAAGTTATTTTTGTCTTTTTAAGGGGATTTCGGCTAGTGGAGGTATCTTAAACCATCGGGAAGGTATTTAGGTAGTTTTTGAAGGGGATTTCAGCCATGGGGAGTATCTGAAGCCATCGGGAAGGTATTTAGGTAGTTTTTGAAGGGGATTTCAGTCATGGGGGGTATCTGAAGCCATCAGGAAGGTAACGATGTAGTTTTTTTTTGAGGGGATTTCGGCTAGCGGAAGTATCTAAAGCCAAGTAAAGTAGCTAGTTTTTAGCAGGGGTTGGCCATAGAAGGTATCTGAAGCGACCAGCGTGGGTATTGATGAAGGTAGAGGTGTAATATGGTGGTGTATAGCATGGAGGGTAGCCCGAAGGCCAGTCGATTACAGTCGCGAAGCGGCTGTAATCGGCTGGTTAAATCAATAAATATCTATTTATATTAAAAATTGGACCGTTAGAAAAAAACCTCGTACATCAATTATTTTCTTTTTCCTTTGCTTTGCCGACTTTTGAATTTGTTGTCTTCTAAATTTAACACCCATACCTTTAAATCCAAATTTTCTACGCCACGTAGCTAGCTATAGCTATTTTACCGTTCCAAAAGTTCCATTTTACGCTTTACAGGCCAAAAAGTACGGCTCGCGTACCGAATTTCGCTTCACTTCTTTTGCACTTTTCACCGAACGATCAGTTAGCGATTGAGCGTGTGTTTATGCATTTTGCGCACTCTCCGAGCAAGACCTCCCGATTCTACGCACGGGTCTTTGGTCCTCGTTTTGTTTGTTGAAGCGACAAAGGGGGCAGGCGGGTTGCGGGCGAGAGAGTGACGAAAAAGAAGAGGCGGAGACGCGAGACTAATGGAAGGAGCATGACCAGTCAGGAAGCGCAGGCACGAGCGTGAGACTATGAAATGCTAGCGAACCCTCCTGTTTTCCGATAAACTCGCCCGCCTTTATGTCTTTGCGAAAAAGATTGCCGGGAATTCTGGGGTGGCATTTACTGCTTTGGGAAATGGGGCGAATCAGCTTTTCTCGTCACAGCTGTGGTTTTTGTAAATGGCGCATGCATTTTTACTATGTTTTAATTATTCCTCAGCATCAAAACTACAAATCTTAATGAAAAATGTAATTTTAGATCGGGAAATCAAGTTTTTCGACGTAAAATGACTATATTTTCGACTTTTTTTGAAAGACTTTCCTAACTTTTTGAAAGTTTTTCAGTTTTCATGGAGTGAAAACTCACTAAAAACAATGTAAGAACGCTTTATATTTGGATGGAACAAATGTTGCTTTGAAAAGATCCTCCTTACAACTTTTTAAAAGGATTCTTGAAAATGTTAAAACGGAATTTAGCGCTTTTTTTCTTGTTCCAAAATGACCTTTTTCAATAATTCTTACCCTTCGAATCTCATCCAGACGTGGAATAGACCTCAAACTCTGCCAAACATTATTTGAAACCTCGAGTTCGGAAATGTTAAAACTTCCCCTGAACAATTTTCTCGTTGTTTTTCTTTGCCTAGATTGCAAATCACTTTTGCGGTACAGTTTTGCCGTAGGAAAATCTTTTAAGCCCGCCGAACGACGTCCGGGATTGTGTTTTAATAGATTTTCAACGTTTCTGATGCGTTTTCTCGTTTCTAATCTATTGTCTTGAATTCAAAAGTTCATCATCATCTTTTTCAGCGGAAAAATGGGCAATGAGCAAAGCCACAAAGTGAAGAAAACGCATGGACAATCGGCTTCCCCGTCAGAATCCCCAAGAATCGACTCGCGCTCCACGGAAGCCGCCAAGAAACTCGCCGACTCGAGCGGCAAAATAACAGCGGCATCACTGCAGGTTCGTCGGATCCTTAAAATTCTGTTTTCTAGAAGACCTAAATCATTTTTGCGTAGGTGCATCAGTGCCATTCGCGTTTTTCTACGTCGGGACGTGCAGAAAGGGCATTTTGCAAAGGAAATTGCGTTTTTCGAGTATTTTTCTACAATGCGAATCTCATACCGAAAAAGGAACCGTAAAAAGACTGTAATTTCTGAGCTGGTTCGAGGAGAAAATTAGTTATAAAAACGGCTTCTAGTTCAAGGAGACGTTTTTTCGGTGATGATCCCGTTTCCGTACGAGATCAAGCCCAGCTTGTGGAGAATTTTGCACTTATTCCGAAACTGGTTGCAACATTTGCGAAAAGCTCATATTCACAAAGTTATGAAGGTTTTCGGTAAGAAAAGCCCAAAATGGCCCAATTTTGCCCTGAAAAAGTTCATATTTACTTTTGGAAACCGATCGTTTCGCCGCTTTTGAAACTAGTGTCGAAATCAGCGCAAAATTCTGCACATTGTAGGCTTGGTCCCTTATGGAAACGCGATTGTCACTAAAAAGCTGTTTCCTTGTTAGATGGGCCTTTTGTATTTCAGTGAATATACGTCCCAGTTTTCAGAGCCTCTTCTCGCCAGAACTCGCCGACTCGCTATGGAAATATCTCTCGGAAGGACAAGGCGATGGCGTGACCCCAGAAGCTGCTGCCTCAAAAATTACACCACTTATGGGGACATCAACTGATATCTACGTCAAGATTTGTCAGGTGAGACTTTTTAGCCTTTTTATAGCATTCTTTAGCCAGTGCACCATTTCATCAAAGTGTGCTTGGAGGCGGCCGGTGGGGTGGCGTACGATGTGGATGTCGGCTTCATTCAGAGTCTTGTCAAGAAGATGGTGCGTTTATATTTGTTTAAAATATTTGCAGAAAAGGGCCATGATTTCCCAGAATGCGTTCAAAACAAGCCATATAAATTATCAATGAAATAAAAACAAATCTAAAAAGCTTTAGCATAGAAATTTCAACGTTGACCTTCCAAAAAATTTGAGGTTTTGTTGGGTGATTCGAAGGCTAGGTAAGGCATCGGTAGATAGAATTTTTAGGGGGCTTTATTAGGCTTGGACTATCGTCGTAGCTTTTTCAACTTACAAGTCATTTTTTCGTAGCTATATAATCTTGTTTTTCCCTTTCAAAGCCTGAGTTTAGCGTTGATTTTCGGTGTTTTATAAAATTGTCGTTTAAGACGGCCCACGGCGACAACTGGGAGTCGATCGTCGAGTGGAAGAACAGCGAATGCCCACGGTTTTGTCATCAATTACAATCTGTGGTGCTGAACAAGCTCAACGGATATCCAGTGGTCCGTTTATGCCTTTTTATAGGGAGCTTCTTCGAACTGAATTCTCTAAAGGACTGTTTTTGTAGACAAATGTGCAACTCAATTCGGACGTCCTCTCGCAGCTTCAATTCCTCTACCTTCAAAGTGCCCTCCCACCCTCCTATTTTGTCAAAGATCCGGTAAGACCTTCTTAAAAACTATTGATTTTTATTTAATTCCAGAAAACGGGCGAATTGGCCGAGTGGATTCCGATCTATACAAGTGCCATGCAGGGCATCAGCGTCAATCGATTCGAGAATAACGTCTTTGAATATAAAGGTGTTTAATGGCTGTTTATCTACTTTTCATCGTCATTTTTCAGGTCATACCGTGACGGTCATCAAGCTGAAGGACAAGCGAACGGTGGCGCTGGCGTCTGATACAACGTTCAGGTGTGATTTCAGAAAAAGAGAACTCTTCGGCGTGAGCCTAGACTTTATAGACACAGCCGAGTGGTTTGTACATGTGTTTTTTTTGTTTTTGGGCGTATAACTTTACAAATTTTAATTATTAAAAATCTATGATTAGGTCGGAAAGTTTTTTCGATGAAAATCACCAAAATGTTGATTTTTCGAACTGAGTAAAAAAAACATATAAAACACTTCATCGAATAGTCCATAACCAAAAAGTTTAATGCAGTTTTCCCTAAAAAATCATCCCCCCTAGCCGGGCGCAGACGTGTCGGATTTATACGATTTATAGATATCTATGGAAAGTTCTTCAAACGGCGAGTTCCGCACCACTCTCCGATTTTACAAAATTTTTGCAATTTTTGCTCGCTCGGAATTTTTCATGCAAAAAGGACATGTGATTTTGTCAAAAACCCAATTTAACCGGTTTTAGCGCTATCCAAGCCGTGTTTTCGCGAACGGCTTTCAAAAAGCTGTAGTTGGGCCGCCAGGAAAGGCGTAAAAATTTTTAAATTTGGATTTTTTTTAGAAACCCCATGGTCAGAAAAGTGTCGGAAAATCCGCCCTTGTCGCAACAAAAATAGTAAACGTTAGAAAAATTGGAAAATTTTGAGAATCGGCGAGACGTGCTGGACTCGGCTTTCCATTGATAGATTGAGTTTTTGATAGAAAAAGACTGTCCTTTTGCGTGAAAAATGCCGAAAATCGCGCAAAAAATTCCAAAATTTGAGAATCGGAGAGACGTGCTGGACTCGGCTTTCCGAACGCTTTCGATAGATACCTGAATCGTAAACATCGGACCCGTCTGCGGCCGTCTAGAATTTTTTTGGGAAAACTGTTTTTGTACTTTCTTTTTAAGAAACGGCTCGACACGCTACGGTGGCAACGACACGATGTATTTTGAGCTCGAGCCATCGCTGCTCAGATTAGATGGCACCAATTCGATCTATTCGAATTTCAAGGTACGGTTTTTCGGCGTATTGAGTACTATTCCAGTTTTTAGATTCGCTCGGCGTCGATGGGGCTGTCTTTCAAGGAAGTCATGAAGATTGACAAGGACTTGGACGAGGTGGTGGCGATCGAGGTGAGCGCGTTCAAGCCGTAGACGACGACTCGACCAGGTCTACAATATCGACGCCCTGGTTTCCGATTAAAATGTTTATATTCAGGCGGTTTTTAAACGGGCGCCTATTTCCCCAGCGAGTGTGAGGCAGAGAAAGGAGTGTGTGAAAGAGAGAGAGAGAGAGAGTGTGTGAGGAGTGCGTGAAAGAGAGAGAGGGAGAGAGAGCGCCATACAGAGAAAACCAACCGTAAATAGGCGCCCACGTAGTGCGCGCCTGAAAGAGCGCTTGGTACTTGGCCATACGGGCGGGCTATCTTACAAAGGCCTCCTGCTGATGAATCCCTATGGCGCGCCCCTGCGCCCCAGTTACAGTACCCCACCCGACCGCGCCCCCATTACGCTTGCTAAAGGTCCTAGCCCAGGCAAGTAAGACAAAAGCAACAACTTTATTGGAGAAAACAATGTAGCAAAACAAAACAACAATAACAAGAAGTTCAACAGCAAACTCGACGAGTGCGGCAAGGTATCAGGCTTGTAGATTTTTCTTTGTGCTCTCCTCTCGCTTCTTCTTAGCGCTCCGCGATTGCATTTGATAATTTTGCGATGACTGTCTGATAGGAGCGGTCCCTTGGTGGTGGGGTGCAATTCGATTCTCTTTGTCTTGCGTTATGGAGGAATACTGCTCATCAATTGTTTGCTTAAGCTTTTTGAGCATTTCAATATCTTGGCTGCCGCCAAACGTCCGTCATCGTCTTCAGCCTCGGGCGGTAGATGAAAAGCCCTGATATGATCGGCAGCCGCCGACTTCGTTGGGAAACGAGCAGCACAATCAGGGCAGCTCCAGAACTTGGGACGAGAGATTGGGGGTGGCAAATGTGATCCGCCGTGCAAATTGTCGCCATGCGCGCGCATGTTGCAAGCGCGGTCGGTGTTATAGGCGCATTTCGGGCATTGGAATTTTACCATCTTCTGCAAACAAGTATTATACAAGTTTCAAGCATTCGGCAGAAAAAACGAAAATAGTACTCTCTGTTATTGTAACGAGATAGAACGACAAAATATTATGTTCCCAGACCATCTAAAAAACATTCTATTCACTTTATAGCTTTTAGCTTTTTGATTTATATTTACTTTTTGTTTTTCTTATTGACTTTCTGTCTAGCTTTTACTTTTCTGGTTCAGAGATTAGCCAGCGTAATGGGGGCGCGGTCGGGTGGGGTACTGTAACTGGGGCGCAGGGGCGCGCCATAGGGATTCATCAGCAGGAGGCCTTTGTAAGATAGCCCGCCCGTCTTGGCCATTAGCGGGGGGGGGGCTTTTTTGCCAATCTTTGCCTGTAATCCCGTGCGGCCCTATAATAAAAAGCATTTTCAACAGTTTTAGAGATTCAAGTTGTGAAAAGCTCTGATTTTTGGCCGGAAAGGACTATATTCAACATTTTTTTAAATACTTTTTATGACTTTCTAGGACTCAAAAACACTGAAAATATGTTAAATGTACATTATCTATTAGTTTTCCTACTGCTAGACCCCTTACCTCCTCCGCTAACAGCCCAGTACCGAGCGCTTTCATTCGAAGGCAGGGCGTCGAAATGGTAGAAAAGCTGTTGGCGATTGTCGGGATTTCTCGTCGAGAATCTAGCATCTTCGTATCACTTTAAACAATGTTATTTTTCAGGTGTGGGGCTGTGGCGGCGCTAGCACGCTGAACGAGCAGCGCGGACTGCGCGATTGGCAGAATCGACAGGCCGAGAGGAATAAAAAGGTTACCTGTTATTCAGAATTTTTCAACGATTTTTCAGGTACCGCTACCGGGCAATTGGGACGACAACCCGGACAAGACGCTGCTCGAGATGGCCGGCATCAATTTCAGGTTGGCACTATTTTAAAGGAATGCAAGTTTGTATCTTTTATAACTTCTAAACTTCTTCTTCTATAAAACCAAATGCTAAAAGCCGTATCTTAAACTGCAGGCTTGGTCCTAGTTTTTACTTTTTTCGTCGCTTAATTTTGTATTTAGCAACGAGCGCGCCAATATGGAGATGGAGGCGAGACGACGGGCCGAGATGGGCGACGGTTGAGGGGGCGTTTTGCCAGACTGGAACACTTCAACATTTCCGTTTTTGCTCAGCTGTGATATGATATTGCCTTTTTTGCACCTGTAAATAAATTGTACTTGCCACTGTGTAATTTTAAGGATTCTACTCCTAGATTTGATTTTTAGTTTGCGAGGTTGTGGAACGAGGAGAGTTGAAAGAAGTTCAGGTTCAAAAGCAGACTCTTGCTCTAAAAAGCCGCGGCGCGATTTGGTATTGGTTGTGAAGAAGCCGGCAGAGTTCCTTCGGTGAGGATCTAGGCTAGCATCGACCCGAAGATTTGTATATTAGCATAATTTGGGCCCATCAGGAAGCATCCACGCTTTGCATGGTACCATCAGTTCAAAAGCGCAGATTTATGCGTTAACTTTGATTTCCTACTCTCTTTTTAGATTTTCTCGTTTGGTTAAAATGGTAAGTTTATACAGTATAAGTAAGTATAAACTGTATAAATAAGCATAAACTGTATAAGTAAGTATAAACTCTCTGATGGTAAGCGGCAAGCTTGACGTTCTTTTTTTTTTGAAAAAAGAAAGATTCTTGTTTCCTCCTCAACCACGCGTCCTAGGATAAAAACTCTTTACTGGATGATATGGCAAGGGCAACGACGGAATTGGCGCAAAAACGACGGGTCGAATGTGAGCTGATCGACGGTATGGACAAGCAGGTGAGGTGTTTGGAAATACTCACGGTTGTTCGGCTCATTTTTTTTGGCAAGTGTCTAGGAAAGAACCCGCCGCAACTTTTCAGCCATACGCCCCATTAATGCGTGGAGTATATCAAAATGTTTGCCGTGGTTGAATCAATCGAAAAAAAGTTGTTTCCTGAGGCCAAAAATTGCTAGAACAATTTTTTACAAGACTTTAAAATGTGAAAAGATTAAGTCATCATGCCTCAATGTACTAAGATTTCAAACTGCCTCAAATATTTTCTTTTCGCTATTTTTCCGATTTAAAGGTAATGTAGCCATATGCTACAGCGCAATAGCTATATTTTCGTAGCATCGACAGGTCTCATGTCGAGGTTTCGTAGGTCTAGGGGGCACTGGAATGCGAAAACTCACTTTGGACCAGGAAAAATTAATTAAAGGAAACTTTTAATTGGTATAAAAAAAATTTATAACAATTTTTGACGTAAGGAAACAACTTTTTTTCTAGCAATTCGTCCACGACGAAGATTTTTAGATAGGACGTATGGCTAAAAAATTTCGGGGTTTCCTAGACCCTAGCCATTTTTTTGCCCTTAGCCATCCTACTATATATAAAAAAATAGTGTCTGTGCGTGTGTGTGTCTGTGTGTGTGTGCCACTTTGCATCCACTTCCGTCTGTCTGTCCGGAGGATATCTCGATAGGGGATGAATTTTAAAGTACGTATGATACGTCATTAGGTGCGTATGGGTCTGGAGATGACTGCACACATATAGAATTTTACAAAATCAGCGGTTTTCGACATTAAATTTAAGTTTTTGTGGAAACCTCTTTGTTAGAACAAATTAGCATAGACCGGAAGGAGGGATTCGACTAGATAAAAGGGCAGAAGAAGTTGTTTTGCAGTTTTTGTGATCAGAATGCAAGATAATTATGCAAAGGTTTAGGATAAAATGGGGTCAGACGGGGCTAGGGTTGAAAAGTCGCGAAGCGGCTTTTCAACCCTGGTTCAAACTAAATTTAATTTTCCACCCGTTTTCAGAGGATGACGGCGATGTGCGTCGAGCTTTACATCTTCGAAGCGCAACATTTCGAGGATGTCGCGCTTTGTAGGCGCTGGAGGGCCGCACAAGCCGCGCAATTTTTCGCGACGGGCCGACTTGATGGTGCACAGCTCCACGTGAATTCGCATGTTCGTCCGTCTTCCAAAGGGATCAAGGGTCGTCCAATTCTTTTACAGCCCGTGAAACTTGAGCCACTCGACTTGCCACTGCACTCCAACCCGCGATTCGACTCACTTCAACACGCTGCTCATGTCGAGGCCTCGGAATTGGCTGAACGGCTCACGATTTTCGAGCTGTGCCAGGCACGTTCCCGTTCTTTCGCATCTCCGGTGGGGGGGGAGTAGTTAAGTCTACAAGTAATAGAAATTAATAGAAAGTGTTTTCATAGCGTTTTTAGTAATATATAACTATCTTTAAACTAGAAAAACTATCTAAAAACTTTGAAAAATATTGAAAACATCGAAATTTTGGCCGAAAGTTATATTCTTGATGTTCTGTAATAACAATTTGTAAAGTTTTCACGCTTAGGAATAGTAAAAACTATTTGGAATCAGTACCACAATTTATATTTGCAAAATTAGATCCTAAGAAAAAAGTTGTTACCCCCCGAAGAACCCACGTTTATTTTTTATCTAATAAGAGAAGGATTTGTTTAGTGGCTGGACGAATGGCAGAAGAACGGCGAGCCAGCGATGATGGCGGAGACGGCAGCCGCGGCCGCTGCTTCGGCTGCCGCTGCCGCCAAATTTGCCGACGCGGTTAGATTTGGGCGCATCTCCTCCACTGTTTGCGGGAACCAAGTACGGGCCTTTTTTTAGGCGCGCCGTGTGCGAGCGGCCTCGACCGCTTCGGATGACCTGCTGAACATCAAGCGCCAGCGTTTGTTGAAGGCGGACGGAATTGTGGACAACACCTATGCAATGGGGCTACAGGTGAGAAAAGAAATCGTGAGCGGTTCTTCAGGATTGGCCGGAGGGGGGGGGGTCGAATTTTTCCTAGTGAACCAAGTTTGCCTAGTATTGGAAGATGAAGCGTTAGGGTTATATATCGTTTTTAATAACTTTTAGGGTTCTTTAGGATTCGCGGGGCGGGACCAAATTCTGTTTTTTGGACCCAAGTCTAAATTGTTTTTTAAATAGCGGATGCGTGTTTCTAAGTTGTTTTTAAGTATTCCTAAGCATAAAATTATACAAATTTTAATTAGCGAATTTCAGTTTAGGTCGAAAAATTGATTTTTCTACCCAAAATGACCAAATTTTTGGACTTTTTCAACTTTTTAAAGTTTCGACTAGTTAGTTCGATAGTTAAAACTTACTAACATAATGTAAAAGACTAAATTTGGTTACTAGGTAAAAAGGGGGACCGCTCCTAAAGAAATACTTATTAGATTAGGAGTAGAAAGCATCAGTAGTTTTTACCCTCGGGCATTGCTAAAATGCGCCATTCATGTAATTGAGTAAAGTATCTTGCGAGCAAATGCTAAAGATGTGCGTTTAATTGGTTAAACGAGGGGCAATTGCGAGGATTTCACGCTCGATTTAGATGCCGCCTCCGATTTTGTGGCGCGAGCCCGGGACTGATCACCTTCCCACAGCCCAGCCAGCCTCGACTTTGCCCATTCAGGCAAGTAATAATGTTTTTTCGCCTAGCGGGGCGTTGTTTTTTAAAAAACGCAGCTCATTTTAGTCGCTGTCACAGCGCAGCAGCGAAACGTCCTCCACGTCCGACGAGTCGTTCACCACCATCCCACCCGGCCAGCCGTCGGGTCGTATCGTCGAGGTATTTTACAGTATTCAGTGTTCTAAGCTTTGGCGAACATGGCCTTAGCCTTAGCGATTTTTTTGCGCGGGGTAGCACAAATTTTTGGGTGCTGCCAGGTCAGCGGGGAGCCGGTTGCGAACTTTTTTTTCTTTAATCTCGTGCGGATCCCCAGGTTAAAAGTTTACCGTTTTTATGCCCTTTTACGCCGTTTCAAGTGGTTCTGGACTGTTAGCGTGGGAGGAGAAATCTCTTTATAATGGAAAAATTCAATCGCACATAAAAAATTCGTGGTGGACTGAGCGTTTCAGCGCATTGCCGAGCATTCTATACTGAGCGAGTATTACTCGCACACCCCCTGCCAAACATCGCAATTCACTTCAGGATGATATCCGGGTGTTCGTCTCCGATCTGCCACCTCTAGCTGCCGCAACGACCACGAGCTCTTCGACTACGCGCCGCTCTATTGTTTCTGCGGTGCCTGCTCCTGTCGAAGTAATTTACTTCTTTATTTCATTGCGCACTTTCTTGACCCGTATATAAAACCCTTGGTATAATTTTTGATGCTCTATGGAGTAGCAGACTGTCGAAAAATATCGAAAATCCTGAAAAATAGCTTACCAACCCCATTTTCCGGGTTATTTTTGCTTTTGTTCCAAGTTTCTTAAATTATTTTTTGCTTTTATGTCGAATCAAAATTCTAAATAAGTCTATTTTTGCTGCTGTTCCGGGCGCGATGCTGTAGTCCCCAAAAACTAATTAAATCTTCAAAAACTTGGAACGTTAAACTCCCCCCCCCCGCTAACGAATCAGAACCGAGAGTAGCCCTAAATAATGAGCACACTTTTCTGCAGTTGCCAGACGACCGCGTCAACAACACCGTCGCCAGCCCCTCAGACGACACATCCACCGACGACGCCTGCTACACCCATGTCGGCGAATTCTTTGAGGTGATATATTAAAATTCACAGCGTCCCCCGGGGGCCAATCTACTACAAGGTGTCCAAAAAACCGTCCCTCGGCATTTGGCCGTCTTCTATCCCATCGTGACCAAATTTTTACCAGTGATGGGACCCATAAAAACTATGTACAGCCGAATTTTCTAAACAAAATGTTGTAAAACAAAGTTATGACCAAAAACTTATTTTTTTTTGGCAAATATTTGGGCTTGTTTTTGAATTATGCTGACGCAATTAGAATGCCGATTTTGAGTAATTTGCTGAAAAATGGTCATTTTTGCGTCGATTTCTGCCGATTTTGGATAATAAAATGTGATGCAAGATCCCGAGTTAAACATGATTCTCGTAAACCAGAAAGTTAGGTCACGTAGAAAAAAAGCTCCCTCTTCGTTTTGCATTAATATTTCAAGATCGAAATCCTCCAAAATCACAGGGCAATCGGCAAAATAAACCTGATTTTCGCTGTCACTTTTTTTACAATATTTTGCTTAGAAAATTCGGCTGCACATAGTTTTTATGGGTCCCCATCGCTGGTACAAAAGTGGTCCCCGATCGGATAGAAGGCTGCTGAGTTCCGAGGGTTTTTCGATGAGAAGTCTTTTATTTGTGTCACGCCAGCCATTACTTGCAGCTGCATGAAACTCGCGATTTTTCAGCAGGTCGACCCAAATTTCATCCGCGTCTCCGTCCCAGCTGATCAGCCTACCTGCCTGCCTACTGCTGCAACCGCTACGGGCGGGCCAGGACACTAAAATTCCGCTGCACAGTTCCTATCGCGCGCCCTTGTGACCGTAACCCCCCAGAGCCCGTTCGCCTTTTCCGACCAGCTTTTCATCGCGTAAAAATATAAAAGGAAGTGAAAAACAAAAACAATAATAAAAAGCAAAAAGATAACTACAGGGTGTCCCAATAAAAAAGGTCACGCTGGCATTTCGCCATTTCAAATCTGTTCGATCTGAAATTTGGAACAGAGCTGCGGAAGGGAATTTAAAATGTTCACAGAAACTTTCAGCCCGATCAGTACAGTAGTTTTCGAGTTATAACAAAAATACTGTTTTTTTCAACACTTTTTCTTCATTTGATCGGCTATCTTTTTGGACTTTGCATCAATTAACATCAATTTTGGCCCTTAATCCCTCATTCTTCTTAACATCGGGGATGATCACACCTTGTTAAAATTACTTAAACAACCTATTTCCAAGACGAATTTTACGAAATAAAAAATTTTCTGGGGTAAAAAAGGGTCGGCGCTTCATTTTTGCCATACATTCCAAGGCTCAATTCCGGCGAAATCCAGGTTAAAAACGTAAAATAAAGTTTATTTTTGCTATAACTCGAAAACTACTGTTCCGATCCGGCTGAAAGTTTCTGTGAACATTTTAAATTCCCTTCCGCAGCTCTGTTCCAAATTTCAGGTCGATCGGATTTGAAATGACAAAATGCCAGCGTGACCTTTTTTATTGGGACACCCTGTATTTTAATTAGAAAAACACTTTTTGAAAGGTACAATGGGAAAATACCCATTAGTTGAACGTTCTGATGAGGTTAGTTGTCTAGATGTATCTCTTGATGATAGGGAACAGTTGGCGGGAGCGATAGAGAACAAGTTTCGGTGCCACATTTCTTTTAGCGGCCGATGCACTTAGTCGCGATTGCCTAACGTCTGACAGGTTGCAGAAACACGAAGGCGTTTCCTGGATGTTACGTGGACAAAACCGTATATGTAGGCTTGCCTACCGAAGCGAGCCTATGTTGAGCGACCATTGCATACGCTTCAGAAAAGAAAACTACAATGTTTACTAATTTTTTAGTTCATATTTTATAAAAAACGGCAGGCGGTTCCTCGATGAAGACGCTCTTCGGCGTACTCTCACTTCTGCTTGTAAAATTTCCAGCTCGTCATCTGGTTATACAGTAGCTTGAAGGCAGGCAACTCATACTATTCAAGTTGGAAGATGAACCATTCATTCGGGAGCTATAACGGAAAACGCTCTTAGGCTTAGCCTATGTCTGCTCGTCACAGAATTTTGGTTTCTCAGCCTGGGAAGAGAGAAGTCCAGAGAAGACGAAGGGTAGCGCACCTCAGGTGAATAGCTAACAAAATCCACTAAACTAATCGCAACATAACTAAATAACTAATCACGAGCCGCAACTCCGTCGTCGGGTCTCTATCATCAAGAGATACATCTAGACAACTAACCTCATCAGAACGTTCAACTAATGGGTATTTTCCCATTGTACCTTTCAAAAAGTGCTTTCCTAATTAAAATAGTTATCTTTTTGCTTTTTATTATTGTTTTTGTTTTTAACTTCCTTTTATATTATTTACGCGATGAAAAGCTGGTCGGAAAAGGCGAACGGGCTCTGGGGAGCTCTGGGGGGTTACGGTCACAAGGGCGCGCGATAGGAACTGCGCAGCGGAATTTTTGTGTCCTGGCCCGCCCGTGCAACCGCTTCCGAGGACTCGGTTATCAAGAATGCCGGCGTGTACATGGTGAAAACGGTTCTGGAACAGATTCTTTGATCACGTCTTTTCCGGCGGAATAAACTGATCCTGAACGGTCTTGTCTTGTTGTTTCCTATTTGCGACAAAAGATCCCACGTGTGCGAACATATTCCCTCTTGTAGCGGAAGCTAAAAACGGGCGCTTTGGCCCTATCGGCGGGGCGAAGCAGCCACAGTTTGCTGTTTGAACCTAGGCGTGCTTATCGAAGCAAATAGGAGTTAGCTTTGTAGTGCTCTTCATTCATTTTAGCGATATACCAAGCGCAAACAAACAAAAGATACTCGGAATTAAGCTTTAAAAGTTTCGGAACCAGCCCAATCTATATTTTAGGCGCCCACGTAGTGCCTGCCTGAAAGGGGATCATTAGGGTCGGAAAACCGATATCTTGTATTTTTTCAACAAAAAAAACGGTACTTTTTGCGTTACGCAACACTGGAAAACAATTACCCGATTCCTGTTAGATTTTGCCACCGAAAAATGTTTTGCCCACGCCGCAAAGGTGAACGAACCAAAAAAATACTTTGATTTCCAGGCGACGTCAGTCGCTAAACGCGGTAAGGGACGACCTGGACAAATGACGGTATTAATCATGCGATAAAATAGTATATTGCGTACTACAGGACAACCTATGTTCGAAATGCCCCGAGAAGGGCCGCCAGCGTGTGACCAACAAACACGGGGCGCTGCTCTGCCACGCATGTCTGACGGCGTATTGGTGCGCTTCCCTGGCGGAAGAAGTGAAGCAAGTTATGTTACAGGAAGGCCAGCGAGAACTACAACCGAAGAGGAACCTGTAATGGGAAGAACTGCACGAAGCTAAGTAAGCTTACTCCATTCCGCAGACCATACTTTACAGAACCCTGCGCCATCTGCTCATTCAACAGCAAATGGGCCCCGCTTGGTCTCCTTCCGCTTGACACCTCCAAAGAGACCTTCGATAAAGAGGCTTAATCCAGTTTTCCATGTATAAATTCAGTTATACATGAGTCGCCTGGTTCTCGATGAACGCTCTTCGAATCATACAGATCCGATAACCTCGCAAACTAAAAATGAAATCTAGGAGTAGAATCCTTCAAATTACACAGTGACAAGTACACTTTATTTACAGCTGCAAGAAAGGCAATATCATATCACAGCTGAGCAAACACGGAAATGTTGAAGTGTTCCAGTCTGGCAAAACGCCGCCTCAACCGTCGCCTATCTCGGCCCGTCGTCTCCCCTCCATCTCCATATTGGCGCGCTCGTTGCTAAATTGAAAATTAAGCGACGAAACATTAAAAGCCCGATCCAAGCTTACATTTTAAGATACAGCTTTTAATTTTAAAGGGGCTCTGGCAGCAGGCCCCTTTTTCCACGATTCGTGGAAGCGTCGCGGTCGGGTGCGTCGCGGCAGGGAGAGAAAGAGCGCGCCCAGAGGCGAGGCGCAGACAGAACTCTGCGTCTCTGCCCGGTCCCCAAAATGCCGTAATCGGTGTGCTGCCAGAGCCGCTTTAAGTTATAGAAGAAGAAGATAAAAGCTTAGTGCCAACCTGAAGTTGATGCCGGCCATCTCGAGCAGCGTCTTGTCCGGGTTGTCATCCCAATTGCCCGGCAGCGGTACCTGAAAAATCATTGAAAAATTCTGAATAACAGGAAACCTTTTTATTCCTCTCGGCCTGTCGATTCTGCCAATCGCGCAGTCCGCGCTGCTCGTTCAGCGTGCTAGCGCCGCCACAGCCCCACACCTGGAAATGAAGTTTTTAAAAAGTGATAGAAAAAGGTTAGGATCTCGACCAGATTTCTCGAGAATCAACAACAGCTTAGCGTTGCCTTTATCCAAAGACCTCTCGAAACTTTCTACCATTTCGACGCCCTGCTCTCGAAGAAAGCGATCGGTACTGGGCTGTTAGTGGGGGGGGGGAGGGTAAGGGGTTTAGTAGTCGGAAAACTTAAGTATTATCAATTTCTAACATGTTATTAGTGGTTTTTTAATGCTAGGAAGTTATAAAAAGTATTTTTAAAATGTTAAAAACGAAAAGGGAGCTTATTGGTCAATTTCATACGTTTTTCACCAAAAAAAGTCAAATTTTTGGAAACTTTTTTATAAGCTTTTCATCTCTAACAACTGTCGAAAATGCTATAAAATGTTTAAGCTTTATTATAGGGCCGCACGGGATTAAAGGCAAAGATTGACAAAATAGCCCCCCCCCCGCTAACAGTCCAGTACCAAGCGCTCTTTCAGGCAGGCACCACGTGGGCCTCTCTTATTACGCCTATTTACGGTTCTCTCTATGGCGCTCTCTCTCCCTCTCTCGTGCTCTCTCTCTCTCTCTCTTTCAGTCACTCCTTTCTCTGCCTCACACTCGCTGGGGAAATAGGCGCCCGCTTAAAAAATCGCCTGGATATAAGCATTTTAATCGGAAACCAGGGCGTCGATATTGTAGACCTGGTCGAGTCGTCGTCTACGGCTTGAACGCGCTCACCTCGATGGCCACCACCTCATCCAAGTCCTTGTCAATCTTCATGACTTCCTTGAACGACAGCCCCATCGACGCCGAGCGAATCTAAAAACTAGCCGAATGCTGAAAACGCCGAAAAATCGTACCTTGAAATTCGAATAGATCGAATTGGTGCCATCTAATCTGAGCAGCGCTGGCTCGAGCTCAAAATACATCGTGTCGTTGCCACCGTAGCGTGTCGAGCCGTTTCTGAAAAGAAAGCATAAAAACAGTTTTCCCCAAAAAAATTCTAGCAGGCCGCAGACGGGTCCGATGTTTACGATTTGGGTATCTATCGAAAGCGTTCGGAAAGCCGAGTCCAGCACGTCTCCCCGATTCTCAAATTTTGGAATTTTTCGCTCGATTTTCGGCATTTTTCACGCAAAAGGACAGTCTTTTTCTATGAAAAACTCAATCTATCGATGGAAAGCCGAGTCCAGCACGTCTCCCCGATTCTCAAATTTTGGAATTTTTCGCTCGATTTTCGGCATTTTTCACGCAAAAAGGACAGTCTTTTTCTATGAAAAACTCAATCTATCGATGGAAAGCCGAGTCCAGCACGTCTCCCCGATTCTCAAATTTTGGAATTTTTCGCTCGATTTTCGGCATTTTTCACGCAAAAGGACAGTCTTTTTCTATGAAAAACTCAATCTATCGATGGAAAGCCGAGTCCAGCACGTCTCCCCGATTCTCAAATTTTGGAATTTTTCGCTCGATTTTCGGCATTTTTCACGCAAAAGGACAGTCTTTTTCTATGAAAAACTCAATCTATCGATGGAAAGCCGAGTCCAGCACGTCTCGTCGATTCTCAAAATTTTCCAATTTCTGACATTTACTAATTTTATTGCGACAAGGGCGGATTTTCCGACACTTTTCTGACCATGGGGTTTCTAAAAAAAATCCAAATTTAAAAATTTTTACGCCTTTCCTGGCGGCCCAACTACAGCTTTTTGAAAGCCGTTCGCGAAAACACGGCTTGGATAGCGCTAAAACCGGTTAAATTGGGTTTTTGACAAAATCACATGTCCTTTTTGCATGAAAAATTCCGAGCGAGCAAAAATTGCAAAAATTTTGTAAAATCGGAGAGTGGTGCGGAACTCGCCGTTTGAAGAACTTTCCATAGATATCTATAAATCGTATAAATCCGACACGTCTGCGCCCGGCTAGGGGGGATGATTTTTTAGGGAAAACTGCATTAAACTTTTTGGTTATGGACTATTCGATGAAGTGTTTTATATGTTTTTTTTACTCAGTTCGAAAAATCAACATTTTGGTGATTTTCATCGAAAAAACTTTCCGACCTAATCATAGATTTTTAATAATTAAAATTTGTAAAGTTATACGCCCAAAAACAAAAAAAAACACATGTACAAACCACTCGGCTGTGTCTATAAAGTCTAGGCTCACGCCGAAGAGTTCTCTTTTTCTGAAATCACACCTGAACGTTGTATCAGACGCCAGCGCCACCGTTCGCTTGTCCTTCAGCTTGATGACCGTCACGGTATGACCTGAAAAATGACGATGAAAAGTAGATAAACAGCCATTAAACACCTTTATATTCAAAGACGTTATTCTCGAATCGATTGACGCTGATGCCCTGCATGGCACTTGTATAGATCGGAATCCACTCGGCCAATTCGCCCGTTTTCTGGAATTAAATAAAAATCAATAGTTTTTAAGAAGGTCTTACCGGATCTTTGACAAAATAGGAGGGTGGGAGGGCACTTTGAAGGTAGAGGAATTGAAGCTGCGAGAGGACGTCCGAATTGAGTTGCACATTTGTCTACAAAAACAGTCCTTTAGAGAATTCAGTTCGAAGAAGCTCCCTATAAAAAGGCATAAACGGACCACTGGATATCCGTTGAGCTTGTTCAGCACCACAGATTGTAATTGATGACAAAACCGTGGGCATTCGCTGTTCTTCCACTCGACGATCGACTCCCAGTTGTCGCCGTGGGCCGTCTTAAACGACAATTTTATAAAACACCGAAAATCAACGCTAAACTCAGGCTTTGAAAGGGAAAAACAAGTTTATATAGCGAAAAAATCTAAGAAGTTATTCGAATTCTAAAAAAAACCTAAAAAATCCTATCTACGGATTCCCTACCTAGCCTTCGAATCACCCAACAAAAACTCAAATTTTTCGGAAGGTCGACGTTGAAAGTTCTATGCAAAAGCTTTCCAGATTTGTTTTTCCATTGACAATTTGTATGGCTTGTTTTGGCCGCATTCTGGGAAATCATGGTCCTTTTCTGCAAACATTTGAAACGAATATAAACGCACCATCTTCTTGACAAGACTCTGAATGAAGCCGACATCCACATCGTACGCCTCCCCACCGGCCGCCTCCAAGCACACTTTGATGAAATGGTGCACTGGCTAAAGAATGTTATCAAACGGCTAAACAATCTCACCTGACAAATCTTGACGTAGATATCTGTCGACGTCCCCATAAGTGGTGTAATTTTTGAGGAAGCAGCTTCTGGGGTCACGCCATCGCCTTGTCCTTCCGAGAGATATTTCCACAGCGAATCGGCGAGTTCTGCCGAGAAGAGGCTCTGAAAATGGGGGCGAATGTTGGCTGAATTACAAAACGCATCTAACAAGGAAGCATCTTGTTAGTGAAAATCGAGTTTCCGTTCGGGACCAAGCCTATCCTTGTGCAGAATTTTGCGCTGATTTCGAACCTAGTCTAAAATCGATGAAACGATTCGTTTCCAAAAGTTATGAATCTTTACAGGGCGAAATGGGCAAAAATTTCATACGTAAAACCTTCAAAAACTATTTGAATATGATCGTTTCGCAGGTTTCGCAAACCAGTTCGGAATAAGTGGAAAATTCTGCACAAGATGGGCTTGGTCTCGCACGGAAACGCGATTCTCACCGAAAAACGTCTCCTTGTCAGCTGTTTTTTTTTTACTAATTTTCCCCTCGAAACAATTCAGAAGCGCCGAAATTACATTCTATTCACTGTTTCTTTGCCGGTATTAAATTCGCTATGTAATAAATACTCGAAAAAGGCAATTTCCTGTGCAAAATGCCCTTTCTGCAAGTCCCGACGAAGAAAACGCGAATGGCACTGATACACCTACGCAAAAACGATCTAGGTCTTCTAGAAAACAGAATTTTAAGGATCCGACGAACCTGCAGTGATGCCGCTGTTATTTTGCCGCTCGAGTCGGCGAGTTTCTTGGCGGCTTCCGTGGAGCGCGAGCCGATCCTTGGGGATTCCGACGGGGAGGCCGATTGTCCATGCGTTTTCTTCACTTTGTGGCTTTGCTCATTGCCCATTTTCCGCTGAAAAAGATGATGATGACCTTTTGAATTCAAGACAATAGATTAAAAACGAGAAAACGCATCAGAAACGTTGAAAATCGATTAAAATACAATCCCGGACGTCGTTCGGCGTGCTACAAAGGTTTTCCAAGGGTAAAACTGTGTTGCAAAGTGATTTGCAATCGTGACAAAGAAAGAGAACGAGAAAATGGTCGGGAAAAGCCTTAAATTTTCCGAACTCAAGGTTTTTAATAATGTTTGGCAGAGTTTGAGGTCTATTCCATGTCTAGTAGAGATTCGATCGAAGGGTGAAAAGTATTCAAAAAGTAATTTTGGAACTAGAAAAAGCCGCTCAGGAAAGCTTGAATACTTTCTACTTCCCTACTTTGAATTACTTTCCCTACTTTGAATTACTTTCCCTACTTTGAATTACTTTCCCTACTTTGGATTTACTTTCCCTACTTTGAATTACTTTCCCTACTTTGGATTTACTTTCCCTACTTTGAATTACTTTCCCTACTTTGAATTACTTTCCCTACTTTGGATTTACTTTCCCTACTTTGGATTTACTTTCCCTGCTTTGGATTTACTTTCCCTACTTTGGATTTACTTTCCCTACTTTGGATTTACTTTCCCTACTTTGAATTACTTTCCCTACTTTGGATTTACTTTCCCTACTTTGAATTACTTTCCCTACTTTGAATTACTTTCCCTACTTTGGATTTACTTTCCCTACTTTGAATTACTTTCCCTACTTTGGATTTACTTTCCCTACTTTGGATTTACTTTCCCTGCTTTGGATTTACTTTCCCTACTTTGGATTTACTTTCCCTACTTTGGATTTACTTTCCCTACTTTGGATTTACTTTCCCTACTTTGGATTTACTTTCCCTACTTTGGATTTACTTTCCCTACTTTGAATTACTTTCCCTACTTTGAATTACTTTCCCTACTTTGAATTACTTTCCCTACTTTGGATTTACTTTCCCTACTTTGAATTACTTTCCCTACTTTGAATTACTTTCCCTACTTTGAATTACTTTCCCTACTTTGGATTTACTTTCCCTGCTTTGGATTTACTTTCCCTACTTTGGATTTACTTTCCCTACTTTGGATTTACTTTCCCTACTTTGGATTTACTTTCCCTACTTTGGATTTACTTTCCCTGCTTTGGATTTACTTTCCCTACTTTGGATTTACTTTCCCTACTTTGGATTTACTTTCCCTACTTTGAATTACTTTCCCTACTTTGGATTTACTTTCCCTACTTTGAATTACTTTCCCTACTTTGAATTACTTTCCCTACTTTGAATTACTTTCCCTACTTTGGATTTACTTTCCCTACTTTGAATTACTTTCCCTACTTTGAATTACTTTCCCTACTTTGGATTTACTTTCCCTACTTTGGATTTACTTTCCCTACTTTGGATTTACTTTCCCTACTTTGGATTTACTTTCCCTACTTTGAATTACTTTCCCTACTTTGAATTACTTTCCCTACTTTGAATTACTTTCCCTACTTTGGATTTACTTTCCCTACTTTGAATTACTTTCCCTACTTTGAATCACTTTCCCTACTTTGGATTTACTTTCCCTACTTTGGATTTACTTTCCCTACTTTGAATTACTTTCCCTACTTTGAATTACTTTCCCTACTTTGGATTTACTTTCCCTACTTTGAATTACTTTCCCTACTTTGAATTACTTTCCCTACTTTGAATTACTTTCCCTACTTTGGATTTACTTTCCCTACTTTGAATTACTTTCCCTACTTTGAATTACTTTCCCTACTTTGGATTTACTTTCCCTACTTTGAATTACTTTCCCTACTTTGAATCACTTTCCCTACTTTGGATTTACTTTCCCTACTTTGGATTTACTTTCCCTACTTTGAATTACTTTCCCTACTTTGAATTACTTTCCCTACTTTGAATTACTTTCCCTACTTTGGATTTACTTTCCCTACTTTGAATTACTTTCCCTACTTTGAATTACTTTCCCTACTTTGAATTACTTTCCCTACTTTGGATTTACTTTCCCTACTTTGAATTACTTTCCCTACTTTGAATCACTTTCCCTACTTTGGATTTACTTTCCCTACTTTGGATTTACTTTCCCTACTTTGGATTTACTTTCCCTACTTTGGATTTACTTTCCCTACTTTGGATTTACTTTCCCTACTTTGAATTACTTTCCCTACTTTGGATTTACTTTCCCTACTTTGAATTACTTTCCCTACTTTGAATCACTTTCCCTACTTTGGATTTACTTTCCCTACTTTGAATTACTTTCCCTACTTTGGATTTACTTTCCCTACTTTGAATTACTTTCCCTACTTTGAATCACTTTCCCTACTTTGGATTTACTTTCCCTACTTTGGATTTACTTTCCCTACTTTGGATTTACTTTCCCTGCTTTGGATTTACTTTCCCTACTTTGGATTTACTTTCCCTACTTTGGATTTACTTTCCCTACTTTGAATTACTTTCCCTACTTTGGATTTACTTTCCCTACTTTGAATTACTTTCCCTACTTTGGATTTACTTTCCCTGCTTTGGATTTACTTTCCCTACTTTGGATTTACTTTCCCTACTTTGAATTACTTTCCCTACTTTGGATTTACTTTCCCTACTTTGGATTTACTTTCCCTACTTTGGATTTACTTTCCCTACTTTGGATTTACTTTCCCTACTTTGAATTACTTTCCCTACTTTGGATTTACTTTCCCTACTTTGAATTACTTTCCCTACTTTGAATTACTTTCCCTACTTTGGATTTACTTTCCCTACTTTGAATTACTTTCCCTACTTTGGATTTACTTTCCCTACTTTGAATTACTTTCCCTACTTTGAATTACTTTCCCTACTTTGGATTTACTTTCCCTACTTTGGATTTACTTTCCCTACTTTGGATTTACTTTCCCTACTTTGAATTACTTTCCCTACTTTGAATTACTTTCCCTACTTTGGATTTACTTTCCCTACTTTGGATTTACTTTCCCTACTTTGGATTTACTTTCCCTACTTTGAATTACTTTCCCTACTTTGGATTTACTTTCCCTACTTTGAATTACTTTCCCTACTTTGAATTACTTTCCCTACTTTGGATTTACTTTCCCTACTTTGGATTTACTTTCCCTACTTTGGATTTACTTTCCCTACTTTGAATTACTTTCCCTACTTTGAATTACTTTCCCTACTTTGAATTACTTTCCCTACTTTGAATTACTTTCCCTACTTTGAATTACTTTCCCTACTTTGGATTTACTTTCCCTACTTTGAATTACTTTCCCTACTTTGGATTTACTTTCCCTACTTTGAATTACTTTCCCTACTTTGGATTTACTTTCCCTACTTTGAATTTACTTTTGAGCTTTTTGAATTTACTTTTGAGCTTTTAGAATGCGCTTTTTGCATCTTCTGCAGATTTGCATGAAAAGTTTTGATGAATGTTGCTTTGGCTTCTTTCCAAAACCCGCCGATCACTTTTTTTTGCGGGCCCGATGCGTCGTCCTGCTTCGGTCGGTGCCTTTTTGGGGTGCTAATTTTTTATGAAACACTTTGGTACCTATTTATGGAAATTATCCAACTTACACAGATTTTTTTCCAGGACGAAACGCCCCCGTCGAAGAGGCGCAGGAATAAGAAGCAGCGGAAGAAGAACAGCAAGCCGGTCAGGGTGACAAGGCGGCCAATAGCTGCTTTAATTTTTAATATAAAATGTTGCGAGTTTTTTGCAAAACTCGCCTAAAATAAATAAAAATTATGAAAGTGCTTTTAGACGCTTGGATTCTTTTTAATTTTTGGGAAAATGTTTCAAAAATTGCCAAAAATTCTAAAATTGTGAAGATTTTTTAAGGTACGTTTTGTAGTTTGCCAGCAATAAAACTACTAAAACTAAAATTTATTGGAATTTATCAACAAATGGGATAAAAATCAAGGTTTCACCCCCCGTTAAGTGATAAGCACCAGTTACAATTTTCAGGACCACTCGCCGCAATGCTCGCGCAAATCGAAGACGCGCATGTGGATTCAGGGCGCCTTTAAAAAGGTAAATAGTGGATAAATACACCAAATTTGATGCGTTTGCTCTAGAGAGTTGCTATGAAGCATTAAATTTTAATGGCAAATTTTTTATTGGATTTTCTATGTGAATGACGGTTCTTTCGCATTATCGGTGGGGGAGGGGCTTTTTCCAGGATCGAATTTTTCCACTTTAAATAGCGGAAGTGTTGCTAAAATAATTTTTTTACCATTTTTAGACGTAAAAACATGACCAATCTTTATAACAAAAGTATCAAAATTCGAAGTTTTTTCAAAGTTGATGGATAGTTTTTCTAGTTGAAGCATAGGTATTCTAATAAAAACATTGTGAAAACAGTCGCCATTAAGTTTACAATTACAGAAAAGTTTGGTATCCCCCCCCGCAATGCGAAAGAACCTAATTTTCATAGGCTAATTTTCAGCAACGCCCCAAGAAGAGCGCCGGCGAGAGTGGAAAGACGCTGACGAAATCTGGGTCTGGGTCGGTGTTTTCGAAAAGTTAAATTAATTTTTCAATTGCTTTGATTGATTAAAATTCAGTTCCTGTATTTTTTTTTCGCTTAAATTTACCTTAATGATGTTCTCCAGGGCGAGGGCTGCTACATTTTCGTATACTTTACGGCCTCCTAGCTCAAAGGAGACTCGAGATACAAACAACTATTTTGTTAAATTGTTAGGTTTAATTTAGTTTGCCTCGAATTCCCAAATAACCTCTGCTAGCTTGCCGCAAAATTTTGACGACACAGCTGACAGTTACTCGAGTCGCGAGAGCTTGTTGACTCATCTCTCCCTTTCCACCGTCCCTGTGTGCTCTCCGCATGCCCGCTGCCCTTTCCCCACTCGCCCCCCACCTGGCCCACCCCTCCTGCAGAAATCCCCCACCTCACCCACAAATTTGAAATCATACTTCATAGGATCATTTCTATAGTATGCATTTCACTATACCCACTAAATTGCGACACCTCGCACCCACCGATGATTGGGTCTGAGGCGAGTGGAGAGCGGGAAGAACGGTTGACCCCCTTTCAGGGTGGTACTCCGCTGAGGACCGCGTCCATTTCCGGAAACGGATACGGACAACCACTTGCCTCCCTGAGGGGGAAAGAGGCGAGCAAAAAAGCTAATTTTGGACTTGGCTCAAGGGCCAACAATAGGAACAGAAAAAATCGAAAGCGCCATTTGCATTTCACCATTTTCAGCCGCAAAAAGAAGGGCTCATCGGGCGGCACCGAGAGATCGCAGTACTGTCAGCCCGCCATGCCGGTACGTTTTGAACGTTCGAAATTTGGGTGCTTTCGCATTAACGCGGGGGGGTCGCTTTTGCAAGGTCCAGAAACATCTAGTGACGTACAAGTAAGTATTTTAATCGTGTTGTTAGTAGAATTGAACTATATTTAAAGTGAAACTGTGAAACGACTTTAAAAACGGAAAAATCTTAGTGGCAGTTTTGGTCGAAAATCGTTATTTTGTTTTGATGCAAAGTTTGATCGTAGGAAAAAAGTTGGGTGCCCTCCCCCGATAATGCCAAAAGAACCGAAAATTCCGTACAAAAAGTTTTTAGGGTCCTGGACTCCCGATCGCCCACACGCCCGATGGGGAGAAGAGGCCGGATAGGGCGGAGAGGGATCGAGAGAAGGAGAGAGAACGGGAGAAGGAGAGAGAGCGAGAGAAAGAGAAGGAGAAGGAGCGTGAGCGAGACAAGGAGCGCGAGAAGGAGAAGGACAAAGACAAGGAGCGCGAGAAGGAGAAGGACAAAGACAAAGAGCGCGAGAAGGAGCGCGACAAGGAGCGCGACAAAGAGCTGAAGCGGAAGGAGGGCGACGATGCGATGCCGCGGAGGAGGGCTCGACTGTCGAATGATGCCGAAGAGGTACTGGACTGTTAGCGGGGGGGAGCGATTTTTGTCCATAATCCCGTACGCAGTCGTAACGAAATCCTCATGACGCTTTTGATGCCATTTTAAACAATTTTGAGATACAAAGAAAATATAGCCATTTCGAATTTTTTTGGCCTTTTAAAAAACAACTAGAAAGCTCAATTTTTAGCAGAGGAAAAACCACTTTTCGTTTGTGCACCTATTGATAATATATAATGTTTTTATAGTTCTTTAGCAGTTTTTGATTCCTAGGAAGATGCAAAAATTTCAAATCCTTTTAAACAAAATTTTTAAAAATTAAAAATTTAAATTATTTTAAAAGTTTCTATTTAAATTTGTAGGAACACTAACAGCCAAGTACTGCCATTGCTTGAGAATTCAATATACACAAAATTTTTCGGCGACGCGAAAGCAGCGCGACGTGGAGGAGCGCGAGAAAAAGGAGAAGACCCTCGAGAAGGAGGCTGCCGATCTGCGAAAAAAGATTAGCCAGGTAAGACCAGTTGAATATTACTTGAATTATATTGGAAGTTTTTTTGAGAAAATCTTGTTTTGGTGAACCTTTGTTTTTACTTGGATTTCCTCACTTTAATTTACACCTTTTCGGCGGTTAGACATGCAAGCTTTTAAAGCACTAAAATGTAGTGATTTTTGGCCGAAATTGCCCAATTTTAATATAACAACTTCTGCAGATGTCCCAATGCCGTGCCAAAATTTTTTTGCAGCAAGTTTTATTTTTGAAACTTTTTTTTTGCAGGGAACACACGAGCCGCGGCCCCGACGCGAGGTCAGCGAAGAGTGTCTCGACAAGAAAGGTTCAAGTTAATCCTACTATATATAAAAAAATAGTGTCTGTGTGTTTGTGTGTGTGTGTGTGCCACTTTGCATGCAACTTCCGTCAGGGTGTCCGGAGGATATCTCGATAGGGGATGCATTTTAAAGTATGTATGATACGTCATTAGGTGCGTATTGGCTCTGGGATGACTGCACGCTTCTCAGATTTACCAAAATTGTCTATTTTCGACATTAAATTTAGGTTTTTGTTAAAAAATCGGGGACCCTCTTTGTTAGGAAAAATTAGCATGCGTCGGAAGTGACGGCAGCCTATATAATGGGGTAGAAGGGGCGATTTTCATTTTTTGTCATCGGAAATCGAGAATTATGCAAAGTGAAGTAGATCATGAGATCAGACGGGGCCAGGGTTGAAAAGTCGCGAAGCGGCTTTTCAACCCTGGTCTAATTTAAAATTTAAATTTTTAGTTTAATTAATTTTAATAATTTTCGTTTTAATCAAGGTTAAAAACTGCCATTTTCCCACTTCAGCAATGATCAGGATTTCATTATTGTGTCATCACGACTAATGCTGTGTCTCTATGGAAGGAATTTAGTTTTTTCAGACCTGCCTGCCAGCCCGGTGTCGACTGCGCGCGGCGCCGCGCCGAGGCTCGTTTCAAAACGTGCGTTTTGGCGTGTTTCGACAGCACCATTTTTTATTTTATCGAAAATTTGGATCTGGAAAGTCGTTTTGTCGACATTTACTGGCCAACCTTTTCGAAACTCTCTTTTTTTGGAAATTAACAAATTTATTTTGACGAATTTAATTCAGGCATCCTAATTTTTGACATACGCTCAGAAAATTCCCTCCGAATACCATCACTTTTGTATTTTTTCAGAATTGTCGCAAGAGGCGCTGGTGGAGAATGTGGTGGATCGGCGGAACGGATCGAGAGAAGTGGCCAAAGATGGGGATGATGACAAGGCGATTGGGCGGAGACAGAAAAGTGGGTCATACAGGCGGGAATGGGCAGGCTAGCAGAGTTTTTTGCGGAATTTGAAAAGACCTAGTTTTTTTATTTGGCGGCCTCGAATTTTGGAAAACATGGAGTATAAATTAATACAGCAGCGTTATAAGTGCAGGTTCTGTTCTATTTCGCGGGGGGGGGGGGGGGGGAAAAACTGTGCGGGGGGGAAAATTTTCTTCTTTTTTTGTAACTCTTTTATTTGATGCTATTTTGAGTTGTAATTAAAACTCTTAGTATATTTTTTGACGCTCTATCGAATGGCATTCAAGAAATTTTTAAAAGTTATCGAAAATGTCGAAAACTAACTTTCGACTCCACGATCCCATGTGGAAACACCGAAAAAACCTTGTTTTTGCTATAACTATTTTATAAAACAATATTTTTAGATGAAATTAAAACTCTTAGTATATTTTTTGATGCTCTATCGAATGACAGGCTCAAAATATCGAAAAAATGGCGAAAATGCCGAAAACTAACATTCCGGAACCAGTTTCAATAGTTTTTTTTGTTTTTGCTATACCTTTTTTATATTACAATATTTTTAGCTAAAACAAAAACTCTTAGTATATTTTTTGATGCTCTATCGAATGGCGTTGCAAAAATTCCGAGAAAATAGCGAAAAGATGGAAGATTCCGCGAAGCATATTTCCCCCCCCCCCCCCCGCACAGTTTTTTCCCCCCCCGCGAAATAGAACAGAACCTAAGTGCATTTAAGGTGATAAAAATGTCGTATTTTGATTTCTCCATTCAGAGGAAACGTCAATCGACGACGAGTGTCAGCCGGTGGCCCGAAAGAAGAAGGTCGGATCCCGGAAGAAGCAGCCGCCAAAGGTTGGTTTTAGCTTTTTTGAATTTTTATTGGTTTTTAAATAACCAATTTCAAGCGTGAAAAAGATAATTCCTTAATGTGCGCACAATTTCATCGGTAACAAAATAGCAAAATTTACAAAAACAAACCCTTTTGCAATAATTTTTCCGTGTTTTAAAGACTTCTAAATATTTCAAAATATCGATGGTTAGCACCTCGACTTTTTAAAAGTAATGAAAAACGAAAATTTTGATGGCGATTTCGATGTTTCGAAAAATCTCGATATTCAAGAAATGTATTCAATTCAAATATAGTAATGTATCGTTTTTAGCAACAAGCCTACGAGGACCAGGCGGAACCGATCCAATCCACCGAAGATATTGTCAAGAAATGGGCCCGCCTATCCACCGAACAGCTCACCATGGCACAGCGGGTAGGCAGGCGATCCGTTGAAAATCGGGTTTAATTGAAACTTATATTTACGGTTAAATTTTAGAACTTTAAAGGGGTGAGGAAAAAACCCAAAAAAACTGGGTTCAGAATTTTCTAGCTTTTATCGCATTTTTGCGCGATCAGCACTGCCTCGCATCAGCAATTAAAAAACACGTTTTTTTACTAGTTATTAATCGGAAAAATTAGTTTAAAAAATTGCTGGCGAATGTCCAAAGGCGCTAGACCAGAAATTCAGGTTATTGGGCTAAAAAGCAAAACATTTGCCGCCAGCAGGGGTCGAACCTGCGACCTTGGGCTTATTAGACCCACGCTCTAACCAACTGAGCTATGGCGGCCATGGGGAGAGGAGGGGTGGGGAGAGGTTTGGAGGTTGGGAGCCAGCCAATGGTACCTTTCCGGCACAGCAGCCCGACACGACCGATCTGTGGGAGCGCAAGGTGGACGACATGGAAAAGTGGTAGGCTTTATTCAAATTAGATTGAGAGTCACGTCAATAACTATTTTATTAAAGAGTCTGGTTATTTTAAGTCAAAAATTATGAAATAGATAAAAAACTAAGCTATATTTGAAGTATTTTAGCCTTTATTAAATTTTATAGAATTTTTTTAATACATAAAATCAAACATTTAATAATTAAAATGTAATACATCTTTTTTTGCAGCGAGGACCAGTACGATTTCCGGGCCTGCGCCCGCAACACGGCCATCAGCTACTTTCAAATGGTAGAGTGGTCTTACGCAATTTTAGTATTCACCAGTCTCGAATTTGAATGAAATAAATTTAATTAAAATTAAGCGTGACATTAATTTTATCAGTATGTGTTGCAGATGTGCATGCCAGGATATTCGGATGGCGTACGGCGCCGTATCACCAAGGCCCTCAACGATCAGAACTCGCCGAAAACCGAGCGATCCGACGTCGAGACGGCCAACCTTGCTGATGTCGGTGGAAATCTACACCTGGCAAATAATAAAAAAAATAAAATAAACATAATAAAAGTGCAAAAAATTCTAAAAATCTTTGAAATTTTTGCTTCTCGTGTAGAAATGGCCACTAAAGGTAAAAATGCAATTTTTGAACATTTTTCAGGTATTTTTAAATTTTCTAGCAATTAAAAGCTACCAAAATTAAATCATACATTTAAAAACAGGCAGAAAAATGAAAATTAATTTTTTCGAAGTGACGAATTGAATGTTTTTAATATTGTATGTAATAGCCATGCCATGATTTTAACAATCTTTGGATGCCCCTGAGCAACTTTTGAACTCCTTTTTAATATAATAAATAGTGAGTTTACTTTTCTTAGGTTTTCTGTAAATAATTTAAACGGAATCACACTTGTAATTTTTATTTTAACAACATTTTTTAAATTTAATTCTTAACTTAAAGCTGATGTAATTTTTTAAATTGAATTTCTCCGACTTTCAGGAGGATTCCGACGAGCAGCGCGGCCTGAAATTCCAGCGCACCGTCACGCGTATCACCTTTAAGTGGGATTTACAGCTCGTAATTTGTGCGAATTTCTGAAACATAATTTGAAAAAAGTTAGAATACTTTTTTGCAGCGTGACGAAGCCGTCGGAGCAGAAGACGGACACGTTCAGCTACGATGAGCAGCCGATGACCAAGGCTTCGGTACTGGGCCTTTTTTGTGGATTCTTTCCCTTTCGGGCCCCCTTATTTTTTAACGACGTAATCATATAAATTTAATATAGTAAAATCTATATAAAATCTCCGTCTCGCAAAAATGTTTCAAAAATTTACCTATTAATGTCGCCTATCAATTAACTAATTAATGCTTTTTCTCGTTTTTAGTTACATTATTTTTCGAACATTTTTTAACGAATAATTTTTGATAATTTTTGTTTTTGCTAATTTAAATTTACCTTTTAGATTTTTAATCCTACTATATATCAACTATAATAATTTTGCTGTGGTCTCTGTCCGTCCGTCCGTCCGTCTGAAGCCGAATTCAACTCGAAGGGGAAAGGAGCTAGAGCTTAGCTCTCTTCGGATTCGGATAGAGCGTGGTCAGAAACCCCCAAACTGATAAAAAAATTATGAAAAAGTTTTAGTTTAAATTATTAAATTTAACTTTGAAAGTGGCGCCTTAATAAAACGAGTGGGGGCCCCTCTCCCGGGAGGCCACGCCCCCTTTCCCTTCCCCCCCTCTTCCCCAGGCCCCTTCGCGCGCCCAGATCACTTTCTTAAGTTACTTTAATACTTTTAATACTTTTTATTTATGTTAATTAATTATTTAAATCATCTAAAGCCATCGGGATAGTATTTAGGTAGTTTTTGAAGGGGGTTTCAGCCATGGGGGTATCTGAAGCCATCAGGAAGGTATTTAGGTAGTTTTTGAAGGGGATTTCGGCTGCGGGGGGTACTGATGGAGGTGGGAAAGGATGTGGTGGAGTGGGACATGTAGGGTAGCCCGAAGGCCAGATGGTTGCAGTCGCGAAGCGACTGTAACCATCTGGTAAAAAAATAGTGTCTGTGTGTGTGTGTGTGCCACTTTGCATGCAACTTCCGTCAGCGTGTTCCAGTCGTATCTCAAGAAGGAGAGTAGTTAGGGGCATGTTTGATACGTCATTAGGAGCGTAATGGTCTGGAGATGACTGCACGCTAATAAAATTTTGAAAAATTATAAGTTTTCGACGTTAAAATTAAGTTTTTGTTGAAAAATCGGCCAGCCTATTTGTTAGGAAACAATTAGCATACGCCGGAAGTTGCGATAGCCTATATAAGGGAAGAGAAGTAGCGTTTCTCATTTTTGTGATCGAAAATCGGGAGAATTATGCAATGTGAAGAATATCATGGGATCAGACGGGGCCAGGGTTGAAAAGTCGCGAAGCGGCTTTTCAACCCTGGTTTTATTTTAGATTTGCTAATTTAAATTAAACTATCTCAAATTTTTGAAAAAGTAGTACTGTCCAATTTAACTCGGCCTTTAAATTTTAGAGTCATAGATTTTAACTTTTAAGGAAAAAATGTTTGAAAAAATTACCTACAGAATTTTGGTCATTAAATCATAATGTATCGTTTTCTTTATCGTTCGGTTTTCGTTATATCATAATTAAATATATTTTTTGCAGCGCGACAGCGGCACCGAGAAGAAGCGCTCGGCCCGATCGCCCGGTCGCAATTAAGCCACGCCCCCTTTTTGGACACACTTATTACATTACGCCATGTATATTTACGAAATGTTAAGACGAAATCTCGGATTCCCATTCCATTTGCAGTGACGATAAAAATCTCCCTCTCGCCTTCTTTTAATTCGAGCGTGTGATGATTTGTGTGAATTTTCTGGCGAATAAATTGATTTTTTTATGCGATCATTAAACGACCAAGATTTTACACAAGATCTCTGCCAGCTGGCCCCTAATCCGACGAGGGAAAGGGTTTGAAATTGACCGGAATTATCTACAATAATTAATCCGCACCGTTTGACTTCGTAAGCGAAATGTTATGAAACATTTTTGCGAAATTCCGAGCCTCTTTTTGATGCTTTGCTACCATAAGGCCCAAATTCATAAAATGGCGAATAAATTCATGTTTTTATACAATCAATGAATGGTCAGGATTTTGCAAAAGATCTCTTCTAGATTGCCCCTACTTCGAAAACGAAAAGGATTTTAATATGACTGGAATCATATACAATTAATGCGCGACGTTTGACCAGCTAAGGGAAATGTGATGAAACATTTTTTTTCGAAATACCCAAAATTGATATTTTTTTAGACCAAGTAGCCAGATAAAGTTTACAAGCGTAGTCAAATTTACACTTCAACTTTACGCCCGTGTTTTTGCTGTCTTTAAAGGGCCACCGAAGTCTGGTCCATGCCCCCGAGCGTTGAGTTCTGGCAAATGGCAGGTGGCCCGATACAGCCGCAACGCGACCGCGCCGCATATGCTTCTGCCGCTACTTGGACGTGAAAACGCGTGAATTTGAAAATTCTGAAACCATTTCTGGCCTCCTGAGGCAATTTTAATCATTTTAGCTTTATAATTTTTCAAAATCGATCTACCTTTTAACTTTTGAGAATTAGGCTCGATCCCCACCCAGGCGAATTTTTACTGCCTAGCAACCTTTAATATATGGGCTAAGAATTGTGACCGTAGACCAAAGTTAGCTTTGTCACACGATGATCATCTAACTGAATAAAGCAACCCAATTTTCTTTAAGTAAATGGCATGAAACATGATTTTCTAATCGGCCCAACTCGACATCCAGCCAATTTTTGACCCCATTATGCAATCGACAAGCAACACTGGATTAACCCACGCCGCTTCAGGTGTTAAGGGAAATGTTATGAAACATTTTTTCGAAATTTGGATGTCGAATTGCGTGAATTTCAAAATCTTAGATTCATGAGTCGATTTTCGGCATTTTAGCTTTTTCAATCTTCAGAATAGACCAGGGAATCGCGAAGATCGAGGAGTTCAGCGCCTTACAGGGCATTATGGCATGTAATCGTCATTGGGTTGGCTAATAATAATTTTTTAAACAAAAATAATGTTTATGATTTAACAAAAATTAGTTTTGCACTCAAAATATTTCAGTGTTTCTCGAATTCCCTAGCACTTCCTGGCATTGACGGTTTCAATTTTTGCGTCAAGGTAAGTAAGTGTTTGTGCGGAGTTCGATCCCCGCCCGGCCGGATTTTGACTTCCTAGTCCCTTTAATAAATTTGCCAAGAATTACCGCGTAGGTCAAAGCCACTCTCGTCCAGAACCTCGTCTTACTAAATTACGAAGTTCAATTTTCTAAGATGACTTGCATGGAACATTGTTTTCTTAACCAGCCGAATGCTGCCATTTTCGCTGCATTTACATCGACCTGCCGGGCCAGATCTCGCGTGTAAAAGCGTTTAAAGTTACGGACAAAGCAAGACTATCCATTTCTTGGCCATGGAACTTCAATCGTTTGCTTATCCTTTTTAAACAATAACGAGGAGGTCAGGCTCGATTCCATCCAGTTTGCTGCTGAAAGAAATGGAGAATCTTGGCAAGTACCTAATTAATGCCGTTCCGATCGACTTCATATTTTTTGTTAATACCGAATTAATTTTTTCCTTCGGTTTTTCCCGATTACGGCGCGTTACTAGCTACGCTGCCCTTAAAATGGTGAGGAAGTGTTGTAAATTTGAGATACTGCTTGAAGCTCGGATTTCATGATCCATTTATTTTGGCTCTTCAGCCAAGTCGAAAATTAGCTTTTTTGCTCGCCTCTTTCCCCCTCAGGGAGGCAAGTGGTTGTCCGTATCCGTTTCCGGAAATGGACGCGGTCCTCAGCGGAGTACCACCCTGAAAGGGGGTAAACCGTTCTTCCCGCTCTCCACTCGCCTCAGACCCAATCATCGGTGGGTGCGAGGTGTCGCAATTTAGTGGGGAATAGTGAAATGCATACTATAGAAATGATCCTATGAAGTATGATTTCAAATGTGTCGGTGGGGTGGAGGGATTTGTGCAGGAAGGGTGGGCCAGGTGGGGGGCGGGTCTGGAAAGAGAAGGCGAGAGTTTGCGGTCTGGAAAACCCCTCTTTCTCGTCCTAGAAGTATCCGATCGGAATGATTTTCATATCACAAAACTTAATTAACGGCGAATTTATTGTAATATTTTTGGTTTAATTTAAAAACGGCGTTTTAGAAGACATTTCGTCAATTAGTTTCCGGGATTCTCAGCTCATTATTAAACCCTTTCGTTGTCAGTGTTCTTTAAAATCGATGAAGCCTGGTTTTTTCAAAACCAATTTTATACGAATTTCGAAGGCAATAATTACAGCCCTTTAGGCCCGAGTACGATAATCAGCTCTAAAAATAACTTTTTGAAAAATGTGAAAGAAGTGAAAATCCATTCGGAGAGCTATTATGAACGCACTGGAATAATTTTTTTCGAACATAGGCGAAACATGCTTGTTTAACGAATATTTTTGACAGCGGATTTCATGAAAATCAAATTATTTAGGTTTAGGAGTACGATAATACGCTAGAATTAAAAAAATGAATGCTTTGATTGTGTGAACAATTTTTGATTACTTTAATTTCCGGGAATTTCCGAAACGATGTTTGCTAGCCTACCCCAACAGAACTTACGTAATCTGTAATCAGTAATCTGGCCAGTATTAATGACTTAAATGAGGTTATAATTTTTAGGCAAAGAGTTAGATTTTTAATCGCTTAAATACTAATAAAATCTTTAGTTTTGACTAAAGAGTTTATTTTGAAGCAAAAGACGTTTCAATATCCTGGTTTTCAAGATCCTTTCCTCCAGAAGGGAAGAAACATCAAATTTCCAGAATATAATTTTTGTCGAAGATTTTATAAAAATCAAAAAATTAGTTCTAATTTACATTATCATACCCATGGCCTATTAAAGTATCATTTTGTATTTATTTTACTGTTTTTTTAAATATTTTTATCCAGAGGTTAGAGTTTTTTGAATGGCAATGAGTACGCGGGGCTACAAATTACACCCCGGTCGCGCCGACTAGAGGAATTGATTACGGCAGTAAATGCAAGCGAAAGGGCCGCCATTTCAGATCGTCACTTTTCATAGAGCGTTTTATTTCTGTCCTCCATAATTCGTAATTTAACTTAATTGAGCAATGATATTGCTGAGGTTCTTTTTTTAACTAAATAGTTCATGAAAAACAGGTTATCAGCCGCAAAACCAAAGCAGCAGTCATCTTCCCATGTGAACCCTGTCTTTGCAAGTTTCGGGAAAATACCTTTGTAATATCTAGGTGGCAAACGAGCGGGTATCACTTGGGAATTATTACCAACGAGGTAGAAGTAAATTTAATTAACTTACAAAATTTGAGCCAGGGCGCCAAGTTTAAGCTTTTTCGGGGCGAATTGATGTTTCGTAAAAAGATAAATTTGGGAGAGGATTATTACGGTTAATACGAAGGGGCGGGAAAATGGCAAAATGTGAATATGGACCGCTTTCAAATCGTGATGAAATTAAATGTTTCAAGAAAAATGTGATTGCCGGCTCGGGATTGAAGCGTTATTCTGTGTTTGGTTGGCGGATTTTGGTATTTTTTCATCGTAATTTGTATTTAAAAATTTAGTATAAAATTTCATGGTCCATACGATTTTATTCTTTATTAATAAAAAGAATTCAATTTGTTCAATGTCATTCCTGTGGACTTTTCGTTAAAAGGTTTGGTGTTATATCAGGTTGGATAATAAGTTCTGTCAAAATTTTTTGGAACCGCTTGTTAAAGCTGCAGACGTGCCCAAATTAATAGTCTGATATATGGTTTTATAGGTCTCCTTGGAGCTCTACCTTGGATAGACTCTCCTAGCACCCAAAAATTGAGAGTCGCCGAGATAGAGCTTCGAGAAGTTTTCCGCAAAAACGTACCAAATCTATTTTGCAAGCTATCTCTGCATAGAGCAATTTGCATGCGATACCTTTAACACCAATCGATAGCTTTCGAGGAGTAGATATCGATAGATGTTGAAATCATCAAAATTGGACATCGGATGGCCGAGATACGACCCCTTGAAATTTGGCCCATTTCTTAGAACTTTTCCCAAAATCCCATACATTCGGTCAAAATGCGCTCGGTTCTTTTGAAAATCAAGCGGTCAGTTTTGGCTGCGGGCTATCAGATGTATGGGGTTTCGGGAAAAGTTCTAAGAAATGGGCCAAATTTCAAGGGGTCGTATCTCGGCCATCCGATGTCCAATTTTGATGATTTCAACATCTATCGATATCTACTCCTCGAGAGCTATCGATTGGCGTTAAAGGTATCGCATGCAAATGGCTCTATGCAAAGATAACTTGCAAAAACACTTTCGCGTAATTTTTGCAAAAGCTTCTTGGGCCTGTATCTCGACGTCCCTCAATTTTTGCGTCAACTGAGGGTCCTCCCAAAATAGAGTGTTGTGAGACCTATCAATCCATACCTCATACTCCAGAATTGGAAACATCTGCGATTTTAACGAGCGATTTCAAAAAAATTGTGACAGAACTTATTATCCAACCTGATACAAATTCCTGGCTTTATTACGAGCCCCAAACAGTGCGGGAACTGACCCCAAAATTGCCCAGGGGGACCACCGCCTGGGCACAAGTGACTAGGGTTAAGACCACCGCCGCGGAGAGGCGGCTAATTTTTTGCTACTTTTTTGGAGCAGGATTAGGAATTAGGAAGGACAGGAACAGGAACCAAGGATTTGGAACAAGACGTAGAGGGGGGAAGACGGCGACTGCTGTAGCTCCTTTACCCTTCCTGGCCCCTTTAAAAATAGTGACAGCGAACCGATCTCGTCCAAATTTTTCTCAGAGATACTTCTAAGTATGTAGTTTCCAAATCTCAATTGCAAAAATAATTTACGTCGCAAACAAAATTTTTTCGAGACCACCGCCGCACTGACGGGACATTTTTTCATATAAAATACCCTTCCCGGTCCCTTTAAAAATAGTGAACGTGAGCCGATCTTGTCCAAATTTTTTTCAAAGGTACTTCCAAGTATGTAGTTTTTGATTATCGGTTGCAAAAATAATTTACGTCGCAAACAAAAATTTCTCGAGACCACCGCCGTCACGCCAAGCCGTTTTCTATTGAAATTTCAGCGGATACCCTTCAAAAATCTCAAAACTCCACCGATCGGGCTGAAAAGTAGTCCAGATATGCTTCGTCGTATGTAGTTTCCGAGTTTGGACAATAAAAGTCATTTACTTAGAAAACAAAAATTTCTCGGGACCACCGCCGTTTTGGGGGGTGCTGGGCAGCGCGGCGATTCGGATTTTTCGACGGCTCCGCAAGCATACCAAATGACGTCCAATGGTCTTGAAACTTTGCAATCCGCTGCCCCCAGGGCTTTACTTCCGTGTGTAGAAAAAGCAGAATTTTACCTTCTAAACCCGCAAAATCCTGAGACCACCGCCGGTCAAAAGTGCTGGGCAGTAAGTATTGTGCAAACTCGGAAAAGCGCGTTTTTGACGGGAAAATACTTCGGCTCTGTTTCTGTTCTGCTAGTCGTTAGGTAGCCCTTTACAAGCGCTTTCGAATGGCAGGTCAACTTTTTTCTTTTCTGCGCTTCTGTGGAAATCCTGAGACCACCGCCACCCTGGGCAGTAAAAATACGCTTCCTGAAATCGATGGCGGTGGTCTCGCGAAATTTTTATTTGCGGCGTAAATTATTTTTGCAACTGGTATTCAATAACTAAATACTTGGAAGTACCTTTGAAAAAAATTTGGACAAGATCGGCTCACGTTCACTATTTTTAAAGGGACCGGGAAGGGTATTTTATATGAAAAAATGTCCCGTCAGTGCGGCGGTGGTCTCCAAAAAATTTTGTTTGCGACGTAAATTATTTTTGCAATTAAGATTTGGAAACTACATACTTAGAAGTATCTCTGAGAAAAATTTGGACGAGATCGGTTCGCTGTCACTAATTTTAAAGGGGCCAGGAAGGGTAAAGGAGCTACAGCAGTCGCCGTCTTCCCCCCTCCACGTCTTGTTCCAAATCCTTGTTCCCGGCAAAAGCTCAAATTTATCCTTCTTTGCAAAGCTTTCCTCCATCAAAACATATATAAAAATAAGTCAAGGAAAAAAGTGTCAAAAATTTCCTTTGCGAAAATGCCGATTTCTTACCTAGTCAACGATTTTTTAGCTCCCGCCTGCCACTTAACAAAAATAAGATAGAAACAATCGTAGAAAAAAAACGCGTTTCACTAGCCCTTAGACCACCGCCGAGGCCTATTTTGGACCACCGCCAGGGCCGGATTGCCCAACCCCTTCGAGCACTGGCCCCAAACCTTTCCTGTCTTTGCAAGTTTCTGAAAACACTTTTGTAATATCTAGGTGGCAAACGAGCGGGTATCACTTGGGAATGATTATTAACGGAGTAGAACCATCAATTTTATTAATTTACGCAATTTGAGGTTGACGCCAAGTTTCAGCTTTTTTGTGCAGATCGATGTTTCGTAAACAGGCCAATTTGGGCGAGAATTTTTTCGATTAATTCCGCGTTCGCAAGTTTCTACGCGCCGAAAAATATATTTTTTCAATACATACAAAAATAAGAGCAACGTATAGCTTTTATTTTTATTAATTTTACAGCATTTTTGGATTTTTGGCAAGATTGAAAATCATTTAATACGGTTCGAAAATATATGGATGTACGATGTATTTTCGAAAAATACAGGTATTTAAATCTTGACAAAAGAAATGTTTCACAAAAAATGTGATTGCCGGCTCGGAATTGGGGGGTTAATCGGTCGCTCTCTTTTGGCGGATCTTTTCATTAAATGAAAGTTCTGGTAATTTAAAATCGCCTATTTCTAATTCTAGACTTTTAATCTAGCCTTATTAAAACGGAATTTTAACGGATTAAGACTTATATTCCGTTATTGTTGTCTTTTTCGTTATTAAATTTTTTCATATACAATCCTAATCGTCACTTTTCTAGTCCGCGTTGCTGTATTAAATCGGAGTTATACCAATTTAATGAATACTTTTAGAGAAATAGTAAAATGCAGGGGAGAGAGCTGGAATCACTTGGGTTTCCGGGTCCATCCCATGTCCGCCAGGCCCTTCAAAAGGCCAAAAAGCCGGCCACCCTCATCGCGGCGGTCAAGAAATTTCGCGCCGAAAATGGGCTGAGGGTTCGTTATGAATTTGATATTAAATTAAAAGGATAGGATAGGAGAATAAGGATAGTAAAAAAATTAACGTTTCATCTTAAGTAAAAATTCCGCAAACTTAACCTCAATAAAGGGCCGAGGTCAATAAATTAAATTAACTAGGTAAAATAGATTAAACATTAATTATAAAGCTTTAGACCAAATTAAAAAAAATATATATTTTAACCGGCATGCCATACCTACTAACATTAAGGCAACTTTCGAACAACAAAAGTATGAATTTTTTGCAAAAATGTTTTTCCCCTCTGGATTTCGATGAACGCAATTTTTATTTTGCATTGGTCGAAATCGAAATTAGCAAATATTATTGAAGATCTCTTTTTAACATTGAAATTCTAAAATCTGTCGAATTTATATATTTTATTAGAATTAAATGAAATTGAACGGCAAAACCACTTTACAGAAATTACGGAAAACCAAAGCCTTGAAACTATTAATTTTTGTGAAACATTTTTTTTTGACCGCCGTATTTTGCCAAAAAGAAGCTATTCGCCAAATAATTTAACGCGATTTAAAGAAATATTACATTTTTACAAAACGGCACAGCAAATTGTGATTTGTTCCACTCGGGGCGGTAATGGATTTGTCTGAAATATATTTTTTGCAGAAGTGAACATTTTGCACTGCTAATTTCAAACCAAAGTCATCATAAATAATTATAAAGAATTTCCGAATTTCGCCCACCTGAAATTTGGATTTCCTTTGCCCTTTTAAAAAAGCTTCTACACGGGACTAAAGATCTGTGATTAAGATGAAATTAAGCGGCCTGCCCACCCAATTTTTGAAACTTACGATTTAAAAATTTTTTTTGGCAAAAATTGCAGCACCTTCTACATTCGAAATACAAGAAATATATAAGATCTAGAAAATAGAGAAACGGTTCAAATTGGTAAACGCCGCAATTTTTAGATGCCCTCCCTCTACCCAGCGCTCAAGCTGCTCGATTTGCATAACGTGCGCCGCGTGGATTTTCATGATGCCGTAGGTTTATACAGGAAAATATATTAAATAATATATTTTATACATTTCTACGGCTTTAAAGATCATATAAAAACATGGTTTATATTGAATTTTAAGATTAAAAAAATTTGATACTTTTTAGGTGGCCAATGACTTGGGCGAAAAATTGGTCGGGCGGCTGAGGGAGTTGGGAAAGAGCAAGGATCCTGAGGTAAAATAACCAAAAAAAGCATTCAAAAGTAGCTGTTTGATTTATCAGTTTTGATATTTATTATTTACTATTACATGTTTTAAGAATATCCAAAAATTAGTTAACCTGCAGAGAAGAAAACAAGGTTTCACAAATTCACCTTAATGCTTAATTCCCAGCACGATCAATGTTCCTTTTACCCATAATTCATTTTTTAGCCCAGGCACCAAAATCACGGTTTTTGCAAATTCTTTTGACTTATGAATGAATAGAGGCGCTCCCAATCGAAGAATATCCAAAAATTAGTGAAATTCGCGAAAAGGAAAAATGTTTCCTGAATTCACCCTTAGAATTAATTCTCAGCGTTATCAGTTTGCTGAAGAACATTACCACTAGACAGTACAATTTTAACCGGTGGACAAAAAAACCTATTCTGTAGGGTGACTACAAAAAAAAACCCCGTTAGAAATCAATAAAAAGAGACGATCCCAATTTTAACTTGAAAAATATTTTAAAATATTAATCAATGTTGAAAAAAGTATATTTCATCAAATCACCATCATAATCAATTATCAAGATTGTTAATGCAGCTTTGGCACCAAGCTGTCTTTTTTTGGACCTTTTCTCCGCGTGCCCCTTAAAAATTCCGAGTGATTTCTTATCGAATAGAAATTTGTTTTAAGTTTCTCTAATTTTTTATTTATTAGCAATTCAGAAAAAATATGTTTCATGAATTTGCCCTTACCAGTAATGCTGGAAAATTGCAATTTCGCTTCTGAAAGTACCATAAAAAATGGATTACGCTCAAATTGTTGAATTTTTGAACCGGAGGAAGCATGGTATTTTTAGACGGGCTGGTAATTTCGAAATTCATAATGTCGAAATTTACATATATCAAGCGACGGAAAAACTCTCAAATCCTATGCAAAAAAACTATTCGGCATATTGGAATTTCGACATTATGAATTTCGGCATTATGATGGCAAATCTTAAAAATAAGATGTTTCCGCACATTTAAAAAATTCCAGGGATAATTAAAACTGATTGAACCGATTGTTATGCCACTGCAAACGCCACCATAACACCCAAAAATTTTTTGTGCTACAAAAAAGTTGTTTCATAAATCCACCTTTAGCAAAAATTCTTAAGATCGTTAATGCGAAGCGATTCCGTTCGAAAACAGCCAAAATTATTATATCTCTTTCCTAGGCGCAAAAGAAGCTGGAGACGCAGCTGGAGAACAGTTTCAAGCTGTATCGTGTCCCCCAAGTGAGGCCGATCGTGTTGGAGACGTTGAAGCAGATGCAACGCGTCCCGGACAGGTTCGCGGATTTTTTATTGCTTTCAATGAAACATAGATAAGATATAAATAAATTACAAATTAATTTAACCAGAACCATCTTCTGGTAACTTTACACAAAGCGTTTTTTTTGGTCTGAATGCGTCGAAAATTTGTAGAAATAATAATATGCGCGTGATCCCCACTATCTAATACATAAGTGGTCCAACTAACAGACTGAAATTCCATCAGGGCTTCGAGTTATGGCCCGGACACCACGGCTCTTGGCCCATTTTGTTAAGGATTTTCACCATTTTGTTTGTAAAATCGCTAAATAAAGTGATTTCGGAAAACAAAAAAATGCTTGTCTGGCAAATGTGTTTCTCCACCTCCATGCCAAAAATCAGCCGGAAATTCGGTCTCACGACCGAGAAATCGGCTGTACAGAAAACAGACATACTTTTCTCGCTTATAGGATAGGATAAAGTAATTGCAAGTATCAAAAAATTTAAGATTCCTTAAATTATAAAGCTAAATTAAAACAATTGCGCGCTGAAAATAGTATGTGTTAACAATGTAAAGTATGGAAACATTTTTGCCCGGGACGATGGTAATCGCCTACATACACAGCTAATTTCTACGTCCCCCCCTGGAAATGCAAAAGTTCCGACAAAATCTAAATCGTTCAAAGCAGAAGCAAAAATGTGTTTCAACAAAACAATTAGTCACTAAAATCAAAAATATCTTAAATTAGCGCAACTCAGGACAATTAACAAATTCGTGGGCTCTTTGGAATTATCGGGGGGGGGGGACCGTATTTTTGCCTAGTAACTTACTAGGAAGTATGTTTCCTAGGTTTTTGGTAAAATGTAACTACATTTAAAGCAAAAAAACTACCTAAATGATTTAGAAAAATGTTTTTGATCGAAATTTTGGCCAAAAATCCGCGATTTTTGTTCGACAAATCGATATTTATTTGCTTTATAAAAATTTAGAAAGTTTTATGGCTAGAAATCGCAAAAAATAGTGTAGAAAGACCTCCTTAATGTTTATTGGAAAACTTCGATAAAGGACCCCACCCCCCGATAATGCCAAAGAACCAAACAAATTATTTGAATGTCTCTTGGAATTAAATGTTTTAAGCTAAATCTTATCAAAATTGGGCTTCAGGGATTGAATTCCGGTTCATAAGAAAAGGATTTCCTCAAAAAATCTCTGCAAGCCACCCTTTTCGAAGAGACCGAATTTTCGCAGTGTTCACTGCTAGCCTGCCCATTTTCAGGTACCTGAAAATCATCGTTTGTGATGAGGAGCTGTATGGAGAGTGCGCGGTCACGGTTAGACAGCAGATATGGCTCAAAAACGGGGATTTATTCACGCAAACCGTTGCCCCTGTTCTCGCACAGTACATTGTGGCCAAACGGAATGTGGGTTTTTTTTGATAATTTATTTATCTCTCCCTCTCGCTTTGCGTGTCTCTCTCATTCTCGTTTTCTCTCTCTCCCTCTCTCTCTCTCTCTCTCTCTCTCTCTCTCTCTTTCTCTCTCGCTCTCTCACTCTCTCTGCGTCTCTCTGTCGCGCTCTCTCGCGCTCTCTCGCTCTCTCTCGCTCTCTCACTCTCGCTATCTCTCTGTCTCTCTCCATTTCTCGCGCTCTATCACTCTCTCACACTCAGTCTCTCTGGCTCTCTCTATTTCTCGCTCTCTCGCTGTCTCTCGCTCTCTCTCGCGGTCTCTCTCCCTCCCTCCCCTCTCTCTCCCTATCCCTCTCTCTTTTTCTCTCTCACTCACGCTGTCTATCTCTCTGTCTCTCTCCCACTCTCTCTCTCTCTCACTCGATCTATCACTCTCCCGCTCGCTCTCTCGCGCTCTCTCTCCTCTCTCTTCCCCTGATCTCTCTATCGTCTATTCATAGGGCCGTATCTCCTTGTATTACATCTTAACTTTTCCCGGCATCCATCACCTTTTTTGAAACATTGATCTCGTACCAATAATTAGTTTTAATAGATGTTTAAATGAACTAATTAATCCCATTGAGCAATTACTTGCAGTTGGAATGCAACATTGACCCGTCGACCACCAACTTTTTCAACGCGGAAACGACAAAGACGAGGCGGCAACAGCCCCAGGTCCAAGGTGGGTCTGACTGATTGGGCTTTAAACGATGAATTTAAGTGTAAAGTTTTAGAGGTATGAATTTTGAATTTATTGCCTATGAAATGCCGCGCGCGACACGCAGCGCAAGATCCTGTAAAAAAGCAAATAAACCTAACAAAAAAAGGTGTTTCATTACACAACCTTGGCAAAATCGAAACGTGTTTTAATCTGATGCTTTGCTTGTCCAAAATCGTAATCGCAGTTCCCAGTAATCTCGTACGGCTCTCCAAAGACCAATAAAGCAGTTTTATAATTGTTTACACTTTTTTTAATATATAAAGCTCTACAAAAATCCAGAAAAATTAAAATTCGGAATTTTTAGTGACAATTTAGCAAAAATTACCAGAAAAAGGCTAGAATTTTTGAATTTACAAAATTTCTAAATAATTTTTTTGCAAGTTTTTAGCACTTAAAAACGACTAAAAACGATACAAATACGTGATATATTATTAATAGGTGCTAAATAGGGGTAAAATAAGATTTACGCTAAACTCACTCCCCCCCCCCCGATAACAGGCCAGATCCAGGAAAAAACACGCTGTAATTTCGTCTGCGTAAAGCGGCCCATTAGTTAACAAATTCGAGCTCTGGTTTTGATCAAAAGTGAAACCTATTTCTCGTGGCAATTTTACGAGCGAATAAGAACATGTTTCAGCAAATTGTGATTATAAAATCGAGAGTTTAACAATTAATGTGTCGCCGTTTAAAATTTAAAACCAACTCAGAATTGACGCAAATGATCGGGGAGCACGAGCAGCTGTACGAGAAGGTGATGGACATCATCAAGGCGAGGTCGGTTTTCAGGGGGGGCCGGCTAGCAGAGAGCATTTGTGGAATTCTAGTTTTAGCCAAAAACGGCTGGACTAAAAAAAATCTGCCGTAGGCATGCTAGCAGAGATTGTTGGGGAAGTCATACCCGGCAAAAAATAGCTGCATAATTTTCAAGGCAAGCTAGCAGAGACAGTTTTTTGAAGCTTGTAGATATTAGTTGACGAAGCCTTGCGGAATCCTGGTATCTAGCAGAGATCATTAGGGAATTGAACGAAAACTCTATAAATTAAAAGTCCAAAAAAATCTCAAAAACCAAAAATCTAAAAATCTATTCTAAAAAATCTAAAAATTTTTGAATCGAAAAAGTTTTAAACATCTAATCGATTTTACAAACTTAAAAAATCTAAAAATGTTTCGAAAATTATGAAATACTTTGATTTGCAAAGCAAGCTAGCAGAGGCAATTTGCTGAAAGCTATTAGCCAACAGAGACCATTTAGGAATTGAAAATCCACTAGGGCAAACGAGCAGGGACTTTTTAGGAATCAAAGTGCAATTAAGAGAGCTGTTTCAGTCCAAGGGAAAACCTAAATATATATCTAAAAATATAAAAATATAAAAAATAAAAATTTTTAACATACAATTGTTATAAAAATATAAATACATTTAAAAATCATGGAAAAATGCTAAGGTATTGTAATTTTCACGGCAAGCTAGCAGAGACAATTTTGGAAAGCTATTGGCTAGCAAAAACCATTTAAGAATTAAAAATTTACCCGGCAAACGTGCAGGGATCATTTAGGATAAAACTATCGTTGAAAATTATCGTTTTAATTGCTGGGGCAAGCGAGCAGAGGCCATTTGGGGAAAATTTCCTGAATTTAAAAATATGTTTCTAGATACGCGGAAACCGGCAACGCCCATTTCTGCTCTCTGAAAATGGAGCTGCTGATGGCGGCCCACGACGCGAACATCGAGACGTCAACCCGGATCGGTACGGAATTTATCAAATATAATCCTAATTAATTATTTCATGAATTAAACCGCTGATTCGGTTGATTTTTTAAAAGGGGGAATTTTTCAGATTTAATTTCACTTCTATGAATCGCATCGATGAATTCGCCTAGTAAAATAGTACTCAACCAGTTTACACACCGAAACATGTTTCTTTCGCGCTGAAAATCGGGAAAAAATCTCGAAGTTATCAAGGTTTACTTATAATTAAACGTGAATAATTACCACTTTAAAATCCCTTAACAAGGAATGTTTTTTGAGCGAGCATTTTAAGGTAGGAGCCAGAAATAATTTGGTATGTCGCAAAAATTCCTAAAATTTTAACTTTTAAAACATATTGAATTTCAAGCTTCTGGCGAAGGAAATTTAACTATAAAGGACTGGAAAGAATTAATCAATCAATCATTCAATTAAACTATTAAACTTCAAAATAAATTACTATATGATAAGCTACAAATGACTAAGAGGACCACTAGAATGGGTCCGAAAACATTTGTGGACCTAGTTTCATCAGCGAAACATGTTTTTGCTACTCCAAAACTCGAACGTTTCTAGCGTTTTTCATAAACAACTATTTTTAAAATAAATTAGTCTTTGTAAATCTTTGTAAATGTCAATTTGAAAAATTCTTTCAAATTTGACTCAATTTAACGCTATATAGCAGCCGGGACCGATTGTAACCTAAAAAAATTCTTGACTTAGGCTCATTATCGAAACATATTTTTTGCCTGCAAATCTCTCAAAAAAAATTGATGATCTAACTTCGAGGAATTCTATGTTTTCTTTGCAAAATTTTTTTAAACATGTTTTATTTGTAGACCCGGGCTACGAGCTGGCGAAATGCCTGGACGCTTGTGTACGCGAACGGCATATGGACAACAATTTGGCCACCCGTTTGAGAAGTGCGCTCGAGAAGAAATTGGAGCCTGAGGTTCGTTTTTTCGGTATAATATTTCTTATTTGTTATGTTTATTAGCCGGATATTTTATATTTATTATTATTTTATTTATGCTCTAGACATTGCTATGAAACATATTTTCCACTTGCAGAAATATCAGGCGTCTAATATAAGCTATTAATATAATAAATATACGCCGCCTAGTCTTCAATAATATCTTATATAGCTATTAGTATAAGCGATATAGGCCTAGTCTGATATTTATATCTTTTTTTCAAAAGGTTCGTCGTTGTCTTGATGATAATCCGCCCTAAATTATTTTGGATCTAGGTATTTCTTCGAAACATATTTTTCTCTTCCAGGAATTGGCCGATGTGGCGATGGTGGCCTGGGACACGCATGTCGTCCATTTTCTGTGCTCCATCATTGTAAAGGTATAGTTTCGCAAAATTCAGGCTTTGAAACAAATTTTAAATGAAAATAAGATAATAATCTGGATCATTGATGAAAACGGCATGTTCTACAAGCCTTAATATGCTATTTTACGTAGTTTTGTATAGCACGTGGTGTATTTTCAGTTTTGGATTCAGTTTTTCTTGTGACAATAACAAAATTTATTTACATTCACCTAATTGATTTAAACTATAAAACTTGTCGAACGAATTTTTTCGAAAAACCAATGTTTTAAAATTTTGCAGCGAACCAAGGTTGTACAAGTAATTAATGATAGCAAGAATATGTAATGCTATTTTTACCAATTAGCTTAATTCAATATTTATTTAAGCTTCTCCGCGATTCCTCAGCGCTTCCGCGCGATTCGCAGAGTATGCAGCTGCTCATCAAAGTATTGGCCCTGGGCGCTAATAGTCATGTAAGTCGTTTAACGTATAAACTTCAATATTTTTCGCTAAACCCAGAGTAAGCTTAAAAATAACTCACTTTATTAAATATTACTTAAAAGTAATTTAAAATGCCAATTCAATTTCCAAAGCGAAAAATATGTTTCTGAAAAATCACTGTTTCGAGGAGTTTTTTCTTTGAGAATCCTCCGAGATTTCACAACATTATTAACATACAATTTTAACCAGAAAAATAAAAATGAAAAACCAATAAAAATTCCTTAGGACTAAATTATAATTAAAAATACTTTAATATATTAAGGAACTTAAATAAATTCATCACAAAAATTTAAGTTGGAAGGTTTTGGGTCATGCCGCAACCTTTACCGGGGCTAATATATGTCGAAGTCGATTATTACTACTTAATTTTCTACAGTACCTGTTTCAAAAATTTTGATTTTCAGATTGAATTGGCCACAAAAAATGGTGAATTCGGCCTGGCTAATAGAAAAACATAGAAAAACAAAGACTGAAATTACATCTGAAGTAAAACGATAATAACAATTTTTGCGAAAATAAGTTTTAAGAACTTTGGCGATGCAGCTGTTTTTCCCGGGGCTAATGTACAGCTGACTACTGGGTGTCCCAAAAAAAGCACCCCCCTCTAGCGGTCTCACAAGGAGTGCCTTTTGGGTGTCATCGGCAAATCCCTTCGAGACCTAGCTCATTCGATAGAGAATTGAATTCTGAACAACCTCTCGGCGTCCATTTTTGCAGAATGCCTTTCTTTGATTTTATAAAATTAAAAAACTAAAAAGAGAATTTATGCGTCCACGTCGGCACGTTGCTGCCCCGAGGGAGCCCCAAGGGGAAGAGGCCCTGCGGTCCTTTCTTCCCACCGCTGGACGTGGCGGAGTGGCTAGAGCGTCGGTCTTCCAAACTTTTTTTGCTTCGGGTTGCTAGTTCGATTCCGTTATTGGTAATTACTTTTGCTTTTTGTTTTTCAAAAACGCTTTTGTGACTTTCAGAGCGTTTTAAGAATCTGAATAATTGAAATTGGCCTTCACAGTCGCAGAGAAAATTTTGAACAGAGAAATGTCCTGATTTCTTGTCCTAGCCCAACTTGGAAACGTTGCTAATGCCTCCACCATGACCCAGAAATGCCTAAAAGATGTGGAAATATCATCAAGATTCAAAACGCAAAAGGAAACACGCATAAAAGAACCGAACCTTCAACCAAAGGCAAAAACAAATTTCGTAGGCAGATGCGTTAACCGCGATGGTGGGTGAGGGCGCACCCGTGGGCACTTCACCTAGGGCTGCTGGGCGCTTGTCTGGCGATAGCAACCGAGGAACTATAGGTTTTTCGCACTCTAGTTTTTTAATTTTATAAAATCAGGGAAAGCCATTCTGCAAAAATGAACGACGAGGGGTTGTTCAGAATTCAATTCTCTATCGAATGAGCTAAGTCTCGAAGGGATTTGCCGATGACACTCAAAAGGCACTCCTTGTCAGATCAGGATGATTTTTATACCATTCGAAAGCCCGTGAAAAGGCGAGAAAACAAGCGGGCTTGATTTTCTAGGATTTATTCTTATTCGTCCGATATTCAACGTTTTTCTAAAAAACAGGTAGCTTTTCAATAGGAATTTCGCAATTAGCATGCAGATCTCGCGTAAAGCTGCCGTTTTCATGGTTTTTGAAGGTGAAATTAGCGAATAAAAATACATAATAAAGAAAGTGAGCCCTCCTTGTTTTCTCGCGTTTTCGAGAGCTTTCGATTGATACCTAAACGGTGAAAATCGGACACGACTGCGTGTTTTTTTGGGACACCCTGTATGTGGAAAAAATCTTCTTCATAGTTTGATTAAAAAATTGTAATTTTCAGACTGATGGCAAGGGTAACATGTTGCATTCTCGCTAGATTTTAAAAAGTGGAAATTTTGGTCGAAAATCGATATTTTTTGTATTTTTTGAAACGAAATGTGGGAGGTTAAACGCTTAGGCCTAGTAAAAACAGCTTAGCCACGATTGCCCTATTTTTTATTGAAAAATTCGATCCTTAGAAAAGTTGCTTCACCCCCCAATAATACACCAGAACCAAAAAACCAAAAAAAAATTTTAAGTTAAAATTGAATTAGTTAGAATAAAATTTTAAATTCTACATAGCAAATTTCAATCTAAATAAAAAATGGTTGAACTTAACTGAATTAAATTTAAACGCTTAAAAACAGCATAAAAAAAGAATGTTTCAGAAAATCGTCTCCTCGCCCGAGACAATTCCCAGCAACCTGATCGACGCGATATTTTTCACGAAATTCCTGCCAACGCTGGGGAAAATGGTGGTGGAGGACGTGATGCGGATTGAAATCGCCAAGGGGACAAGTGAGTTTTAGAAAATAACATAATTAATTCACGATAACAAAAACCACATTCAACAATTTTCACAATTCAAATATTTTACGAAACATTCAAAATTCACACCAAAATTGCGTGAGTGCGCTAATAACACGTACCAGGCGAAATTATGTATCTTATAACTACTCCTCCACTCGCAATACCATATTAATATTGCATTTATAAACCTGAAACTTGTGAAAGGTGTTAAAATCAAACTTGAAAGGAAAACGGATCCACCGATCAATTGGGCGACTGCAAAATTCCGCTTCCCTTAATTTCTAAGAAACATGGAAAATTTCCCGAAAAAGTGCCATTTCCATAACATCGAAAAGCATTTTCCTTCTTCAGATGTATTTTTGTAGTTGAATTTCCGGACTGATAACAGATTAAACCTTGACAAAATCCCAAAAACTCTAATTTTTACGAAACATCGAAAATCCCTCGAAATTGCCATTTTGGACAAACATTTGGGGTCTGATTAGAGGAAATACGGTATTTTAATCATATTTTTGTTAAATTGAATTTTATTTCTTCAGGACCATCTGAAAAGCTTCTAAAAAATTGATGAATATTCGTATTTGGTTATCTTGTCGTAAAGCTAGCTTGTTTGGATGCTTTCATAAAGATCTTTAACGTTTTTAGGCTTATAAAATTAACAAATTTCCATGACCGATTAAAAGGCCATCCGCGAGTCACACGAACAGTCCCCAATATGGCTTGTCACAGTTTTTTTAGACCCCGTTTTTTCGATGCTATGTGAAAGAGCATGGTCGAATTAGTAGGGCTGCATGGTTTTGAATGTTTAAAAAGTTCATTTTTGGTGTTTAAATGGCCGTTAAAGTTGACTACCTCCAAAAACTATCTCGAAAACTACTTGACCAAATTTGCTGATAATTTGTGACAATACCTAATTTGGCGCGGTGATCATTTTTCTAATACATTTCAAAGCATGAAAATGCCCGGAACATTGGAATCTCGCGTACTCAAATGAGTTTTTCAAGAATTACTGTTTAATAGGAAGTCGCCGCCACTCTAGAAACACACTTAAAAGATGCGCAATTAAATTCTACAAAAGATGATGTGTTTTTCAACTTGGCGACAGATTCCTATTAAATCGAAAAAATGGCATTTCTAAAATTAGCAAAAACAGCTCAAACACATAGATAGCTTTGTTTTTTCGCAACCGGAGGCATGCAATCGGATATTGATGCGAAGTCGAGCCTGATACAAAAAAGAGCAAAAAGAAATATCGTTTCTACGCGAAATTGGGCTCGGCGGGGAATCGAACCCGCGATGGTCCGTCTGGGGGCACTGGGGACAGCCACTAGTGGGCGCCGCCACCTCCGCAGGCGAACGACCCGAGTTCAATCCCAGCCCCCTTTTAGAAATCGAATTTCATTTTGCTCTTTTTGCAATCGCGTTGTTTTGGTCTTTAGATACGAAACATTGTCTTTCTGTTCAGAAACACACAAATTTTTCCTTTTTGGTGTCTTTGAAAGTCGTTTTTCGATTTAATAGGAATCTGTCGCCAAGTTGCAAAACACATCATCTTTTGTAGAATTTAATTGCGCATCTTTTAAGTGTGTTTCTAGAGTGGCGGCGACTTCCTATTAAACAGTAATTCTTGAAAAACTCATTTGAGTACGCGAGATTCCGATGTTCCGGGCATTTTCATGCTATGAAATGTATTAGAAAAATGATCACCGCGCCAAATTAGGTATTGTCACAAATTATCAGCAAATTTGGTCAAGTAGTTTTCGAGATAGTTTTTGGAGGTAGTCAACTTTAACGGCCATTTAAACACCAAAAATGAACTTTTTAAACTTTTAAATCTATGCAGCCCTACTAATTCGAACTTGCTCTATCAGATGGCATTAAAAAAACGGGGTCGAAAAAAAACTGTGACAAGCCTAGTTCGGCTGTCCGGCAAACGGCCTTTTAAAGCTTGAGAAAATCTCGAAAACCGGAAAATTGACGAAACATCGAAAATTCAGACGAGCATTTCTGATAAAAACCACGAGTTAAATGGATTTGAATTTCTGCTGATCACTTGCATTACCGTCAGATTATCATAGTTCCATTTCAACACCGATTTTGAAACCCAAAATTCATAAAAAAAGGAAATTTTTGCCTTCGACTGAAACGACATTACCAAAATACAAAATCCGAATGCGCCGAAGTTTTACGAAACATTGAAAAGTCTCCGCGAAAGTTTTTGCTCTCAATATTATCTTTGTAGAGTTGAGATTTTTTTGAGCAGACAGATCCGATTCCATACTAAAACCTGACAAAAAGCCAAAAACTCTAAATTTGGCGAAACATTGAAAAATTATCGAAAAATGACGTTTTTGTTGAATCTGAAATCTACTATAATAATTTTGCTGTGGTGTCTGTCTGTCCGTCCGTCATGTCCCAGATTCAACTCGAAGGGGAAAGGAGCTAGAGCTTAGGTCTCTTCGGATTCGGATAGAGCGCCGTCAGAAACCCCCAAACCGATCAAAAAATTACAAAAAAGTTTTTGTTTAAATTATTAAAATTAACTTTGAAAGTTTTTTCCTTAGTAAAAGGGGTGAGGGCCCCTCTCCAGGGAGGCCACGCCCCCTTTCCCTTCGCCCCTCTTCGCCAGGCCCCTTCGCGCGCCCAGATAGCTTTTTAAGTGACTTTAATACTTTTTAATACTTTTAATACTTTTTAATACTTTTTAATTATGTTAATTAATTATTTAAATCATCTAAAGCCATCGGGAAGGTACTTAGGTAGTTTTTGAAGGGGATTTCAGCCATGGGGGGTATCTAAAGCCATCGGGAAGGTAAAGTTACTTTAATACTTTTTAATACTTTTTAATTATGTTAATTAATTATTTAAATCATCTAAAGCCATCAGGAAGGTATTTAGGTAGTTTTTGAAGGGGATTTCAGCCATGGGGGGTATCTGAAGCCATCGGGAAGGTATTTAGGTAGTTTTTGAAGGGGATTTCAGCCATGGGGGGTATCTGAAGCCATCGGGAAGGTATTTAGGTAGTTTTTGAAGGGGATTTCAGCCATGGGGGGTATCTGAAGCCATCGGGAAGGTATTTAGGTAGTTTTTGAAGGGGATTTCAGCCATGGGGGGTATCTAAAGCCATCGGGAAGGTAAAGTTACTTTAATACTTTTTAATACTTTTTAATTATGTTAATTAATTATTTAAATCATCTAAAGCCATCAGGAAGGTATTTAGGTAGTTTTTGAAGGGGATTTCAGCCATGGGGGGTATCTGAAGCCATCGGGAAGGTATTTAGGTAGTTTTTGAAGGGGATTTCAGCCATGGGGGTATCTGAAGCCATCGGGAAGGTATTTAGGTAGTTTTTGAAGGGGATTTCAGCCATGGGGGGTATCTGAAGCCATCGGGAAGGTATTTAGGTAGTTTTTGAAGGGGATTTCAGCCATGGGGGTATCTGAAGCCATCGGGAAGGTATTTAGGTAGTTTTTGAAGGGGATTTCAGCCATGGGGGGTATCTGAAGCCATCGGGAAGGTATTTAGGTAGTTTTTGAAGGGGATTTCAGCCATGGGGGGTATCTGAAGCCATCGGGAAGGTATTTAGGTAGTTTTTTAAGGGGATTTCGGCTAGGGGAGGTATCTAAGGTCCTCAGGAAGGCATCGAAGTAGTTTTTTAAGGGGATTTCGGCTAGGGAGGTATCTAAGGTCCTCAGGAAGGCATCGAAGTAGTTTTTTAAGGGGATTTCGGCTAGGGGAGGTATCTAAGGTCCTCAGGAAGGCATCGAAGTAGTTTTTTAAGGGGATTTCGGCTAGGGGAGGTATCTAAGGTCCTCAGGAAGGCATCGAAGTAGTTTTTTAAGGGGATTTCGGCTAGGGGAGGTATCTAAGGTCCTCAGGAAGGCATCGAAGTAGTTTTTTAAGGGGATTTCGGCTAGGGGAGGTATCTAAGGTCCTCAGGAAGGCATCGAAGTAGTTTTTTAAGGGATTTCGGCTAGGGGAGGTATCTAAGGTCCTCAGGAAGGCATCGAAGTAGTTTTTTAAGGGGATTTCGGCTAGGGGAGGTATCTGTAGCCATTAGCGTCGGTATTGATAGAGCCTAGGGATGGATGTGATGGTGTATTACATGAAGGATAGCCCGAAGGCCAGATGGTTGCAGTCGCGAAGCGTTATATGGTGTTATACATATTTTTAGGTGATTTCCCATTATCTTCGATGTTCTTTGTTCTATCAAACTTTTTACATTTATTTATAGAGGAAGTGTTTGCACAAGTTTTTGCATTTTTTCTAACCGAAAACGTTACAAATTTTACGCGAAACCTACATAAATATATCGATATTCTGGCCTAATTTTAACAATTTTGCAAGCATTACATTGATTGGAAAGGGAGCCATTTAATAGGCCATTAACAAATGTTCAGAACCTTGGATTTTACGAAACATTGAACTTTCCCGAAAATGGGCCATTCATCTTTATAAATTTAGATTCTGGCTCCGTAATGCGATGTTGTAAAAATATATTTTAGTGGACGTCAGCGAGGAGTTCAGCCACAGCACCCTCCTCAGCGAGGCCCCAGACGTGGCAATGACTTTTGTGAAGGCCGATGTACGTTTTTGCTCAGATTTCGCGTAATACGATAACCAAAATCTCAATTAACCCGGAAACATCTGAAACATATAAACATCTCCAGAATTTTCTCATTATGTTCGAAAAAATTGTAGAATTAAATATTAAATTAAATAAAAAGTGATTTAATCAACCAGAGTCGCCCCGATCAAAACGGGAATTACAGAATTCTTTTCAGAATTAAAATCCGATCCCGACAATGACAAATGTTTCTAAAATATCTAAAGTTTCGAATTTTTCGTCTAACACAATTTGCTTCTGAGGATACAAAAATTGCATTCTTGTTCGGAGCTATTTTGGAGGGACTGTATTGCTTCCAGATGTGCGCCTCGTTGCTGTGGCTTCACCAGATGATCGAAATGTTTCCGAATAAGAAGCGAGGCGTCGATATGAGGGGATTTTTACGATACGCTCGGCATATGCACGAATTGAGGGGAAAGGTATGGAATTTTGAGGATAAAGAGAGAGCGGGAGGGAGAGACCGAGAGAGACCGAGAGACCGAGAGAGCGAGAGAGAGAGAGAGAGTGACCGAGAGTTAGAGAGAGAGAGAAAGAGAGAGAGAGAGAGAAAGAGAAAGTGAGCGAGAGAGAAAGTGAGTGAGAGAGAAAGTGGGTGAGAGAGCGAGAGATTAAAAGAGAGAGAACGAGGGAGATAGAGCGAGAGATAGAGAGAGATAACAGCTAAAGAGATAGAGAGTGAGCGAGAGAGAGACAGAGAGAGAGAGCGCGAGAGAGAGAGAGAGAGAGAGAAAGTGAGCGAAAGAGATAGAGAGTGATAGAAGAGAAAGCCATAGAGAGAGAGAGAGCGAGAGAGAGATCGGAGAAATAGATAGAAAGAGATAGAAAGAGATAGATAGATAGATAGATAGATAGATAGATAGATAGATAGATAGATAGATAGATAGAGATGGACAGAGAGAGAGAGAGAGAGAGAGAGAGAGAGAGAGAGAGCGAGAAAGAGAGAGAGAGAGAGAGAGAGAGAGAGAGAGAGGGAGGGAGCGAAAAGCCGGAGATTTAGAACGAGCGCAGAGTATTAATAGTATCAATCCGAAAAATTAGAAACACAAAATATTTCGCAACACTTTGAATTCACGGTTTTTCCGCGCTCGTAACGCGAAGCTACGTGGGCGCTTTCATGCGACGTGCGCGCCAAAATCCATAGCAAAAAAATCCAGGGCAGGCTAGCAGAGATCTTTGTGGAAACAAAACAACGAAAATTATTAATTTTCCGGAAAAAGGCATTAAGCATTTTCTCGATTGTGAGCCGGGGATTCGATTAACTTTGATACCTCTCCCCAAATCGGAACATTCTTTGACATTTTAAACATTTTAAACATTTTAAACATTTTAACATTTTAAACACAGCAACATTTTAAAGGCAGACAGAGTATTCTGGCGGAGATTTTATAGGAAAAAATCTTGTTAAAGGGATCCCGTCGGCATCCCTTTAACAACCACATCGCCCCCTGGCCACACATAACTACTACTGATATAAAACTCTTCAAAACAACAAAAACTACTGAAACACATTTTTTTAAAGAACATCGCTAATTTTTCAGTTAGCAGTGCACGGGCCGTGGGGGCATTTCCTGATCCACCGTATGATATCGGCCGCCATTTCCGAGGGAATACTCGCCGATGACGCCTGTTTCCGCATCCTGATCGATCGGCTGCTAATCGAGAATTTAAAGGTATCATGTCTTCGCTTATTTTATCTTTATGGTAGCCATTAATGCTTAAAAATATCCCCTGAATTCGGCCTTTGAAAGTCTATTTAAAAATTCCGGAAAAATATAATTAATAGCTTTTTAAGCGAGGGTTAAGTGACCACTTCCTATTGGCCAAATTCGAATTTTTTTTGCTTTCGAAAAGTTTGAAACATTTTTGGCTAACGAAAGCCATCAAAAAGTACAAAAAAAAAAGTAAAAAAATTTGAAATCATGATAAAGATAAATTAGAAATGTGATTTTGAATTAAGGTGGTTCATTTGAAACAAAATTACGTAAAGAATGCTAAGAATAACCCGACTCCCTAATTGCAATGATAGAGAATAACCCAAAAAAGCTCATGAAAATTACATTTTCCAAATTTCTCGCTTTTTAAGAAAAGTTGAAACATCGTTTTTCGACTATAAAATGTGCCCGTTTTTGATCATCGGTTTTCTGTAATTTAATAACATACTGTACTGCAGCAGCAATACTGCAAATACTACAAGATACTCTAAACGCTATTTCTGGTTTCCCTTTTATTTTGGTTATTTTAAACGGTTTCCCATTTAAACCGATTGCTGACAGGATTAATTTAAGTTTGTGAGCGTTTAAATCTTGCAAATTCTGTCTTTAACAGTCTATACAAAAATATATACAAAAACATCTAAAAAGTGTCTTTCAATCATTATCACAGAGCGACTCACTAATACTCGACCAAAAATTGTGAATTGTAAAAATATATAAAACATTTTTTCAGCCTGAGAAAATCGTGCAAAACTATAGGGAAGCCGGTACTTAATTTCAACGATTTTTAAAGGTATTATTTTGGTTTAAATATCGCGATTATTTATTACTTAAATTCACTAGATAAATTCAGAAAGCAATTTGAAATAGCAATATGAATTTTCGATGTGTCTGCATTATCGCTTTCCAGCTTTCGTTGCCTTTGGAAAATTTTTGAAACATGTTTTTTCGTGAGAGACCCAACGCGAATACAGCAAATTACAGGCCAATAAAGTTATCGTTTGTAACGAAATATCATATTAACTACTAATTCGTGATTTAATAGGGTATTTTAATAATTAGCTGGTTCTGGAATTTACTCTTATCAATCTGGCTTTTGATTCTACTACTATTCTACTCAACCTTTTACTATTTTGAAAATGCTATAAAACATATTTCTCTTAGGACGAAAAACTTAAAATAAGGTATGTACCGTAAATAAATCTACCGATTTGGAAAAATATTAATCAACCTTTTTAATTAGAAAATGTAATTTTTTTAATACTTTTATACTTTAATACATTATTTTTGCTGTCCCATTTATTTTTAAGAATTTTCAAATGGAATTTTAGCTCTTGAAAAATGCTCGAATATCAATTGCCGCCTCATCCGATCTTTGTAAAAATTCAAAACATCTTTTTCCAGGAAGAACCCAACGTGAAATACCATCTTCTGCGGATCGTCTATCAATTACACGGCCAATTGGGCATACAAAAATCGAGCGAGCTGATGGAGCAGATTTCCCCGGAGGTATCTACAAAACTATAAACGTTTTAGCGAAAATTAATTTAATTATCTTTTATTTTATTTTATTTTATTGTCATTTCAGAATCTCGGCGAGCTACCAGAGGCTGAAAAGGAAAAATACGATAAGGACTACAACAAAACGCTTGAGCGCATCACGCCAAAGGTATCGGTGAATTTAAAATCGTTGAATAGCTATTTTCCCGGGCCAAATCTAGCTAAAAAAACGTTATTAGCTTAATTAACAAAAATTAATTAACTTTTTGGTCTCGATTTTAAAACTAACCAATTTCGTCGAACACGTACTGCAAAAACAATGTTTTAATGGATAGCAATTCTGCGGGGAACATTTTTCAGCTAATAGACCTTGGAAACCAACCATCACAAAAATTAATTTTCACGTTTTTATACTAGCTTATTTAATCAGCATACCGAATATCAAGTTATAAATAGCCATATTTTAAATCTCCTAATCTAAAAAACAAAGTACATTTAAAAACAAATAACGCGTTAAATCGCGATTTTTTTCCATTCCAACTCTTGCTCGAGAAACCGTAAATTATAATTAGATGGTGAATTCGGTTATTTTACAATTAATTAAACCTTTTTCACCATTTAAATTCCTAAGCCCGATGACACAAACTGCAAAAACAATGTTTTATCGATTCCCAAAACCGCGAAGAAAAATGTTTAGCTAATTATTGCCTTCCTACTTTTTTATTATACTTCGCCAACCACCCCGGGTGGTACCACCCCTAGGGGTGGTTGGAGGGTGGGGCGGGGGGTGGTTGGGGGGTGGTCGTGGGGGGTGGTTGGGGGGTGGTCAGAGGGGTGGTTGGGGGGGTGGTTGGGGGGTGGTCAATGCATTAGCCACCCCACCCCACCCCTTACAAAATTTTTTCATGATTTGGCAATAAAAGCTTTTTCGAGTCAGATATGGTCCCTCAAAGACAATGTCGCCGGAAGACCAAAAAGTTTTATTGCCAAATCATGAAAAAATTTTGTAAGGGGTGGGGTGGGGTGGCTAATGCATTGACCACCCCCCAACCACCCCCCAACCACCCCTCTGACCACCCCCCAACCACCCCCCACGACCACCCCCCAACCACCCCCCGCCCCACCCTCCAACCACCCCTAGGGGTGGTACCACCCGGGGTGGTTGGCGAAGTATATTTTTTTATACTATCTGATTGAATAAGCCTTCACCGATTACTAGGCGTTAAAATCATCGAAATAGCCACATTTTATCAATTAAATAACCGCAAAATTTGTTAGCTGTCCCCAAAAGATTAAATTTTTCTTGCGAAAAAATGTTTCACCCAACCACGGTTCAAAGGGCTAGCGTCTCATCGTATTATTTTGTAAAGTTCGCTATAATACATACGTTTACTACTAAAATAAATTCATAAAAAATATAATAAGAAAATAATAAAATTCTACAGCCGGAAGAAGAGGCGCCGCCCCAGCCGATGCCCCAGATGACCCCAGCACATCCGATGATGGGGCCACCGACAGCGCAGAAAATCGGTAAGATTCCGTTTAAAATCAGATAAAATATTAATAAATCAACCTAGTGATTTATTTATTATTTTATTTAGCTTTTAAAATAGCATTTAGCTAGCTATAGAATACCAAAAACCGTTAAAAAATTATACAAACTGACAAGATTTTGGCAAAATAAAATAAAATTTTTGAGGTATTTACTTGCATTTTTATAATTTTTACGCTTGGAAACGATAAAAAAAAACTGAAAAAAACTACTCTTCTCAAAAGCGATTAGCTAGGTATAGAGCATTAAAAACACCCAGTTAAAAATTACGAAAATAACGAGGTTACAAAAATATTTGCAAAAAAAATAGAATTTTTGAAGTACTCACTTGCATTTTTATAGTTTTTAAGCACGGAAATGATTTTAAAAAAACTAAATTTATTATACAAATTCACCCAAATGCATTAAAATCGATATATCTGCACTTCCAGGCCCAAAAATGCACCCATCGATGACGCCCGGGCCGCGGCAATTCGCCACCCCAGGCCCAACACGCCCACAATTCATGACGCCACGACATTAACCGACATATTGATGCGCCGTTACTAATCTTAAAATGATCCTCACAACTGGATTAATTCGATAAACATTCCGTTTTAACTGGCTGAACCAGGTTTTCCATAAACACCCCAAAATCATAAAATAGCCGTGTTATGCCGGATTTTTACCATCTAGGTATCTATCGAAAGCTCTCGGAAATACTAGTTCAAATGTACAATCCGATTTTTCAAAATTCCGGCACTTTTGTCCATTTACTAAAATTTTTATGAATCGCTGATACTTCCCCATAAAGGCCTTTCAAAAAATACACAATTTTTGAATTTTCAACATTTGTTGGAGGTTTTTAGCAACCATTCAAAAACAGTTTGTAAATTAACTGGCCATTGTAGAAACACGCGCATCTTGTATAAAAACGCCGAAAATCCAGGACTTTCCGCATGGACGAATTTCGAAAGTCGAAGGTAACGCATCTGCTCCGCTGGCTAACAATAGCTTTCGTTGATACCTAGATCGCTAGAATCCGACACTACTATGGGGCGCTATAGGTGTCGTTTTTTTTTCCGGCACCCTGTAAATTTTAAATTCGATTAAATTTAGGTGTTGTAACGAATTTGAGGGATACTTACAGACAAAACGCGTGATTAAGCAATTTTTGAAGTTGGATAGTCCGTTGTTTCGATGAAACCCCTTTTTCCCTATTCGTCTAAGGATCGATCATTTGGTAAAGCCTATTGCATTTCCATGGAGATGTCGTGCCAATATCGGCACGGTGCATATATTAGACCAATCGAAAAATTCCAGATATGACTTGAAAACAGAACCAAGCAGATTGATCAGCAATGAACAAATTGCACATTTATTTGCGCCCGAAAAACCTGATATAAAAAAGTGAAGAACGAGAGGAAACACGCAACGGGTGATGACCGAGGAGGAGAAGGAGCAAATCGGGGGAGATCACGTTTTTGAGCAGCGCGAAAAATACAAGAAAACGACGAACGGCGCGCGAGGACACATCACAATGTACACCGCCTTTCTGAAAGGGGTTAGGAAGTGAATAACGGGGGGCGGGGGATGGGCAAAAATCAGCTAACAAACACTAGAAGCTCTCTAAAAGAATCTATTCTAAAAAAAACGATAAAAGCCTGTGAAAAACAATGGGGGAATAAGGCACGAAAACAACACTATAAAAACGGCAGGATTTTGGTAAGTGCAGTCGAATTATCGTTGCGAGAGCCGGGACACCATCGTCTCGGCGCGCGACTCGATCACCTGGAAATGAAAAATGCACGTAATAAAACGACATAAAAAGCTTTAATGGAAAATCGGGAGCTTTGGCATTATCGGGGGCAAAAGGGAAATCGAATTTTTGTATAAGGCGAGGAATATATACTAAGGTCCCGACACGGCGTTAAAAATTCCGATTTTCGGCGCATTTTTTATCCATTTTGTAGTTTGTATTCAGCGAAAATGACCTATATTACAAACGAAAAACTATCTAAAACCCTAATAAAAAATTTGAAATCCGAATTTTTGGTCGAAAATCGCTTTTTTGGTAACAAAAATCTGTACTTTGTCGATTTAAAACTAAATTTCAACGTTGTTGAGTTTAGGAATAGTAAAAAATTCGACCATCGTAGATTTCGTAGGCGAGATACGGGAAGAAACGTACCGTCCAAATATCCTCGGCCAGCTCGACCTCGTCGCCGAAACGGACGCGCTCCTCGCTGAAGATTTCGCAGACGAGTTGGGCGATCTAAAAATTGGAAACCTAAACCAAAAACGCGCCGAATATCATACCTGTTCTTTGAAGTAGTGGCACAGCTCCTTGCGCTCTTGATTTGTGCCCAGCAGGCCGAGGGTTAGCGCCGGGGAGACTGTCTAAAAACACGAATTAGATCTCGAAAAGCGCAAAACAACCCATGGCAATTAGCACACGCCGATTCACTTTTAAGCTGACAAATTCCTAGTAACTTCATAGGCAGTAATTTATTAGTATTTTTAGATTTAAACTAGAAAAACCATTTCAAAACTTTTTGAAAAGTTGAAATTCAAAAAATTGGAAATTTCGGGTTGAAAAATCGATATTTCGTGTATTTCTTATGAAAATTTGTAAGTTTTTTACATTTCTGAATAATAAAAAGTTACGAGAAAAAATAAGATACAGATATTTGAAAAATTGTAGCCCAATAAGAAAATTGAATTCCATAATGCGAAAGAACAACATTTTTTATTAATTATAAAAATGATTGACAAATAACGACAAATTACCTCCGAAATATCGTAGAAATGGGCGATGAAGCCGGCGGATTGGACGAGCCGCTGTCGCTTCGCCTTCAGGAGGCTCCAAATGACGGTCGAGATCGTGGAGTACTTCATACTGGAATAAATACAGAAAATGAAAATAAAATGGCGAAATACCTTTCCGAGAGCCAGCTATTCCGCGTGACCGAATAGACGGATGACGGAGGGTTCTAAACGCACGTTCATCTCCAAAAGCGAAAAATCACCTTGAGCTCGTCGAAGGCGTCGAGCAGCACGAAATCCATCAGCACGTCCCACAGCCCCAATTCGTGGACATTTCGCGTTTTCAGCTCGTCCTCGGCGTCCTTGCAGTTGTCCTCGTCCTCCAGGAACGTCACCATCTTGTCGTAGGCCTAAAAATATACATTTTTTTTGCTGAGCTTTCCAAAAAAGCCCTTTACCTCAACGCGGCTAGGTCGGATTTTAATGATTTTTATATCATTCGAAAGCCCAGAAAACGGCGCGTCTACCTGCATCAAAATATTTTTGTTTCTAGTGAAGAACAGTTTTCTGTTTTAAAATTCTAGAGCATTTTCAAACAAAAAATGCTTAGATTTCCAGATTTTCACTTTAAAAAGGCAACGTTACCTCAAATTTTTGTCAACTCTCCGTCTTTTGTCAGAAAAAAGAGCACCAAAACTTGAGGAAAAATCGATTTTTTTTACCGCCGACAAAACATTAATCTCTACAAAATTTCACAAAATTAATCAAAAAAGAGCCATTAAATAAACACATTACAACTGTCTTCTCACAGACAGTTTTCTGCGCTTTCGAACGGCATAAAAGTTAATGCTATCAGCTGACACTCAGTAATCCGGCCGAAATACGAGCTTTTTAGCACTCTTCACCGTTTCACCATTCGAAATGCTAGAGGAACATTTCTTCCGGTGTAAATTCGGATTTAAAATTCGGCGCGAAATATGATGCACAAGGTATCCCGTTCCTTACCCTATAAAAAGCGGCCGGATCCTGGCCACAACTGCTGAGCAGATCGCCGAGCAGCTGACGGCCCGCGCTCACCAGCCGCATCACTTTTCGCTCATCGGCCGTCACTATCTAGAAGAAAACATAGTCGGAAAAGTACACAAGAATCATACCTTAAGCGCCTTCCGGATGCAGTAGACCTTGGCGGCAAAGTCGTCCGGGCTGTCGCAGTGGCAGTCCTCGAACCGATTCTGGCGGATGTGAATCTAAAAACAATTAAAGTTTTAAAAAACACTGCACACCTTTCCGTCCCTGGCCAACTTGAGGCCAGTCTGGTAGAGGATCAGCTCGTTCTTGTTGACGTCGTACCTGTAAAAAAATACATAAGTTTTATCGATAAAAAAGTGGCGATAACTTTTTTATATTACATTGTCAGTTTTTTCATCTTTAACGGTAAGTAAAAACTCCACAACTTTTAATAAAAAATACTAAACATACAATCTTTGAAATTGTTTTGCCATTTAAAATAGAGTTGAATTTTACTAGAAAACCATCAAAATACTTACTATCACATTACTAGACAGCTCTGGAATTATAGGAGACAATTCGATCTCCCCGATAATGCGAAAAAAGCGCAACACTCCTCACTTCTTCTCCCAATCCTGGTCGGCAACGTTGATGTCCTCCAGCGCCGACATGAACGAGTCATCCGACAGCACCGACAGCGAGCCCGACCGTCCGCGCGCGACGCCGTGGAAGTGGCTGTCGATGGAGAGGGCCTCGCAGGCATAGCCGGCTGGAGCGTTGGGCACGATCTAAAAATCAGTTGGTTTTGGAGGAAACTTCGAAATACCTGCGCCAGATCGGTCTCCAGAATTCGTACTCGGGCCAGGATGCTTCTCAGCAGCTCGTCCTTTTCGCGATCTTGGCCGGCGAATGATTGGATGGCCTGAAACGGGACGGTAAATGGTAGATTTGGGTCTAAAATAGCGTGAAAAAGCCGGCATTTGTCCCCCAAATCGATATTTTGCCAAAAACAACCTAAAACATCAGGCTTTTTTCGTAAAATTTCGTCTAAAATGGGTAAGAGTCACTAAATGCTAGAATGGGACGAAACTGCCATGAAAATGAAGCTTTTTCCATAAAGTTTGGCTCAAAAAGACGTAAGCGAGTCCAAAGAATTAGGCATACAGTTACAAAGCATTTTTAAACCTAAAAAATACAAAAAAACATAATCAGACTCCTTCAGACTAGAAAAAAATCCCATGAAAACGTCAATTTTTGTCGTCGAAAAAAGTAAAATCATAAATCAAAATGTTTTCAAAGGGTTTTCCTTTTTGGAAATAAGCACAAAAACTTTACGAAAGCATATTGCTATTTCATATCGCTAGTTTCCGCTTTGTGGAGCATTCTTTCATATCGGTTAATAGAGGATTTAACGCCACAGTTTTAAATTTAAACATAAGACTTAAAACTGGGATAAAGAGACGAAATTAAAGCCAAGTGAACGTGAAGATCAAGCACCAAAAAGCGGAAAATAAACCCAAAGAGTTACCTTTGTCAATTCGGAGACCATCCCCTGGCAATACTGCAAGCTGCGCGCCACCTCATGCTCGCTACTGCCGGCGACGTCGTCGAGCGGGCGAAAAGTGGCGAGCGGAGGTTGCTTGACAAATGTCGTTATGGCTTCTGTTGAGGGTTCTTGACACGCTGCACCGGCTCGAATTGCTAAAAAAAAAACAAATTTCCATCAAATTCGTGAAGCCTACCGAGTAGCCATCGTCGAAACAAGAG